TATTTTTGTCATACAAATAGGACAGGTTGGGATTTAATCTAGGGGATAGAGCATGCCAAGTACCTTATGACTACTCTATGTTTAAAATCAGTTCCACTTGGGGGTTTAAAGGAAAGTTATGTGCTGGGCTTTAAGAATGTTCTTCTACTCAAACTCTAGTATTTCAGTCGCAACAAGGAACCAGAAAAATGTGTTTTCTTTCTGTCTCAGTACATATATTTGAGAAAATGGAATTCAGAACATGTTGAAGTAGGACAGAATTGGGTAAAGGAAGTGGGAGAGATGTGTATGTGTGACTATGTGGAACATTGACCAGAGATCTATGACTCCAACTTGGTCATACATGAAAACATCTGTAAGCAAGTGTTGCATTCTTTCAAAAAGTCCAATTCTATAATTAGTCATATTAGAAGGCTTTTTGTAGATGTGGATGGAGTTCTTGTCTAAAGTGAACTATTTGCTACTGTCATGTTGCTTACCTCTATATTTTCTGTGACTTAATGCCAGGTTAAGGAGTCCCCGGTGGCACAAGTTCCACTGAGCTGCTGAACTTGCTGACCAAAAGGTCAGCGGATCAAATCCAGGGAGCAGAGTGAGCTCCTGCTGTTAGCCCCAGCTTCTGCCAACCTAGCAGTTCGAGAAGATGCAAATATGAGTAGGTTCATAGGTACCGCTTCTGCGGGAAGGTAACAATGCTCCATGAAGTCATGCTGGCCATATGACCTTTTAGGTGTCTACGGACAACGCTGGCTCTTTGGCTTAGAAATGGAGATGAGCACCACACCCCAGAGTCGGACATGACTAGACTTAATGTTAGGGGAAACCTTAACCTTTACCTCATGGACTGGTCCATGAGGTCATGAAGAGTCAGAAACGACTGAACGAATGAACAACAACAACACATTAACTTGGGAGAAAAAAGGGAAAAATAGATGGTACTCTATGACAAAGTTTCCAGTTGTCAACTACTATCAGGAGATGGGAGATAACCACTTTTATGCAATTTAATACACTTTTGTAAGTTAGCGAGGATGTTTGGAAAGTAGATTGCACAAATGATTAAAGAAGGATTTTATACACCATTTAATTTAGCAGTGTTCCAGTGGTTGCAGATTTAAGATTAGTAAAATATTTTAAGCCTTCTGTCTGTATTCCACTTGCAGTTAAAAGCATACATTTTGTTCTCACTTTGTCTAATTGGTGTAGACACAGATTATTCTTGGATTAATTCATGGACGTTTTGAAACACTGACTTCCTGGTATGCATTTTTAAAATAAAATTACTAGTATGCAGCTTTAGGTTCTGATATCCTTAGGCTCTTTATATCCTTCCATCTACTTAACTGAGCAAGGATTTCTGAGCAGTGATTTTGTTTGACCCAGATGGTTGGCTGCAAGTCGCTCAAACAATTTAGAAGAGAGGATTTAATTTTGTACATTGTCACGAAGACACAAACTATGTTTGTTTTCATACCATTTTATTGCTGTGCCAAAACATATTTTCCCTTTCCTCCGAAGACACACAGTATTATTCAAACAACTTAAACAGAAATGACTTTATGAAATTATAAATGTAACTGTGACAAAAAGACAATCCACATCAGAATTTGAACAGATGGTTAAAATTTTTGAACTACATGACTTTTTGAAAGGCAGGGAAAAACGTGAGATCCAAACAGTTTTATGTATTTATGTAACAAACTCTTATATGCCTATGTACTAGCCTTGTGGTTTATTTTAAATCTCACTGTACATTTTCCTTGTTGTAGGCTCTAAGACAGTGGTTCTCCACGTGTGGGTCTCCCGATGTTTTGTCCAATGACTTCCAGAAATCCCAGCCAGTTCACCAGCTGTTAGGATTTCTGAGAGTTGCAGGTCAAAACATCTGGGAGCCACAGGTTGAGAACCACTGCTCTAAGCAGAGTAAATTATGTTTATACATTATTTCTGCTGTTTAGAAAACAATTAAAGGCCCACTACAGAAATGCACTGTGAAAAATATAAATTTAGAATTTCTTAAATTAAAAGGAACTGGAAACTGAGAAATATAGAATCAAGGAAATATTTCAAAAAGGGCATAAAACACATAACTGGTAAGAAAAAGTTTGTTTCTGGTATTAAAACAATACAGACATTTTTTTGCTCCTGCCAGCCAGTATTTAATTTTTCATATTTATGCATCACTTGTGCTATCATGGTTAAAATGTTTTTATGGTTCGGAAGTCTTTCTTGGATGGAATGAAATTGGGAATCTCATTATCATGATTGCTCAGCAAAATAATGACATGACAGGATGTTATACTGGCAGCCAAGTTAATTTCAAACAATCTTGTTTCTTCTCTTCTCTAACTGACTTGAGGCATAAGGAGCCTTTCCTACGCAACAGCCTGTTCTGCTTTGGGCCCCTTCCATACTGCCCTTATATCCCAGGATCTGATCCCAGATTATCTTCTTATCCCAGATTATCTGACAGTGGAGACCCCTATAATACAGTTTAAATCAAATAATCTGGGATCAGATCCAGGGATATAGGGCAGTGTAGGCCCCTTCCACACAGTTGAATAAAATCCCACATTTTCTGCTTTGAACTGGAATATATGGTGGTGTGGACTCAGATAACCCCGTTCAAAGCAGATAGTGGGATTTTTTAGCCTTGATATTCTGGGTTATACGTGGAAGGGCTCCTAGAAGGTGCCTTAGACAAATAGCGATAATGCACTTATGAATTGTCTCTGGAAACCTGCACCATTATCATGCAGAGTGTATTGCTAGTGAAGGGTATTATGGTAAATCAAGTCATTTCTACTCTTGTCTGTCTTTTGTAACATCAGATCATACTATATGAGGCTTCTCATTTTAACTTCAGAGCAAAGGCTGGACTAAGAGAATCACTGATCAAAAGAGACTTAGGGCCCTTCCACACAGCCCTGTATCCCAGAATATCAAGGCAAAAAATCCCACAATATCTGCTTTGAATTGGGTCAACACTGAGTTATTTGAGTCCACACTGCTATATATTCCAGTTCAAAGCGGATAATGTGGGATTTTATTCAACTGTGTGGAAGGGGCATAAGACTTGAGTGACACAACACTTCCTTCAGCCTCCAAAAAGGGGGTCATATTTAAAAGCATTGGGGGTTACAGCAAAACAACTATCTTTGAAACTTGTGCATTTCATGAGCCATTGACAGACTGCCTTCAATGGCAGGTTGCCAGGAAACTGCTTAATATGGCCTAAATATGGTACCAATCCCTGCCACATTGGTGATAGTTGGTAATGTTTATAGGATTGGGAGAGACCACAAGGCCATCCAGTCCAGCACACTGCCATGCTTCGGATTGTTGCTGCTCTGAGTCAGATAGTTTAAGAAGTACTATGTTAAAACTAATAATAATTACCATAACATATTAACTTTCAAGCTTTGCAGAGAGCATAGATAAAACAAACGCATCATGAAAAATCCCTTTAGAATTGAGATGGCTTCCATCAACAGGCAAAGATTCCCAAAAAGGGGGGCATTCTCACTTAAGAGGGCAAGGACAGTACTACAGCAATCTTTGTTGGCTTGAATCCAGATGTTCAGCTGAAGTTTACTCCTGCTGATTCAATTGACTAGATGACAAGTAAACTTCCAGCCACAGATGGCAATTAATCTTCCAGAACTTCATTTATCACTCCTATTTTATGGAACATGAATTGATTTGTCTTTGTGCTTACAAAGGGGTCTTATGTATAGTGTTGTTCTGAATCTCAGAGGTCTGTTCCCGGTGTGCCAGCTCCATTCGGTTCCAGTCAAGACATTCAGAGATGAGGGCAGAATCAGAGGTTTATTCTCCATTAATCAACGATGGATGTTAGGGGAAATTCCCAGATCTGATTTGTTCTCTCCTTACAGATATTGACATTTTATAGACAATTGACAATAATAAACATTGCTCTGATTGGTACGAATTATGATATGCTGTCTTATTGGTTCAAGGTACATTCATTGTTGTCATGTTTTACAGCCCATGAGTGAGTGATATAAAGTGTGGGGCTGGAAACTTAATAAAGTTTTCATTGGAAGATATTTTGACTGTGTTGCAGTCCGCCCCCTACTCTGCTGACAGAGGCTTTCCAGGAGGGAAAATGAGTATTCCTGGGAACAATAGTCAGTGATTGCTCTTGGGAAGATTTGTCCTGGGATAATGGGATTCTCTTCATAGAACAATGAGGAACAGGGCAGTAATGTGCTTGGATTCCCCCTGGGTGGAATCTATGTTATCCTTGAATGATCGATATGCTCTCAGATTGATAATCTGCATTCTGATCTTATCATTGAGCCCAGGTCTTAGCTGAGAAGGGATTCCCCATACTTTCTGGTAACTTGGGTCTAGTATTGGGGTGGTGGGAAGAAGTTGTAAAGGGCTGCCCAGCAGGAGGTGTTTCCTGTCTCATATATTGAGTGGGATATACAGAGGTCATGTATCTGAGTCCTGATCTCAGGGCTCCAGCTTTTCGGGGGTCTGGGTTTCAGATAACAGTGTTACCTTTGCATTTTTTCAGAAGGACTGCTGACCAACAAGTCAGCGGTTTGAATCTAGGGAGAGCGGGTTGAGTTCCCTCTGTCAGCTCCAGCTCCCCGTGCAGGGACATGAGAGAAGCCTCCCACAAGGATGGTAAAACATCAATCACCCGGGTGTCCCCTGAACAACGCCCTTGCAGATGGCCAATTCTCTCACACCAGAAGTGACTTGCAGTTTCTCAAGTTGCTCCTGACACCAAAAAATCTATATCAATAGATGCAACTCATTAGAAGTTGAGAGCAGGCAGAATTCCATTGTATGATCCATAGGCAGATACTTGTCTTACATTCACATTGAAATTACATTAAGCACTCTTGCTTTGCCAGTGCATATGTGTACATTTTAGAATGTAATACACATATATTACTGTTATCAGAATTTTCTTCCAGTAAAGCTTGCAACCTTCCTTTTTTTGTGTCTTTTTTTCTCCGCAGATTTAGTCCCTTCAATCATGAGTAACTTACTGAATCCAGATGCAATCTTTTCCAACAATGAAATGAGTCTTTCAGATGTAGAAATCTACGGCTTTGATTATGACTACACATTGGTCTTCTATTCCAAACATTTGCATACATTGATCTTTAATGCAGCACGAGATCTTTTGGTTAATGAACATCGGGTAAGGGTTTTGTTTTTTTTGCTGTTTGTTTAAAATATTTGGAAAATGGAAAGTGTTTATATTCTGTTCTTGTAACATGTTTTTACTGTGTCTTTTAGATAATAGTATCCCTAGAGGGAAATAATGTAAAGATGTAGTGCTTCTGTACATAGGCCTATAGATGTATACATTAAAAGTATGTTCACTTATTATGCTTCTTTTTAAACACTTGATAAGATGCAAAATTCCAGTTAATCTTTGTTACAGTGATGAGAAAATACAATAGTTTTGTTTTATAAAATCAGATATGGTCTTTGCTGCCTAGGATACTTTGAATCAAACTCTACTAATAGAAATGCAGCTATTGGCTCTCTTGACGTTACTTCTACTGGAATATTCCTTTACTCAGTCTCTCTGGAAGGGATTCTCAGTTTCTGTTAGATACTTCCAGCACTAGGTTGTGGACCAAAGGTCAGTTGCTATATATACACATGTTTATAAATATATCTGCCATAGTAAATACGAAATTAGATCTTCATACGTAGCTACGTCTACTACAGTTCTCCAAAATACTTTATTTTGTTTCACAAAATAATTGGTTTTATGCTAGTTTATGCGTTTATGTGTTCTTCCTCTGAAATATAGCATATAGCACGGGTATTCTTTGGCAGTCCCCCATCTAAGTATTAACCAGGACTAATCCTGTTTGACAAGCTGGAATGTGTCCAGAGGAGGGTGACTAAAATGATCAAGGGTCTGGTGAACAAGCCCTATGAGGAGCAGCTTAAAGAGCTGGGCATGTTTAGCCTGCAGAAGAGAAGGTTGAGAGGAGACATCATGAGGGTCATGTATAAATATGTGAGAGGAAGTCATAGGGATGAGGGAACAAGCTTGTTTTCTGCTGCCCTGGAGACTAGGATGCAGAACAGTGGCTTCAATCTACAGGAAAGGAGATTCCACCTGAACATTAGGAAGAACTTCTTGACTGTGTGAGCTATTCAGCAGTGGAACTCTCTGCCACAGAGTGTGGTGGAGGCTGGATGGCTATCTGTCAGAGGTACTTTGAATGCGATTTTCCTGCTTCTTGGCAGAGAGTTGGACTGGACGGCCCATGAGGTCTCTTCCAACTCTATGAATTTGTGATTTCCAAGATCTGAAGCCTTTAGCATATGTAGGTCTTGTTTTTGTTTTGTGCAACATGCTATCATTGGAATATCAATTTTCTATGCTATATACAAGTGCTCCCATATTAACTCTGACTTATGTGGATTCTTTGGCAACATTTAATCAGAGGAAATTTGCCATTGCTGCCATTTCTGTCTTCTTAGGATAAGGGATCCAAACCTTTTTATCCTTGGCTAGATAAAACTACTCTTTTAAGTTATTGACATCAACTTTACCTAAATGTTACAATTAGCCTTTATGATTAAAAATAAAGCTAGGCTTTATTTCAAGATTTTAAAATGTTTCAAAATGCTTATCCTTTCAGTATCCTATAGAAATCCGCAAGTATGACTATGATCCAAATTTTGCAATAAGAGGGCTTCATTATGATGTACATCGGGTAGGTACGGATTATTTCATGTTTGTGTTTAATGAATGTGCACTCATTTGTGGTCTCTTTTCAACTCTGATCCTTATGTTATATTGCAAGTTCGGTCCTTATTTGAGAATGGCTTGCATAGCAGGATAGCTTTTAAAATAAACAATTTTATGTTTGGGTTGCTGTGAGTTTTCCAGTCTGTATGGCCATGTTTCAGAAGCATTCCCTCCCAACTTGTTTAGTTCTTCTTCTTCTTCACCATTTGGGGCAATGGAGAAGAAGAACTGAACAAGTTCCTGGACCACCTCAACAGCATCTACCCAAACATCCAATTCACCATGGAAAAAGAAATTGAAGGATAACTGCCTTTTCTAGATGTCCTGGCCATCCAAAAACCCAATCAACAATTGGGCCACACAATTTACAGAAAGCCTATACACATGGATAGATACCTACATAAAAACTCCAGCGATCACACAAGTCAACAAAAGAAGCACAGTTAAAGCTCTGGCAGACCATGCAAAAAGAATCTGGAAACCCCACCTCCTTCAAGGTGACCCGAACCACCTAAACTAGACTCTATAGGCTAATGGATAGCCCACCACAGACATCAGAAGAGTTGCAATACTGAGAACAAGCCACGAGACTAAAGACAAAGATCCACCCAGAGGAAAAGTGTTCTTGCCATATAGCAAGGGAACCACTGACCGCATAGGGAAGCTGATGAAGAAACACAAGCTACAAACTATCTACAGACCCACTAAGGAAATCCACCAAATACTACATTCAGCAAAGGACAAGAGGGAACCTCTCGCCCCTGCAGGAGTCTCCCGTATACCATGCAGCTGTGGACAAGTCTACATAGGGACCACCAAACACAGCATTGCCAAAACACAAATCAAGGAACATGAAAGGCACTGAAGACTGATTCAGCCCGAGAAGTCAGCCATAGCAGAGCATCTGATGAACCATCCTGGCCATAGCATATTATTTGAGAACACAGAAATGCTGGCCCACTATAACATGACAGACTACACCAGTGGTTCTCAACCTGTGGGTCCCCGGGTGTTTTGGCCTACTACTCCCAGAAATCCCAGCCAGTTTACCAGCTGTTAGGATTTTTGGGAGTTGAAGGCCAAAAATATATGGGGACCCCAGGGTGAGAATCACTGGACTACACAGAGAAGCCATTGAAATCCACAAGCATGTAGACAATTTCAACAGAAAGGAGGAAACCATGAAAATGAACAAAATCTGGCTACCAGTATTAAAAAACTCTAAAATCAGGACAGTAAATAAAGACCAACACTCTGAAAATAGGAGAATTCCAGACATGAAACAATCAGAGCCAGCTAACAACTCCCAACAAAGGATTCCCCCGGCAGAAAGCAGCCAGGCTTTGAAGCTGCAAGGACATTAAATGCTAATCAAGGTGGCCAATTACATCATTCACACTTGCCTCAAACAGACAAGAGTTCTTTCTCCCACCCTGGACATCATTCCACAGATATATATATAAACCTCACTTGCCTAGCTTCCAGCAGACCTCACAACCTCTGAGGATGCCTGCCAGAGATGTGGGCAAGACGTCAGGAGGGAATGCTTCTGGAACATGGCCATACAGCCCGGAAAACTCAGCAACCTAGTAATTCTGGACATAGATGCCTTCGTTAGCACAATTTTATGTTTCATATGGAACAGATTATTTATTTATTTGGGTTTTTATTCTCATGGTTCTCATGCCCCACCCCCAGACCAGGGCCTGTTAAGATATATTTTTAAATACAAGTTGATTGTCAAGAATGATTGTGTATATATACTTTCAGGGTGCTTGTTGATTTAACTGTGACCCCATACATTTTATAGAGTTTTCATAAGGAAGGACACAGTTACTGCAGTTTTGGATGCATTTTTGCCAGTTACTGCATCTGAAATATAGCGCACAGCACCTGGTATTTGTTTGTGGTCTCCCATTTAAATGCTAACAACTGGGGTAGAATCATATAAAAGCTTTCCTTCATATCTGAAATATTACATCTGCTGCTGTTCTGAATCTTGGCCAAAGGCAGATTTTATTGTACAGTAACCAGGATGTGTGTCACGGTTTGGGCTCTCAGTGGCAGGCAAAGGAGACCCAGCAGAAGCAGATTTATTTTAGGCTTTCTGTTATTTTTGGGTGTTCTGATTCTATTCCTAAAAATTTGGAACATTCTTGTCTTAACAAAAATGATCACAACTGGGAAATGCATTTGGGTGCGGCATTCTGCATGATTTTATGGCAAAAATCGTTCCAAAATAACACTGAATTTTTCAAAAATTTGGGAAGATTAGGATGATTTTTTGGGAATGGTGGGAGGGTTTCAGGGACTGTAAGAGGGAGCCCCAGGTGCCTAATGTTACCCATGGTTTGCACTTTTTAACTCATTTTCAATCTTTCATTAAAAAAGATACAGTAATTCTATATGGCAACAATCATACTTGACTGTAATTTCATTTAAAACGTTAAGTACAGTGTCTAAGTTTTACTTGGAATTTTTTTTAAAGGCGTTGTTGATGAAGATTGATGCTTTCCATTATATTCAATTGGGAACAGTGTACAGGTAGGTGTCATTTGCTTGATTGAGACTAATTTTGTTTGAGATGTTCCAGGTGAGCTGGGGGCTCTGATCAGTAATATATCACAGTGTTGACAGTATAAACTAATAGAAGCCTCTTGGCATCCATTTTCATTTTCCCTTTGCATGAGTAATGAAACACATATTTGCAGTTACCAATTGTTTGCTGTTTGGATTGGGAGCTTTGATGAATGACATCCAGGCAAGCCAGGATTTGGAAGACAACTTTACACCTTAGCTTAAACCCTGGCTAGCATAATGTCAGCAACAGTTCAATCCATTTTAGTACCTCTGTTCATTAATCACTCCCAATGTTTTATATATATGTGGGAAGGAATACTATATTGAAATGATAATGTTAATATTGGTTGAACTATTCAAATCTGCTTTTGTGTTCAGAAGAGAGTTGGCTATTCACATCACACTGACTAATGATCCCAGCTGCTAAATTGCAGTAGAAAGATGCTAAAAATACTTCACTGTTGACAACAGAGCTTTATGAAAAGCTACACAGGCAATAGCTTTCAAATCTGTTTCATTATGGTACTTACAGTTGTTACAGCCCCCTTCAAATTCATGCGTGATGAAAGCACAGTGGTGAATACCATGTTAATTTTCTTGCCCTCTTGTTTGAATTGGTGCACATGTTTAACGATGTTAAATTATGTGTGTGTTAAATTGCAGTTCTCATTTTTTAACAGAAGGCAAAAATTGCTGGCCCTTATTTATTTATTTCATATACTTGTATCCCACCCTTCTCACCCCCGAGGGGGGACTCAGGACAGCCTCACAGCAAACACCATTTGGTGCCATCATAATGATAAATTCATTAAAACAAAACATTAAATGAACAGTTGTTAAAAGACGCCAATTAAAATCCGGGACTGGGTCAATTCATCATCACTTCGAAATTGCTTATGTCTCCTTCATACAAGCTGTTGGTCAAATGCAAGGTCCCACAGCCATGTCTTGAGTTACCTCCTAAAGGACAGATACCTTAGGGTATCCGTTTCCAAAAATGTGAATACATTGTACTTTTCGTTATAAAGTTATATGCTATATACCAGGCATGGGCAAACTTCAGCCCTCCAGGTGTTTTGGACTTCAACTCCCACAATTCCTAATAGCCGGAAGGCTGTTAGGAGTTGTAGGAGTTGAAGTCCAAAACAACTGGAATGCCAAAGTTTGCCCATGCCTGCTATATACAGACCATTTTCTTTCATCTAAAAACAATTATAGCCAGAACCTATAATATTTCAAGTTGCCATTAAAAATTATTAAGGTTAGAATCTATTTCCAACATATCTTGGCATAAATCCCATTGTTGGCTTTCTCCATTGATTTAAGGCTTTAGTCATTAGTTGATACAGACTAAAATATTTTGGATAGTTAGGGTGTATCCACCGCTTATGTACAACTGGAGAACCCAAAGCTTCTTACCAAGTAACTCTACACTGCTTTGTGAGAACTGCTTTAATTTCGCAATGAAACTGTTATTTCTCTTTCCAGAGGATTGAATGTGGTCCCAGATGACGAGGTCATTGCCATGTATGATGGGTCCCATGTCCCTTTGGAACAAATGAGTGACTTCTATGGAAAGGTAAAAGTTTAAACCATCACATCCAATATAAATTTAAATTATTATATGATTGGGTTTATGTTTTTTCTTCATGCCTTGCCATATGATAATCTCTTGCTATTCTGCCTCAGTACCTCTCAAACTACCATGTATACTCGAGTATAAGCCGACCTGAATATAAGCCAAGGCACCTAATTTTACCACAAAAACTGGGAAAACGCATTGACTTGATTATAAGCTTAGCGAGGAAATGTAGCAGCTACTGCTAATTTTCAAAAATAAAAATAAAAATAGATACATTACATTAATTGTGTCATCAGTAGGTTAAAAGTTTTTGAATATTTACATAAAACTGTAATTTAAGATAAGACTGTCCAACTCTGAATAAACCATTCTAACCTTCTTCAGTGTAAATGTGCTTGTGTATCCTTCCAGTAATAATAGAGTAAAATAATAAATGTAATTAAAATAATTAAAATAATTATTAATTAAAATAATAGAGTAAAATAATGTAAATGTAATAATGAGTAAAATAATAAATGTAATGATAGTAATAATAGAGTAAAATTAAAAAGTAATAATAATAAGAAATATAAAAAATAAGAAATGTAATAATAATAATAATAATAATAATATAAAATAATAAATAATTTTAGCCTAAAAAAATGGCCAAAAACCTCAGCTTATAATAGAGTATATAAAGTACTATGTGACTTTGTTGTCTAGGAGCATGTAATTACTTAGCTCATGGAAATAGTGTTTATTTATTATTAGTTAGGTTTACATATCATGCTTTTTCTCCATTGAGCTTAAGAGTGGATGTATGGGCCTTAGGTTCACCACTTTATTTCCTTAAAAACTAGTAGTCATTGTGAGACAAATGATTCCCTCTTTTAATAGTACTGATTCTCCTTGTTCTATTAGACTGTTGTTGCTTCTGTTTTTAAAATCTGTTTCTAAATTAATTGAATGCAGAACACAGATGGTTTGTTCTGAGCTGAACCATTTGTCACATTTGACATTGCGTTTGTAATAAAATCTACTAATACATGATGTGAGTTCTCACTTGTCCTTAACAAATTAACAATTCAGATGAATAAAAATGCAAAATGGAACGGATTAAGTTTCAATAAAGTGCCACTGATCTAGGAAAGCGGATTCAATAATATGAATACTATTATTAAGAGTCAAAACCGCAACAGTCTATTTATTATATCAATGATAGATAACATCTGGCTTGTACAACTTTCTTTCTCAAGTCTTGTCTTTCTAGAATATGCTTCAGATAAATTGGGTTAGCAAAGTAACTTGCCCAGAAATGGCATCACTGCAGAACCTACTAGGCTGTGTTATTCTATGGGAAGAAGTCCTTTTGATTGCATCCTTCTTGGTGTGTCATTGATAGCTGGCATTTTTTGAGAGTGAGGAGGCAGATGTTTATAGATCACTGTTTTTTAATAGATATTATATGTCTCTCTCTCTTACTAGAAATTGGTGGATTGAACACTGTCCTACTTATTTTATTTACAATTGATATTCTTTGTAGAGTTCACTTATAAACTTATAACACAGAAATATAAATCAATTGATTGAAGAGTACAATATTAAAAACAACAATCTAAAACACCTTTAAATCCTGTACAGAGGTCTACTAAAACAAGTTCAGAAGCTCCAAATACTCCAAAGATCGGCAGCTAGGCTGCTAACTGGAGCGCTGTACAGGCAGCTGACAACCCCATGTTACGACAGCTGCATTAGCTGCCGATCCGCTTCTGGGCTAAATACAAAGTTCTGGCTATTATCTTAAAGTCCTAAATGGTTCGGGTCCAAACTAATTAACTAACTGCATCTCTGCATATAAACCTACATGGACACTGTGGTCATCGGAGGGGGCCCTGCTCTTGGTCCCACCCCAACTCAAGTGTGCTTGGTGGAAATGAGGGGGGGGGGGCTTCTCCGTGACCGCCCCTTTCCTCTGGAACTCCTTCCCTTTGAAAGTAAGAAGAGCTTCCTCGCTCCTCTCCTTCAAGAAGTAATAACAACACAGCTGTACACTGGCCTTTGGAGAGGAGGATGATTAGTTTTTATTAACTTCTTATGCTTCTATTTGCCTGATGTGGCTGACTGAGAAAATATTGCCCTAACTCATTGCACAGCCATGTTTTTATTGTTCATTTCTCATGTTGATCCTATTAATTCATTGTGTTATTTATGGAACTTATGACTTGTTTTAACTATTATTGTGTTTTTGTGAATTTTTAATGACTTATTTAAATTAAATTTTACTGCTGTTTATCTCTATTTTGTTTTTATCTTTGTAAGCCGCCTTGAGTCCCTTCAGGGAGATAGGGTGGGTTATTTGAAAAGTTATTATTATTATTATTATTATTATTATTATTATTATTAAAAGCAGTATCAGAATAAAACAAAAAAGGTTTGAGAGCCTGTCTAAAGGAAGGAGACAACACTATGTCCCTTGAAACTGCATTCTGACAGTAGGGATTCGTCACCTAAAAAGGCCCATTCTTGTGCCTACCAATCCTGTTCAACTTCAGTTGTTTCATTTTCATTTACTAGACTTAGTTATTTTGCATCTCTCTTTCTCTTGTTCTCAACAAAAATAATGGAAAAATAAATACAAATAAAACAAAAGCTTATTATATGCATATAAATGTCTCGATGTGTGACAGATGTTTGAGTTACATGTGCTTATTTGTAGAGTTCACAAGGTAACACCATGAAGCAATTTATGGATATCTTCTCCTTGCCTGAGATGACACTCCTTTCTTGCGTGAATGAATACTTCCTGAAAAACAACATAGACTATGAACCAGTTCACCTCTACAAAGATGTGAAGGTATTGGGCTGTTCCAGCATAATAGCCATCCATATGTCTTTTCTCTCTCTGTAGAATATGAAGCTATTTGATCTCATTTCTGGATATGTGCCACACACCAAATAGTCCTAAATGCTGAAATTTTATGTTTTATATATTTATGTTTATATCTGTTCAACAAAGTAGGATTTGATTAGTTTGTGGAAAGGGATTTTAAATCTGGGATCAAATATAAAATTGGACATAATTCTATAACAGTAGTTCCTAGAATCCCTCAAAAGTAAAGTTCTGGGAGCTATTCTTTCAAACTACCATTAGCTGGTAATGGAAAATACCTTTTGTTAATATTTGTATTTGTCAAATTAGTTTTTAGTATGCATAAGAATTTTGCTGTAACTTCACATTCAACTTCTCTGACAGGATTCGATCAGAGATGTCCACATCAAAGGAATAATGTACCGTGCAATCGAAGCAGATATTGGTAAGCGTTAATGAGCTTTTCTGCAAAGTGGGCCATCACTTTTAATGCTTTATGATCATTAGTTCCAACCGACCATACATAATAACGTAATTACACAAATGATGTAGGATTTAGGAAAATTGTCACCTTAAAGGTTCTCAGCTCATCACTGTTATTGGTGTGAATCTAGAAGTAGTTGTTGGAGGAAGCAACCTTCTCTAGCCTCCTCCACATGATGTTTGTCTGTTTCATAATGTGTCATTTTATAACCTGAATATAACTCGAATTTGTGGTTTCCTTATCTCTATATACCTAAAGCAGTGGGAGGGGCTGCAGGTCACGTTACTGACTCAATGACAGTTTGGAATGTTCAGCTTGAAACAAGGATGACAAGTTAGGGAATGTTGGTTGAGGAATTACTGTTAGAGAAGTATAGACATCTGTTAGAATGCAGAAGCAGTGTTAGCTGCTAAAACGGTTGAGGCTTGTGTTTTCTTTGAAAGTAAACTCTTATTAAAGAGAGCTGTACTGTTTATGAAGAAATGGTTAAAGAATATAAATTCAAGATATAAACTCTCTGAAACATTTTGAAGTTTTTAACCCTTGACAAGAAAAGTGCCATTCAGGGTCCCAGCTAATTTCCTTAAGATCTTGAGACTAATAAATTTGAAATCTGTATTTCCTTATGAAAGCTGTCAAGTCAGGGTTGGGCGAAAAAAACCTTCCTTCTATGTATCAAGTCGTGATGATTCCTCAAACCTTTAAAGTTTGCACATTCAGGATTACTAACAGTGGAGATTCCTCAGATGCTTTAACATTTTTAATGTCTTAGCATGTGATACATTCTTCTAATGTTTAGACAATTCAAGAGCATTCTGCACCATATAAAGGCTTTAGAATGCCAGAGTGTCTGTAGAGAGACTGGATTTGTAGTCTAGCGTAGTTATAAACTTTGGGTTTCTAGGAGCAACTCCTCTTAAAATGTTTTATAAGTTTACTTTTAGTTAGAGTGTAAAAATTGTTTGGGTTGTTGTAGGTTTTTTCGGGCTATATGGCCATGTTCTAGTGGCATTCTCTCTTTGGAGAGAATGCCTCTAAGAACATGTCCATATAGCCCGAAAAAACCTACAACAACCCAGTGATTCCGGCCATGAAAGCCTTTGACAATACAAAAAAATTTTTTTTTTTTAGTTTTGTTGTGCACGCAGTCTTTCCCTTGCCACTGCTTTTCTATTCTGGGTTCAAAGCCTTAGAAATATAAATGCTTTACAGAAGGACTCTTATAGGACGGACATCTTTCAGGAGTGATTAACCATAATACATAGATTAGTGCTTTTAATTTTGAAATGTTCTACATGCTTTCTGTATTCTACCAGCACTATGGTAATTGTGGTGATATGATTGTGCTTTTTATAATTAGACAAGATTGAAGATATTGCTTTGCTATGTTTCTTAATGCAGTCAGGAATGTTAGTAATGGAAACTGATCTTTTGTTGTTTGTGGTTTTATATTCTGCTTTTTTATATTTCATGTTTTTAACTGACTGCACACTATCCCATCAGTGGAGGAGTTCAATGTGCAATAAATAGCAGCCCCCAGTGGCGCAATATGTTAAACCCTTCTGCTGACAGGACTGCTGACCAAAAGGTTGGCAGTTCAAATCCGGGGAGTGAGTTCTTGTTTGTCAGCTCCAGCTTCTCATGTGGGGACATGAGAGAAGCCTCCCACAGGATGGTCAAACATCCGGACTTCCTCTGGGCAACATCCTGGCAGACAGTCAATTCTCTCACACCAGAAGCAACTTGCAGTTTCTGAAGTTGCATCTGACTCGAAAAAAATTGCAATAAATGAACCAAAATCCTTTTAGTCTTCTCTTCCTCTTTCCCCTTTAGAGAAATACATTTGTTATGCGGAGCAAACCCGTGCTGTATTAGCAAAGCTGGCAGATCATGGCAAGAAGATGTTCCTCATCACAAACAGTCCTAGCAGCTTTGTGTAAGTTGCTTACTTTGTATATACCAAAAAAGGGATCTCTCAGTGGTAAATGTAAATTGTCATTTCTTACGATGCAAGCTAGTTTATGCTTGTTTTTCTAATAGCTGGTCTACTCTTTTCAGGGACAGAGGCATGAGGTTCATTGTTGGGAAGGACTGGAGGGATCTCTTTGACGTTGTCATTGTCCAGGCTGACAAACCAAACTTCTTTAATGATAAGAGAAGGTGAGTGACGTTTCCTAAAGTGCGGTTAAGCAACTGCAGCAGAGTTATTATTATTATTATTTAAACTGGTGGCCTGTTTACACTTGGTGCTGTTCAGATATTGAGCTTAGTTATGTTTTTGTTTTGTTTTAGACCTTTCCGTAAGGTAAATGAAAGAGGTGTTTTGCTTTGGGACAAAATCCATGAATTGCAGAAAGGGCAAATTTACAAGCAGGTATGCCTTGTTTAACAAAATACTTTAATTTTTCTTTTATTTTTTGAGGGGGACCTTCAGGGAACTAACAATGAAAATAAAAATATAGAGATTCAAGTCAGGAACCAGAAAAAAAGTTAAAAAGAAGGAAAGATATGTGTATGTTTACTTTTATATGTTTTTATATTAGCTCCTTCATACTTTTCTCCATATTGTTACTATTGTGAAAAATCTAATTTCTAGTCCCAAACAGAATATATAAAATCAATTGCTGATTTTAAGTCAACATTTGTGAATTCATTGGTTTAGTGTGTCTACTTTAGTTGGACAAGATAGGTATTTTGCTTGGATAAACACTGATGTTATTGTGTGTTAAGAGGTTTTTATAAATTGTTATGTGATTTTAAAATGTTGTATGCCACCTTAGATCCTGTGCTTGGAGAAAGGTGAAAATAATCTAATTTAGCAAGACTTACTGTAAAATGATGCACTTGTGAAGCATTTGGCTTAAAGATACTAGTCAGTGACTCGGGGTTATCAAACTGATGTTATTGCAGCTATATAAGCCTACGCAGTAGGAGAAAATGTAAAGCAGTTTTGCAGATTTTATATTGTTATGAAATGATTAGTTTTGTTCATATTAGATTGGCTCTCATACAACTTTAATCATCACAGAATACTAGAATACACTTCTCTACCAACAAAAAAAATATTTTAACTCTACAGAATACAATTTTATTTGAAAGAAGTAAGTGAACTAGACATTAACATATACAGGAATATAAAAATAATCATTCTGCCTTGGTAATGGAGGTAGAATTTAAGTTTGGAGTAAGTGTTTGTATAAACGAAAATACTGTACGTTTCCATGTGTGAAGCAAAGCTTTGTTCCTGTCTATGGCCACATTTTATTCGTGGCTCATAACATCTTTCTTTCTGTCCGGTTTTGCAGGGCAACTTATATGAGTTCCTGAAACTGACTGGCTGGAGGGGCTCCAAAGTCTTATATTTTGGTGATCATATTTATAGTGATCTTGCAGTAAGTAGTTTTCCCTGTTAATTTCATATAAAGCAGGTACTGGCTAGAGGAATGAACTAATTACTTTTGTAAGCCAGCAGGACTTATGAAAATAAAAGAATGCCATGTTTCTGTCATAAAAGTGGGAAAATCCCTGATGGGATTAGTTTTCTGTTTAGAGAAATCTAAGCTTCTTATTTCACCTGCCATGCAGTTTTGTGTTTATTTCGTGATGGTAAAGAACAAGGCCATAGGGCAAACCGGTTTTTGTTCTCTATAAAACGCTAGTTGTGGGTGACCTGAAATAGAAATGACTGCTGTTTCAAGTGGTGTTTGCTGCCCACTGTTATAAATATTTAAATGGAAAATAGAAATCCTCCTTTGAATCTTATACCAGGCAATATAATTAATGTGCATAGTTGTTTTCACATATGTATCTTGTAGCACAGTGCTTCCCAACACATGGATCACAACCAATGGGTTGGGAACCCCACAGAAGGGTTTTCTTTGGGGCCACTGGGCAGTGGTGAGCTATGAAAATTTTTCAGAGGGGAAACAAAAAAATCATGTCATTGCATCCTGCACAGAGATTTGTTTGCATAAATGGGTAACGATATTTTGTTCATTGGGTTAGCTTGCTGTGAGGTCCAGGTTCCTGCGCAGTTCACTGCCTTGCTGTACAGAATGTGGATGCTGTTCAGCTTGTGATTGGTCGATTCTTAGTGATACGTGCACTTTGAGTGCCTTGTTTTTTGTAGGTGGCAATGTTTTTTCTTTGATACCAGGAAATGTTGCCAAATATAAGACATCGTATGTCTACACAAATCAAATAATCCTGCTTCCAGGAATCTAATGCTCAGCACATCATGTTATTTCCCTTCTTTGGCCATCTGAACAGGAAGCCAAGAGCAGTCAACCATAAGCCAAGTAGTGCTGTAAGATACAGACACCATTGTTGTCACTTTAGCAGCACTAACAGTTCTAACTTTTACTGTATTGGTGTTGTGGGTCACTTTTCCTCTATAAAATGGGGTCACAACCCAAAACTTTTTGGGAACCACTGTTGTAGCATATGTTATTTTTGAGCAGTTGTCCTCTTCTGCATGATTCCATGTTGCTTGAAAGGTGAATGGACAGCAGCTTCCTTCATCTGTGTATGGCAACAGAACTAGGAGACCCTGGTGGCCCAATGGGTTAAACCCTTGTGCCAGCAGAACTACTGACCACAGATCGACGGTTTGAATCCGGGGAGAATGGGTTGAGGCCCCTCTGTCAGCTTCAGCTCCCCATGTGAGGACATGAGAGAAGCCTCCCACAAGGATGGTAAAACATCAAACATCTGGGTGTCCCCTGGGCAACATCCTTTCAGATGGCCAATTCTCTCACACCAGAAGAGACTTGCAGTTTCTCAAGTTGCTCCTGACATGAAAAAAAAAAAACAACCCTCAAAAACAGAACCGGTTTCTGAATCTTGAGCGTTTGGAGAAGAAAATGTGCAGAAAGGTGGCTTGTTTCCTTCATTGCTATTTGAAAATTCTGCTCAACTTGTGAAGTAGCTTTGGATTGACACTTGGGGATGTTCATACCTTTGAGAAGGTCTTCATATTTTAGGAAGCACATTATGTTGCCACGAGTCTCCACAATAGCCCCGGCACTTTAAAAGGTCGGGAGAATTCTCAAGACCTTGTTTTTTGTAATGCTTTGTGCGAATGTTGTAAAGAACTGTGAACTCCCCTTCTGTGGAGGTTTTTAAAATGAGACTGGATGTCCATCTGTTGAGAATGCTGTTGGGCATGTTTAGCCTGAAGAAGAGAAGGCTGAGAGGAGACATGATAGCCATGTATAAATATGTGAGAGGAAGTCACAGGGAGGAGGGAGCAAGCTTGTTTTCTGCTGCCCTTGAGACTAGGACGCAATGAAACAATGGCTTCAAACTACAAGAAAGGAGATTCTATCTGAACATTAGGAAGAACTTCCTGACTGTGAGAGCCATTCAGCAGTGGAACTCCCTGCCCCGGAGTGTGGTGGAGGCTCCTTCTTTGGAAGCTTTTAAACAGAGGCTGGATGGCCATCTGATGGCCATCTGTCGGGTGTGCTTTGAATGCAATATTCCTGCTTCTTGGCAGGGGGTTGGACTGGATGGCCCATGAGGTTTCTTCCAACTCTTTGACTCTATGATTCTATGATAAGAAAGCCCTTTTACTTTGTTTGCTGCTTAGCAATATACCAAATTGTCTTTAGAGTGAAATAATGGAAAGTGCCCTTTGAATCATCTGAACACTGATGCCTTTGTGTTTTACAATCCTGGTTGGCCAAATAGGATTTGACCTTAAAGCATGGTTGGCGAACAGGTGCAATTATTCCAGAGTTACGGACAGAGATTAAGATCATGAACACAGAGCGATATATTCAGACCATGACCTGGCTGCAAACTCTCACTGGATTACTGGAACACATGCAGGTTTGTTCTTTTCCTTCACCCCACTCCTGCCCCATTATTCCTCTCCTACCTAAATGGTATTAGTCACCATTTAAGTAGATGGACTTATCTAAGTGGCAGTAACATTGGGTTCAGCCCATTGCTACTTTGTAGGATTATTTCAGGCTCAATAACATGCATTGATTCTTTTGGATTTCACCTTTGCATGATGAAGTAATATAAACCTGACTTTCTAATACTGCATTCAGTTTATGTGCCAATTGTTGTCATTCCTTATTTTTCTCACTACTTGTTCCTTTAATGTTTCCATCTCTGTCATATTTTTAATACTGTGTAAACATATTGTGTAGACATGCTCTTAAACTATGATGCGCTTGGGCCTTGTTCTGTTAATAAAAGGCAGTTCATGCCCTCTCTGCTGTCATTTCAGGTTCACAAGGATCCTGACTCTCAGCTGATTATACAGGAGTGGAAGAAGGAAAGAAAGGAAATGAGGTAAACATTAATGTGCTTGTTTCAGACTTGTAAAAGAGTAAAGCCATTGGTTAATTTTTAGAAAAATGTGCTGTGTCCTAATTTGCTGTATTTTCTTCATTATCTCTGTTAGTAACATTATATAACAAAATTTGGTGGAAAAAAACTGTACCTAGTTTGAAAGTGTTATTTCCTGTTTAATTGCGGGGTACTAACTTTGAAAGTAGTTACACTCCAAAAACCTTGTTTCTGTGGCTGCCACAAACTATGTTGAATTGGTTGAGACTTTATAAGGTATTCCTTGAAAAACTATAGCAAAATATGCTGCAGATTGTCTCAAAAAACAAAGTTTTTGTAAATTAATAAACCTTTTCCATGTTTTTATGATAGAATGAATTAGGAAATGACATTTGTAACCCAGGAACTAAAATTGTGCTACATAGTGTAATAGTAGCAGCTGCAAAAGAAAAATAATTGCAGCAGGGAACCAACCCCTTAGATTCCAAATTTGACTACTGAAAAATTAATGTAATTTTCTTAGGGTTATTTTTTGTGTTGCAAACTTTAGTCAGGAGCTCAAGTTTTCATCGGCCAGGAATCAATAGAAATAGTTGGGATATTTTTTAAAATAATTGTCTAGGAGCTCCTGGTAGCGCAGCAGTTTAAACAGCTGAGCTGCTGAACTTGCTGACTGAAAGGTCGACAGTTTGAATCTGGGGAGCAGGGTGAGCTCCCGCTGTTAGTCCCAGCTTCTGCCAACCTAGCAGTTCGAAAATCCCAGTTCGAAAACCTGCAAATGTGAGTGAGTAGGTCAATAGGTACCACTTCGGCAGGAAGATAATGGTGCTCCATGCAGTCATGGTGGTCACAGGACCTAGAGGTGTTGACAGACGTCAGCTCTTCAGCGTAGAATGGAGATGAGCAACACCCTCAGAGTCAGACAAGACTAGACTTGATGTCAAGGGGAAAGCTTTACTTTTTACATAATTGTCTACCATATTGTTTTCATGGTTAAGGACAATGTTTAATGTTTAAAAGACAGAATTTGGGAAGTTTGATTGAAAATAACTTTGCATTAAAATGGGGGATTGCTTATATCTAGGGGCCATAATTAATTTGACATTTAGGCTGCCTTCAGTATACAGTATTCACAAATTTCTCTTGTTCCTCTCCTTGTGTAAATATACTGCAGCCTTCCAGATGTGTGCAAAGGGGAATCCCCTACAATCTCTGTCCACTTACACCTTTATTGGGCAATGATAGAATAGAGCAGGCAGGGGCAAACTGCTTGTTGAATTTTTTTTAGACTTTATGTTTTTTAAAAGCTGTCAGGTTAGTCTTCAGTTTTGGGACTTCACCGTTTTTAAACATGATGGGAATAATAATTCTCAGAAATTAAAGCTCTTGAAGCTTTGAACTAAAAAAAACTTGCTATATTTAAATTGACTTTTGTCAGATACTAACATTTTATGACCCTGTCTACAGAGATGGTACAGAGAGCAGGATAAAATAAGAAATGAGTACATTAACGTTGTTCAGGCATTCTTGATTGATTATAAGGTTCCTGAATAGGAGATTTTGCTATAGTTGATAGATTTGAACATATATATATTTCCACCTTTCTGTTGGCTCTCAACGTTTAGATCTATAGATTTTTTTACATTTAAACTCCCTAAATCCCTTACTCTTGTCCGTGTAGTACTATTACTTAAAACACTGTAAGGAAGACAGGTTAAACAACCATTATCCTGGAGGCTGAACCATATATAACTCTTAGCCATGCATAGTTCATTCCTGATCCTTTCCTCCATTATATACATGAAAGTTTTGATTGAAGACATATTCTATGGTCAAAATGAGAGACGATTTAACACATGAAAATAAAGAAGGAGAGAGTAATGTGTCATTAAAGCTTTCTCACCGCAGTCTTCCTACTGGCTGTTAGGAATTGTGGGAGTTGAAGTCCAAAACACCTGGAGGCCCAAAGTTTGCCCATGCCTGGGCTACAACCTCCATAGCTTCAGTTTGTCTGTGTTCATGTTCCTTCCATTTAGATTCAGGGTCATGATGATCCATAGTAACTGAGAATTGTAGATCCAGATGCTGTAGGCCTGGAAGGCAGCATCCAGATCTACAATTAAGATTTCGGATACACTAGCAACAGATCTTTGATACAGCTAATTGGTCTTATTTGACAATTCCCTAATAAAAGTAGAATAGAACAGTGTTGTTGGTAAAATACACCCCTTTCACCTCACAATGAAGATTGCAGCTAAAGCTGACATAAAGATGGAAGATGGGAAGATTAGGATGGAAGCCTAGATGGAAACATATGATATTACATTTCCAGCTAACCAAAAATGTCTGACTTTTTGGCCCTTCACCATAACACTAAGGAGTACTAGTGAGAGATGGCTGTACAACCATTATTTACGTCTTCGCAGAACACAAGTTCACTCTTTCTTCTACATGGTGTCCCTTTAGATATTTAGAGATAACTTTCTGTGTTTTTTTTAATCTAAGCTTAATTGGAGCAAACAAGAAGTAGGTTGCTAGTCCTAAAATAATAGAATTTCCCCACTTTTTTTCCAGGGAGCTGACCAGAAATTTCTTCAACTCTCAATTTGGAAGCTTATTCAGGACTGACCAGAACCCGACCTATTTCTTAAGACGCTTGTCACGCTTCGCTGACGTTTACATGGCATCACTGAGCTGCCTTTTGAACTATGACCATGACTACACTTTTTATCCAAGGAGGACTCCTTTGCAGCATGAACTCCCGACTTGGTCTGACCAGCTGTGCACTGGTACATTCAGAATACCTTTTCTGCAAGAGATGATTCAGATTAAATAAGTTTTCTTCTCTCTCCTGTTTCACTTCACTTTCTGCAATATCAAACTTCATTATTCCTTTCCCCAGTGGCTCAATAGGGTATAGTACAAGTATATTTATTGTTAACATCAATGTATTTTAAAAGCAATGATCTCTTTAGTAGCAGCAATTCTTACTCTTCCTTTCATGTACTCTACATCCGTATATTGGGCCAATATTTGTTTAGCTCTGAGATTGTAACCCAGCAACCCCAACTAGAATACCACATGGTGGGAGAGGGTGAAGAAATCATGGAAGGCCATGATTTCATACCTGGTTTAGTTTGTCTGCCATCTTCTTGAATTTACTGAGAATTGATGGGATTGCACTGAGAGAAAACGGATCTCATCTCGTACCCGACTAATTGATGGAAGAGGAATTATATGCACAAAAATCAATTTTTTAATATTTTTGATGTATGGCTTACAAAGCCTGATATATTTATCTTGCATCTTCTAATTGGAAGAATATTGCTTCAGATTTGGTGCCTATGTTGAATTCTGATTGAGTTAGTGAGATGTTTTGAAGACGTAGTGAGAATTTCTCATGATTATTCATGTTTTGGGTAGCAGGAGAAATAGGTATATGTAACATTTGTGAAATCTAAAATTACTGTAAAATTTTAAAAATGTTGAATGGGTTTTCCCAAGATGTACATCAGAATGGATATCGGTAGTACGTCCTGTTAACATTAACTGAGTGAGTCTAGATGTCATTGGAATTATATACCTCCTGAACTGAAGTCCAAACGCACAAGTTCGCCTGTCTGGTGCAGTTATAAAATGAAACTCACATTTTTTTCCCATTGGATCATACTTAGGTATATTTGTTTGAATGCAATGTGAGCAAGGGAGCTACAGTCTGCTGTACTCTGATAAACACAAGCACAGTAGTTTTGCAAAACAACTACCTTTGCAAAAAGGAAGTAAAACATCAAATACATAGGCCTAGTGATGCAAAAAAAAAAAAAAGAAAAAGAAAAAGGAAAGATCTATAATTATAACTACAAAATGCCAAAAATGAAGTAAGTTTTCCAGTGTAAACTCAAATTTAGTACTTATCCTATTTGTAGTATCACATATACTATGGCAATATCTATATTGTGCAAAGACATCGCACTGTGCACTTTACTTGTTTGTCACAATTGCACATTGCCATTCAGGGCTGTAATGCACCATGGAGTTAAGTCTGTGGTGTACAGGAATGGCTACTAATACTCTGCTATATCCTTGGTGCACGTCCTATTTAATTCAATGCAATTTGCTTCTGGGTCAATATGTAAAGGATTGCACTGCAAATGTTCTTGAAGTGCCTTCATATGAAATATTTGTTTGGAAAAGCAGCAAACATGTAAAGCAAGCGTTAGGACACATGGTGCCTATCATTGCGAAACAGAAAATACTTTTTATTTCTAAAGATTTTCCCTGAACTCTCCCATCTCTGAAACACAACCCACAAATGGATATAATTCATTTGCACTTAAGTAATATAGTTAGAAGCTGGTTTACAACTCAACCCTATACATATTTATTCACAAACAAGCCCCACTGTGATCAATTGTTAGGAACACAGCTTAATTTCCACTATTTTTTTAACTGATGGTTATTGTATTCACTCATTGAATGTAAAGGCTATCACATATTAGACTTTTGGCTAAATGGAACAGAATGAAATTTGTTGTACCTATAGTTCTGTACATTCCCTTTAATCATAAGTTATGGATTAGCTTAGTAATGTGCTCATATATAAAAACTGCTTTTATTAAGGCAGGTAGGTATTATAAAGCATCACATTTTGTATACTGAAATTAGAATGTAATTGCTCTAAATATGCCCTATGAATGGAAAGTATTTTTCACTCACAGAAAGATTCTAGATGAGATTTTGCATCCTGTGGGTTTGCAGAGGCTTTTTCTTCAGATCATTTTAGTTGCCCGTTAGTGCTTTATAAGCTATGTTCTGCATCTTTCTTATCCACAATTGTATTTTTCTTCCCTTTTTAAAACTCATTCTCCTACTTAAAAATATGGTCACAACCATGTTGCCCTACAAGAGGCCTATGAAAAATGCATAAGGAGAGCAATGATTACACAAGTCATCTTATACCTGTTCCCTAAAAAGAGGTCACATATAGCCACTGAGGCTAACTCGCCGTTCTCCATAAATGTGTCTAACTATATCATTAAAATATGATATTGGATCCAGGTTTAAAAACCTATTTCTAGCCAAAATTATACTGTTAATCCTTGAGTTTTCAGTGGACGAGTTGCTTGGAAGATTGCTCTTCTGATAGCTTTGTTTCTTCTGCAATTAGCTATCTTCAGATAGCAAGGAACTGAGAAGTAAATATATTTTAAAGGTGAGAAGTTAATAAGCCAATTTAAATGGCATTGTAGAATAATTCAGAGATAGTTAATTTTGGAATGACCCAAATACTCGTCTTGGAATTTAAGATGTCCGTTCCCTCTAAGAGGGAAGAACTTTTATGGTGATGCATATGAAGTATAAGTTGTATAAGTTTCTGAAATACTTAAAATTAAAAGACCAACTAAAGTCACAGTCCTAAAACTACAAAACCCAAGTAGTTAATAACTTTCTATTGTAGGTCTCTCATTCATCTACCAGAAATCTGAATTGTTTTGATAGCACATAACAACAATAAGTCCATAACATATTACAAATTGGGTATCCCAATTCAGTTACTCTGTTTTAGTAGTCCTTAAAATGTACTTTGGTAAACCTTTTTTTAAAAAAACAACCAAGAATTGTTCTCATTTTATTTTTAGGAAATAGTTTGGTTCCTCAAATGCTGGTCAGGTAAATGTGTGTTTCAAGTTTGTCAGCATTTCTGTGTATGTGAGAGTGCAGTTATATTGATAGATTTCTGAATTTTTGTATTGCGTAATTTAAAAACAGCCTGCTGGCATGGCTCTATTTTGTCCAGTATTTCATCTGCTTGGAGAAGACTTTTGAGGAGGGCTGAGATAAAGTTTCACTTGGAGGTCTCAATCCTCTTGAGAAAAATCTTTAAATCAGCCACAGATTTAACCACTATTTTGACATAGTTGTTCTGTTGTGAATATCCTTAAGTTGTTGGAGAGCATATAGTAAATGTAATGTTGCAAATAGAGAAAGCAAATTAGTAGAAACTAGGTGCTTATGTCATGAAGGGCAGATCAAGCCCGTTTAGCGTGAGGGTGATGCTTCCAATGCTGGCCACATGGAAAAGCCGAATTCAAATATGAAGTGCTTTAGGCCATCTATTTATTTAGACCACATTGTGTAGCATGTTCTTGGAATGTCCCTACCTATTTGACTCAGCCCTTCTTTTGAATTCTCCAACATGCTGGCCCTGGGGCACAATAGTGATTTTGAATGCGGAAGGCCTTGTTCGTGTCTTTCAGTGTTGCTGGGCTGTAAAATATTATATGCTTATAAATATCATACTTGAAATGCACTGCATGACTTCTACAGACTCCCATACTGCTCTTGTTAGAAGAAAACTCTTCTGACTCATTGGCAAATTGTGTCAAAATAAGTTAATATCTGTTTTGTTGCTTTAAAAACTAAGGATGAGAAGCACTGAGAATAAAAGCAGGAGCTGACATTATTGAAATGAATTAATCACTCCTCGTGGCTCCTGTATTTGCCCAAGACATGAGTGTAATACTAAACTAAACATGCTACAGAAAGTTTTACACAAATTCCTATGTATACTAGAAAGTGTTGTGAATATTGTTAACTTTTCAGTGTGTTCCAGATCAAGAAATTGACAGTGTTGAGACTGTTTTTGCAGAAAAGCTCTTCTGTTTCAGAATAAAAACTTGATCTGTTTGTCTAAAATGCATAGGTTATCTGTAGGTGATTGCTGCTACATATTTCAGCATATATATTGTAAAAAAGGATTTGCATGAAAAGTGACCAGCTTTGAGCTGACCTTCATGTGAACATTAAAACTACAGTATTCCTATTGTTGGTGTTACTGCTGTGATGTACCTTTATACAAAATACTACCCCTTTTGAGTATTGAAACCTGCCATCTGTAACCTCCTTGATAATTTTGCCATGTGGATTTTTGTCAGCATACTTGATTCAAATACCAGGCACGAAGCAGCTGGGTCTTCAATTTGTTGAGAAACAAACTGGAATGAGAATCTGATGCAAATGAAGGCGCTCAAGCCACCCTTTTTGTACTGGGGGAAAAGATATTTTAATGTTACAGCATTGTTAATTTGTATACCAATAAATGTTTTGTCACATTTGTCCAGATTTTAATTAGTGTGAAAGTCATAATGCAAGTTTCAGAAGGAGAAAATTTAGAAAGGGTTTGGTTTTTTTTAGTAGAAAAACACAATGTGTATTCGGAAGAACCAGAAAGGAAATCCAAAGATCAAGTGTAGATTTGGTATAGGAAGTGCTGGCAATGGAAATTCAGACACAAGAATAGCATTCAAGAAAGTTGGCAACTCTAAATATTCTTGTAGAGTGAGGAACGGGTAGGTTATAAGAGGAAAAACTGTACTAGTCGGTAGACTGCCTGTATCTGGATTGTAGCCACATGGCCTGAAATACTATTTCCAGTCATTGCTGTTTTTCTTTCATAGCACTGTTTTTATTCATAGATCCCTAAGAAATTAGCACAAACATAATGGATTCTATGTAATTCTGACAAGTTTTGAAGACACGTTAGAGCAGGCACCCTCAAATTGTGGCTCTCCAGCTGTTAGGGTCTCCAACTCCCAGAAGTCCTAGCTAGCTAGTTCAATGGTCAGGAATTCTAGGAGTTGGAGGCACAAACAGCTGGACAGATGCAGTTTGAGGATGCTTGCATTAGAGGTATGAGTTCATTTAGTGCAGTGGTTCCCAACCTGTGGTCCGTGGACCACCAGTGGTTCCCAAGAACTAAAATATGGCCCATGGCCTCACCGTTGCAACAAGAGCGTTTGGTCTTACGAAAACCTCTTATAGTGCTTATTAAATATGGTTTTCTGTGGGCAAGCAGATGGCAACTACTGGATGGCATATGTTCTGTATCAGAAACTAGAGCTGATGTGGTCTATCCAATACAGTTTTCTGAATCAGCACCCCAAATAACCAATCTATACTAAGGAATCTAAAGCTGACCAAAAATTGATTCATAACCCTTTTGGTACTAATGTTGGAGAGTGGTCCCTGGTCAAAGAAAGGTTGGGAACCACCGATTCAGTGTCTGCTGTAATACACAGTTCTATACTCCTCTTATTCCAAAAATGCCAGTTCTATATTCTTGTAAATAGCATTGCATGGTATTAGCGTAAAAAAATTCTGTTCTGCTGAACCATTTTACTTACAACATCAGGTCTTCAAACAATTCAGAGATGTGTAATTTTTAATTATAGTTTTATTTGTTTGGGTTTTTAAAAAAACAATCTTTCCAAGTGCATCCATATAGAATCTGAAAGTTGTAATACTTCTCTGCTGTAGCTCAAGAACAACTCAATCTTCCTTGTTATCTTAATAGAAATTTCATGAAGGATTCTTACAGCATCATGTGGTTCAGCACTGCTGTGATCAAATTGTATTGTGTGCCTTCAAGTCATTTCTGATATATAGTTGACCCAAAAGTGAAGCTGTCATGGAGTTTTGTCAGCAATATTTGTTCAGAGTGGGATTGTGCTTCCTTGGAGGCTGAGAGAGAGAGTGCCTTGCCCAAGGTCTCCCAATGAGTTTCCATGGCTGAGCAGGAATTTGAACCTTGTATTAAAGAATGTTTAAAATATGTAACATTAGCTACTTCCGCAACCAATGGGAGAAACATCCTAATCCCATGCTTAGCTCCAAATTATGATATAAGAAAGAAGCAAAATCCTGAGCACACAGTGGCAAGATATATGCTTGTGGGAAGCCTCAAATTATGATATCAGGAACATCTGTTCAAATCATTTGATCTTGGGAAAACAGCTACTGTACAATTAGGATTCTAAGAAAACCAGGCTGCCTTCACTGTTGAGAATTTTCTATACTTTTCAAAGACCCATCACTCAAACTGCCATGTATCTTTCAGTTATATTCTTGCAGACCATTTCTTTCTTAGGCAGCTTTGCAGCTCAGAGCTCCTCAAGGGGACTACTGTTCACCAGCTGTTGTTCATCAGAAACCTGCATTTTAAAAACAGATAATATGCTTTTAAATATGATGGAATGTCTGACATCGGGGAAATCAAAGAAAACTCCTTGATTCTCATAGATAAAACTTACAGAAAATGGATTAGAAGAAGAATCTGGTGGAGAATATTCATAGTTAGGGTTAGAGATGCTTGAGGACTGTGCCTTGTCCAGTGTTGTTACATCAATGTCATATTTTTCCTGTGTTTTTAAACATAAAAGTGAATTATGATTTGAATATATACTATAAGGGAAAAAGGGACTGTGCCAAAATATACCCTAGTTACTGTTTCAAAGTAGAGTACACCTATTAACAGAATTTACATAGATGCTGACTTGCCATTAAGCAATTACTTAGGACCAACTATGACTGACAACTGAATATTATTCAGAATAGCCAAATTATAATTTGGCCATAATGAATGGATACATATTCAATTACTTCTTTTTCTACCTGATTTTTATTAACTGTCTTTAGCCATATGCAAACTGGGGAAACTGCTCATCGCAAGTCATGCCTTCATACTCTCAACCTGTACTGGGAAATTAGTTTGGTAAATTTCAGTAGCAGCCATATATAAACATGGGTAGAAGGAGGCATTTGTAAGGTGGTAAATAATGAACCTCACTATACATTTTCATCTACTTCTTACCTCAAAATGCTGGAAGCGAATAGTTCTTTGCTTAAATCTGAAGTATGAATATCCCACAAGAGCAACAATTCCAATTATCAGAAGAACTACAAACAACGCAACTCCAGCATGTAAGGCCTATGTGGAGATGGCAAAGACAGGTTTATTATTTTTAGTGAACTTGAAAGGTGGAATTCTGTTAGTTTGACAAAAGAAAAACAATACATTTTGTGAGATGTTAAAAGACAGCCATCTGTTTTTTTTAGAAAAAAACTTAAGACCTGGCTTTTAATGCAAGCGTTTAGTGAATAGAAAACTACGGAAGGAGACCTCAACAGCTTGAATAATGGGCTATGGATTTGGAAAAAGATTTGGACATGAGATCAAGACTTGGTATTTTATATGGTTTTAACCTGTTTGTTTGTTTGATAGATAGATGTTTTAATTGCTTATATATTTAGATTGTTTATATTTTGATGAGATGTGTTTTATTGTTTACCTGTGTGGCATTGAATTTTTGCCAGATTTGTAAGCCTCCTTGAGTCCCCTTTGGGGTCGAGAAAGGTGGGGTAGAAATGAAGTAAATAAATAAATATTGTGGCCCTATGTTTATGAAAGAAGCCATAGAAATGGGAAAAAGAAATAATTCACTAGTCATTTTTTAAAATGTCTTGCATCATGTAAAAATGACATGATCTGGGAAAAGGTTGATTCATAATAATAATAATAATAATAATAATAATAATAATAATAAAACTTTATTTATACCCCGCCACCATCTCCCGAAGGGGACTCGGAGTGGCTTACATGAGGCCAACCCCGACAACACATCAATAAATCAAAAAACAATAAGCAAAGACAATACAATTAATATAACTCACATATAAACACAAACAGTAACACACAAGGATTTAAAAAACCTATGGCCGGGTCAAATGTAATTGTTTAAAATTTAAAAAATTCTGGGCATGAACAGAGGTAGGATGTATCTGATAGGAGGGTTTTAAAAGAAATGAAGGGAGATCAACCCAATGAGTAGTTAACTAGAGCCAAATTTGGCAAATAGTTGGTGGTTCAGGTTTGCATTGGTACAGAAGAAGAAAAAAGTTTTGTAAATCTTCAGAGATCAAAAAAATGCTTGAAATATTGTATACACAATTTACATATTTTATACAAAGTGAAATGCATACACTATACCTTTAGAGTGAAAGATATTCTATTTCAGTAACCTCCCAATTACTGTAATTAAATAATCATCAGTGATCTAGTTGGAAATATGGACGTATGTCATTTTGAAGTCATGTTTGAATCTCAGCCCCAAAAGCTTATTTATTTATTTATTCATAGTATTTATATCCCACCTTTCTCAGCCCAAAGGCGACTCAACGCGGCTTACAGTTGGCAGCAATTTGATGCCCCAGTAAATATAAAATACAGTTTTAAAACATTTAGCATATAATATAAAACCATACAAAAACCAATAAAAACAGAAAACAAAGCTTAAATATATACTCAAAGAAATGGGAGGTATTTTCCTAACTGACTGAAATACCCAATCAGTGGTGTGCCCAGCCCTAATCTACATTAGAAAAATAGATTTGTGATTGATACACTGGTAGGGTCCCCCAGTGGTGCAGCGGGTTAAACCACTGAGCTGCCAAACTTGTTGACCAAAAGGTCAGCAGTTTGAATCCAGAGAGCGGGGTGAGCTCCTGCTGTTAGCCCCAGCTTCTCCCAACCTAGCAGTTCGAAAACATACAAATATGAGTAGATCAATAGGTACCATTTCTGTGGGAAGGTAATAGTGCTCCATGAAGTCATGCCGGCCACATGACTTGGGAGGTGTCTATGGACAAAGCCAACTCTTCGGTTTAGAAATGGAGATGAGCACCACCCCCCAGAGTCGGACACAACTAGACTTAATGTCAAGGGGAAACCTTTACAGTGGTAATCCAAATAGCAAATATAGCTATTGCTTTCAACTCAAAAATAGGTCACCTTTTGACCTTAAGAAGGTGGTACGTGTCCCCCAAATGTACTGACTGTATTTTGATAACTAGCTACTTATTTGTATTAGAGCTATAAAATGGCATCACTAGAAGAATATCATCATCATCATCATCATCATGGAAAAGTTACTTTGTAGACTACAGCTTCCAGGATCCATGACCCTTGCTGGTTGAGAGTTCATGGGGGTTGAACACACAAAATAGACTCATAGAAACAAAGAGTTGGAAGAGACCTCATGGGCCATCCAGTCCAACCCCCTGCCAAGAAGCAGGAATATTGCATTCAAATCACCCCAGACAGATGGCCATCCAGCCTCTGTTTAAAAGCTTCCAAAGAAGGAGCCTCCACCACACTCCAGGGCAGAGAGTTCCACTGCTGAACGGCTCTCACAGTCTTCCTCATGTTCAGATGGAATCTCCTTTCTTTTAGTTTCTCAATCTCTGCTGAAAGACTCATAATTACTGTGTATGCAAGACTTACAGAAGGTATAGCAGGTGCCTTTAGAGGTGTGGCAATAACATGGATGACCCCATTGGAAGCAATTATGTCCCATTCCAAGATAGTTTTTCCATCCACATACTTTGTTTCTTTCTAAAAAGGAAAAAAAAATACAAAGAGCTTTTATGACCTTTCCAAGAAAGCTGGAGTTTATTTCTCGGTGCTTAGATCTCTTTCATGTGATTCACTCTTGGCTCAAGAACTCACCTTTTCTCTGTTGTTGGATGTCTGCCTAAAAAAAGATTCATTTTTTCCTTGGCTGGAATAACTGGATGTAGCTGGCTGGAGAAGGAATCTAATCTTTCATGCCAGTAAACTCACTTCAGTCACATTTCAGTTTTAAACAGATGTAATCACCTGTTGAGCTAATGCTACATTCTTTCCATCTCATTGAGTAATTTTATTTTCCCCATCCACATATAGCAAGTTTGCTGCTATTGTACTTCATACATTATAAACTGCAGAATTTCCAACATTTCTAAAAAATGTATGAGCATTTAAACGTAGATAATTGAATCTGTGGGATCTAATATGTATTGACTTAATATTCGATCTTTCATTCAATAGGTTTACTGTAATTGGGACTCACCAACAGCATTCTTGCTGGTGAGTGCTATTTTCAGATTCTATTTTTAATTGGTGGTTTGGAGAGTGTATTCTTTATTGAGCATAATGGATGAAAAGTTAAAGATCTCTCAAGGGCATCATAATTTACACAAAGGACATTTCCATAATATGCATTTCCACCATTTCATGCCACTCTAATTGCCTAGACCTCCTAGCAACTCTTTTTAAAGGTCTTTCTAATGCTCTAAAGAGGTTCTTTTGTGTTTTCTTTAAAGAAACTGCCCATTAAGAAGCCTTTAATGGTGAATTTCTGTGTGATTCCATTCACGGAGTGGTAGTGGAAGGGTATCTGTAGAGTTACAAGGTGCCTGGTTATAAAGCTATTGTCTTCCTAACCCTGTTATATGCCTGTGAAACACGAACTGTTTATGGACTTCGCACTCAAGTCCTGGAACAATTCCATCAGCATTGCCTCTGAAAAATCCTGCAAATCTCTTGGGAAGACAGGTGGACAAATGTCAGCGTGCTGGAAGAAGCAAAGAACACACTGCCTTATTCCACTTAGGCAGAAAAAACAAAATGCAAAGATACAGAATGGGGGACGCCTGGCTTGAAAGCAGAAAAAGATCTTGGAGTCCTCGTGGACAACAAGTTAAACATGAGCCAACAATGTGATGTGGCGGCAAAAAACCAATGGGATTTGGCCTGCATCAATAGGAGCATAGTGTCTAGATCTAGGGAAGTAATGCTACCCCTCTATTCCACTTTGGTTAGACCACACCTGGAATATTGTGTCCAATTTCTGGGCACCACAATTCAAGAGAGATATTGACAAGCTGGAATGTGTCCAGAGGAGGGCGACTAAAATGATCAAGGGTCTGGAGAACAAGCCCTATGAGGAGCGGCTTAAGGAGCTGGGCATGTTTAGCCTGAAGAAGAGAAGGCTGAGAGGAGATATGATAGCCATGTATAAATATGTGAGAGGAAGCCACAGGGAGGAGGGAGCAAGCTTGTTTTCTGCTTCCCTGGAGACTAGGACGAGGAACAATGGCTTTAAACTACAAGAGAGGAGATTCCATCTGAACATGAGGAAGAACTTCCTGACTGTGAGAGCCATTCAGCAGTGGAACTCTCTGCCCCAGAGTGTGGTGGAGGCTCCTTCTTTGGAAGCTTTTAAACAGAGACTGGATGGCCATCTGTTGTGGTGATTTGAATGCAATATTCCTGCTTCTTGGCAAGGGGTTGGACTGGATGGCCCATGAGGTCTCTTCTAACTCTTTGATTCTATGATTGAAGAGATGCTCCTACACCATCAACTCCACTGGACTGGCCACATTGTCCAAATGCCCATTCAACATTTCCCAAAGCAGTTACTATACTCCCAACTCAAGGATGGAAAATGGAATGTTGGTGGACAGGAAAAGAGATTTAAATATGGGCTTAAAGCCAACCTTAAACACTGTGGCATAGACACAGAAAACTGGGAAACCCTGCTCCTTGAGTGCTCTAACTGGAGGTCAGTTGTGACCAGTAGTGTTGCAGAAGTCGAAGAAGCTCGAATGGAGGGTGAAAGGGAGAAATGTGCCAAGAGGAAGGCACATCAAGCCAACCCTGACCACAACCACCTTTCATCTGGAAACCAATGCCCTCACTGCGGAAGAACATCCAGGTCAAGAATAGGGCCACAGTCACCTACCTATCAAGACACTACACTTGTAAGGCCATCATACTCAGACAACGAGGGATCACCTAAGCAAGTAATTAAGTGGAAGAAATGGTTCAGAGTCCAATCACCCAATTTCTCTTCCAATAGCAAGAAGTCAGAAAGACTATCACTGCTTTGTGTGAACACATGAGAAAACAGATATCTGGTTCAATTTCTCCATGTTCTTAGAGGAAGGAACTATGTATAATGAGCTTTCATGTATTTAAATCTAGTAAATATTAGTAGCTTCAGTGTGGAAGGGAGGGGCTTGAAGCCAGCACAGTGAACTGTATGTTCTGATAAGAGCATGAAAATCTATGTACAAAACACACACCTTTTCAGCTGCAGAAATCCGATACGCCTTGTCTTCACTGTGTGTAATTAATAGCATTTTCCCTATTCTAGTTTGAAGCGTAGTTCCATTGGCCAAATCTTCATAATAAAGTGTGCCAGTGTTGGATAAATGATATTCAATGTCTCTTCCAGAAAGTGTCTGAAGGTAGAAAGAAAAACACAAGAATGTAAATTCATAATATGACCACATTGGATCCCTTTTGAAAGCTGTGTGCAATAGTTTTCATTATCCACTTTTTTTTCTTGATTCCAGAGTTTTCCACAGAAAATACAGCTAAATACAGGGTAATTGTATAGGTGTTAACTTTAAAAGATCTCATCCTTACAGCAAGGATTTTTAAAAAATACTCTGGGATACATATAATTTAAATGTAGTATACTTATTTCAGAAAAAAAAAATTAATTGTACACATGGAGTTTATAGAAGACTGTGTCATTCTCACCCATTCCATTGCATTTGGGATGGCTCTTCAAGCAATCCTTGTTACAAAAAGGAGGAGGAGCAGGGAGTTTAAATATCATACTTTTAATTCATTGTTTTCAAATTCCGTTTCCAGGATTGTCAAAAAAGAACATTAAATTATATTTTTACCTCATTTTCTTTTAGCCCATCATTGTTCGGTACAAACAGTGTTGCATTGATAGACAAATTGGTGAGGTAGTTCAAGAATTCTTGTCCGTTCTTTGAGGAATTGGAGTAAGTCCAAACTTTCTGTAAAGAAACAGCATTTACTGTGGTGAGATATGTTTTTGAACATACAGCTTTTGTGGCACTGTTGTGAAACTCATACAAACTCCATGATAGTTGGTGGATCCACTCTGAGCTTTAATCTAAATGTTAAGGTACAATCCAAGGTTCAAAATTTATTTTGGGGATAGGGATAAGCACATTGGATCTTTTAAAGTTCAGACTAGGCTTGTGCAATCCGGATAAACAGCGATCTGTTTCGATGCCCCAGATTTTGGTTGGGGTCCTAATTCGTTTTTGGGGGGCCTCCTGAATTTGGAAGGACAGAAATCTGATTTCGATCTGGAAGACAAAGTATTGTTTTCTATCTGACTCATTATGCAAGGGGGGGGGGGGACTTTCCAGGCTCCCCTTCTCATTGTAAGCATTGTTTGTCCTTATATCCTTCATGAAGACCTGGATTAAAAGCATTTTTCTCTCGGACCTGCACCACACCACACACCCTTTCCAAGACCTCTTAAGGAGGCTTCTTAAAGCTGTTTCTACTCTAGAGGAGAGGTGCATGCAGGCAAGCGTGGACGCTTTCTCTCCCAGGCCTGAACCATGCCACACACTCTTTCCAAGGCATTTTAAGGAGGCTTCCCACTTCCAGGTAAGGAAGAGCAATGACCTGGAGCTATCCTCTTCTGAACTTCCTTTAAAAAGCCCTCCTTTTTATTTCTAGCAGCTGTCTCCCTCCCACACTCCACTTGTAACCTAAAGCAGCTGGTATTTGACAGCTACTGTTTTGTTGGGGCAAAAACAAAACAAAACAAAACAAAACATGAGGGCTGAGCCATTGCCGATACGGCCACCCGAGCAAGCTGGACCAACCAGATTAGCCCAAGGGAACCGGCCAAAACAAATTTGTGCAGAAGCCTAGTTCAGACTAAAACCCTTAGCAGATACATGTCAGTTATAGATTGGCACAAACCAAATGGCATGTGATGCTAATAAATAGGCTGAAACAAGCATGGGTAAGCTCTCTACTTTTGTTTTTGAAGAATTTTCCCTTACCTGTTTATTGCTTCCAAAAGGTACTCTGTTGTTCAACATGTTTCTGGTATTAAAGCAGGTAAACAAAAATTCTAACTCCAGAATAATGGTCTGTTTCTGTCACTTACCGACATAAAGTTTTGAAACATTGGGAAAGAGACAAGGACTTGAAGCAGGTTTCCACTACATCTAAATCCATCACCCACGTAACCTGTTTTGCAGGTGCAGTTGACATCTAGAATGTATTTTCAAAAGAGGAGAGTTTAAGAGAGACATGCAACATAGATATCTACAAAAAAGTACTTTAGAATTTGTTTTACTATTGTTTCAGTTGTTTTATTTTTGTGTGTGCTTATTTTCTTTTAATTAGAGGGATTAAAATTGTATATTTTTGAAAACCCAATAGAAATTGAGTTAAATAAAACTAATTTCAGCACTAAGTTAAAATCTGGATATTTATTAAAGCCTTCAGGACAAACGGATTTTATTCAAACTGCACATGTTTTAGTGTTATATTATTTAAACCTAGTTTGAACTGTATTTAGATTGGAAAATAATTCAATATATTATTGAATTATTTTCTTAAACTTCTGTAATTAGCTGTTATTTTAAGTCAATTTTGTTTTAAGCTACCTTAATATCTCTGGATAAACGGTGGGATAGAAATACCTTAATAAAATAAGTAGCCAAGCAAACAAGTAAATAAGTAAATAAAATGCCTGCTGGGTTACAAACTTTCTAAGAATACTTAAAAACGGGCTTAGAGCCTGCTGCCAAAATAATAAGCTACTATGACAATTCTTGTCTGCTAGCACTGGTGGAAATGAGCTGAATTTTGAATAGAGAATACTGGATAAAGGCACTCTTACCCTTGACTCTGTAACAGAAGACATCCCAGGTTTCACTCTTGTTGATTCGGGGCCCATAGTCAATAATTCCAACAACTCCTCCACCACATTTTGGAGAAGGAAAGGCTGTGGGATACGCTGCCCTGCCATCAGCCAGCCAGCCAGCGGCACACATATGATAGTTTGCCTGTCATTAGCATGTGAGCAATAAGATTGCAAAATGAAGGAAAATGGTTAGGGATTTTAGTCCAAGTCAACGCAGGTTGGGCAAGTTTACTGCCCAATGTGGAATGTCAACTTCTGTCTGAAGGAAGGGAGGAAACAAGAAAAGTTTGATAGGCAAGTCACATTGCTTTGTTTGTCAAATCCTGCAGAACCCTATGCCCAATTATGGCATGATGTGCCATCACATTGTTTCTAGATCAATAAAAGGGAGTGTGCCTGGGAGTTCTTGCATATCCAAATCCAGAATGGATTAATGCATGTGTTCTGCAACCTGAAATTACTGAGGAATGTATACACATAAAAGTTCTAACACTACAAGGCCTCTTCCACACAGCTGAATAAAATCCCACATTATCTGCCTTGAACTAGAATATATAGCAGTGTGGACTCAGATATCCCAGTTCAAAGCAGATATTGTGGGATTTTCTGCTTTGATATTCTGGGTTATATGGCTGTGTGGAGGGGCCCTGTGTCTGTGCATTCAGTGAAGCAGGTTCTACTAATTCAGTGCTGATCTTGACTGGTCAAAGTGCAATCCACCTATTACTGTACTGCCTTGGATCAGTGATGTGTTTGATATTGAAAGGATGCGGGCAAAATATGTGTCCGTGTGTATGAAAAGTCTTTGATGATTTTATGAAAGATTCTCTTAATAGACAATGGACATGTATTTCAGTTCTCATTAATTGGATTTCTTTTCGATGAAACAAATTGTATGTTATCTGTTCTTTAGAATGCATCCTCCAAGCATCTATGCCTCATTGTTTAATACTCATCAACATAGTTATTTGCACCCCACTTTTTCCCCAGGAATTGAAATTCAAAGTGGCCCACAACCTCAAAAACCCATAAAATGCAAAAACTGATAAAATATTAATATTAAAATAGAATTAAATGCTACGATTATTGAAATAATTCAGTTAAAATCAAATAAAAATAAATAAGTATAGGATTTTTAAAAGCAATTCAAACACAATATAGCACTCCCAGGCCTGTTCTTATTTTTTCTGCTTTAAAAGCTTGCCTGAGTAAAAATCATGTCACTTAAATGCAAGGGCTGTTCTGTATGTAATGGGAAATGGGGACTGTCATGCCTCCACAAGAACTCTAATTGTTTTCCCTATTTCAGCCCTTTTTAGTTAGAGGGAATTAGCATTGTGTGTATAGTTTTGTGGGGGGGTCGATCTAGATCAGGGGTCCTCAAACTGAGGCCCAGGGGCCAGATACGGTCCTCCAAGGTCATTTACCTGGCCCTCGCACAGGGTTAACCTAAGTCTGAAACAACTTGAAAGCACATTACAAAACAACAGGTCCAGTCGGAGCTGTACTCAAGTCCAATCAGAATTTAATATTGAGACCATCTTAGAGGCAGTTGAACATCGTACAAGAAAGAGACAATAAGAAGAAATAAAGATTCAAGAACCTCGGTTTGGCCAGAACTGTGTCTATCTCTCAAAGACTTTACCTCTCCCGATAAAGACTTTGTAGTGAGACTAAGGAAAGAAAGTCTTAAATTCTTGTCAGTTAATAAACTCTTGTTTGATTCAACTATATAGTTTCCAATCTTTCCCCTGTGTGGCCAGTTAACCTTCTAAGTAGTTAAGATAGTGTGGGGGCAGAACAGGGACAATTACCTTCTGAGCATAAACAAGCTGAGCATATGTAGCTATCGTTGCTCCTTCATCTGCACAGGTCTTATTTGCTTGACTGAAGGTCAGCTTATACTGTCCCTTTTGAGAGCATACATGAAAAACTCCTACAGTAGCATCTGCAAGGAAGAAAGAAGAACTAATAATAATAATAATAATAATAATAATAATAATAATAATAAAGGGGTTCTGAATCTGGAGACCAATATAAAGTGGGATGAACAAGTAGGCATCAAGTTTAAACAGTTTGGTTTTTTAAAATAAGACAACACTGTCTTTATTTCTAAAGTACTTACCCTGAAAATGAAGATCAGCACAGTCAGCATCAGCATGACATTGTCCATGATCTTGTAAACATCTGTCCACTGGTAATTTTTTCACTTCACAAGTCAATCCATCACCAACATAGTTGTCCTTGCATTCACACTTACGTTTATCCTGGAAGGGAAATGTTCCCTGTTACTAAACATCTAAAGTACACAAGGAAGTGGACACTGAGCTGCTATTTACTTGAATTCTGAACTGCTTCCATTAAAGAGTAAAACAAAGATTCAACCCTATCTGATTATTATCTTATGAAATGGGTTTTACTGATGTGTTATAAGCATGGTTTATTCATTAATAAATCATCCTCATGGTTATGAATTTTTCTCTGTGAAAGAGCTGGTAGGCAGTAGTACTCAAGACAGAAATGTTACTCAAACTTCCAGCAAGAGGTATATGATTGGTTGGAGAGAAGAAAAGCAATAAAGGCACTGAAATTAAAAGGAGATCCACATAGGAGGCTGTAAATAGCTGTGAAGAAAGCGATCCCACATTGATTCCAGCAAGCAACATTCATAAGACTCTTTTTGTCCATTCTGTGCATTCAAAACTTTTGCAACAATGAGAATGGGCAACTTTGCATTGACATGTTTTGTTGTATGTTTTACTACCCAAAGTAACAGCTCTAAGATCTGGTGAAGATGTAAAAATGTTCTACAGACTCCTTTGAAGAACTGGAACAGACCGTTAAGGTTTTTTTTTTTAGCAATTATTCAGGCTATTATTTTTCACCATCTACAGTGTTCCAGCTCTCTGTCACAGTCTAAACTGAAAAATGGAAACCTACCTTTGAGTTATGGCATTTTCTTACTGTTCTGTATAACATCTTATTAAATATGCAAATCTCTTGTAGACCAGGACTGGGAGATTGATTTCATAGTCTATAACCCATGAGCCAAAATGTAGGTATAAAATATGTTAATAGAATGTGGGGTGTTTAAGTCTATTTAGTAAGATAAAGGTTTCCCCTGACATTAAGTCTAGTTGTGCCCAACTCTGGGGGATGGTGCTCATCTCCATTTCTAAGCTGAAGAGCATCGTCCGTAGACACCTCCAAGGCCATGTGGCCAGCATGACTGCATGGAGCACCATTACCTTCCTGCAGAAGCGGTACCTATTGATCTACTCACATTTGCATGTTTTCAGACTGCTAGGTTGACAGAAGCTGGGCCTAATAGGGAGAGCTCACTCTGCTCCTCGGATTCGAACCACCAACCTTTCAGTCAGCAAGTTCAGCAGCTCAGCGGTTTAACCCACTGCGCTACCAGGGGGCCCTGCAAGTCTATTTAGCAGGTCAAAATAGTTAAGGGATGTGCAATGTATCCATACTTATAAGCTTGTTATGCTCTCTTTAGTATATTAAAGTGCTCATCTCCAAGCATGGGTAGATACTGTTTGAACCCTAATTTTTTATATACCGACAATTTCTGTACATGATGAAGTAAAAAAGTGCAACACTTACAGGCCCTGTCATTGTACAAGTAGCATGTTCATCGCAGCCACCATTGAGTCCATCTGCGCAAGGGTTGATAGCAGTGCAGCTGTAGCCGTCTCCTGTGTAACCTTTCTGACATGTGCAATTGACTTTCACACCAGTTTGAAGACATTTTGCATTCTTATGACAGCCACCATTGGCTTTCTTACAGAGGTTGTCGGCTGTAGCGTGATAAGAAAATATCCAAAAACAAATTATACCTTTAGATCCTGCTATTCAAATTGCATTGTACTATGTTATATATATGGTTTTGAGTTTTATACTGTGACCTGTAGATTAATGGCACATCATTTATTTTATACTTACAATGCTTTTATTTATTCCATCAATTACTTAGAATACTTGCTCATATTGTTTTTTTTAATGAAAATATAGTTCAATACACTTGCTGTACTAGCCAAAGGTCTAGTACAAAGGTCTTTAAAATATACAGAACATTCAAGATAAAAAGAACAAACAACTGTAACTAAAGTTATATCAAGTTTATATAACTCTTGGAAGTTAAGATCATGTGGGGAGGCCCTGCTCTTGGTCTCACCTCCTTCGTGGGGATACGAGACAGGGCCTTCTCCGTGGTGGCCCCTCATCTGTGAAACTCCCTCCCCAATGAAATTAGATTAGCTCCTTCTTTCCTGTCCTTCAGGAAAAAACTTAAATCATGGCTTTGGGACCAAGCTTTCGACAGATAAGGGAAGCAATGCAATTAAATGAATACAAATAAATGTATTGATAAATGGAATGGACCTGGATTACATTTTGGAATATGTGATTTTAATTGATGTTTTAAAGAATTTATGTTTTAATTGTTTGGTTTTAATTGTAATTGTGTATTGATACATGTATGTTTGGCATCAAATTGCTGCTTGTTATAAGGGCGCCTTGAGTCTCTCCAGGTTGAAAAAGGTGGGATACAAATTTAGTAAATAAATAATAAATAAAAGTAATAACATTTCAAGTTATAGATACACTTCTAACATGGAAAACAAATTAATATTTTGAGTCTTCATGACAATTTATGGCAATTTTATCTAGCTCTCTTTTTCTGATCTTCGGGACATTCTTTATGGAACTGGAAGTAAACCCAGAAGCAGTCATTGACATGATAACAGATAGAGGAAGATACAGAGTGGGGAGACAATGCTATATAAACAATGCATTCACTACTATTATTAGCCTTCAGTAGATAGAATTTTCAGAAATTAATTCTTTTTTGACAAAAAAAGAACTGGAAAAGAATGAAAAATGCTGTTTTAAACCATAGGGTTCTTCAGGTAAAGTAAGAATATGGTGTTATATCTGGGCTAGACACATAACAATAGGAAATTGAAAATATTTCTTTAACAAGCAGATTGCTATAGATATTTTGGTCCCTCTCATCCATCAAAAAGAGAAATTATGTCTCAAATGTCAGATTTTTTGCTTTCCGGGCGGAAATATACCTAAATGCTCATTTGGCTCTCTATCTCAGCTCAACTCTTTCCCTCTCTGTGTGCAACTATGCCCTTGAAATGCTCTGGATTTGTCCCCTCTCCCCAAAATTGGACCAGCTTTGCAGTGAGGAGGGCTTTAATGGTCACATGCCTCTTTAAGCTGAAGGCTAGAACAGAAAGGTCAGAGCTAAAATGGACAGCTGGACTTGGACCAACTTGCTAGGTTAATTATCACATCTAAGCTTGGTGTCACAACAACAAAAAATGAGAAAGGGAAGGAGAAAGCACTTTCCTAGTTTTTCCTATACTACAAATTCCACCTTTCACATATAATGGGATTGGCTAGGGCAATGAGAATTGTAGCTGCGGGGCAGTTGGTTGGGGAAAGTGGGAGCAGGGTGATTTGTACATACTTCTGAATTAATTACTGGATTGTTGGTGTACTTCAAAAAGAGGAGCAGGTGTGTTTCCAATGCCTCCTCCTTTTTTACTTTTTGTGCTACAATATTTATAAACAGAATGTTGTTCTGTGGAATGTTGTTCCACTTTGTATATCCTTTTAGTAAGATAAAGTGCAATTATGCTTCTAGAATGTAATCTTAAGTGCAAAATGGATACTCCCTTTGCACAAAGCAGCTCCAGCTCTGTTTACCTCATATTAATTTCTTATTAATATATGCTTTTGAGGAGCATGCAGACACCTATTTTCATATTTTAAAATGTGACATGGGAACTATATGATGAGTAAGGAACAGTTATGCATGCTTTTGAATAGAAATTTGTACATGCATATGTGATTGTGATGGGGGAAATTGTGAAAATAAATCATTCTGAGGCTGTCTGAGCAATGAAATCTTTGGAAGAGGCTCTCTCCTCTGTCCCATTACCTTCTCAGGCATATTTAGTAGAAACAAAGGAAAGGGCCTACTTAGGGGCTGCTCTCAGATTTTGGGTTTTTATCATATGGATGTTAGAATGACCTCTTCCTTGAATGAATGAATGAATGAATGAATGAACGAAACTTTATTTATAGCCCGCCCAATCTCTCTGAAGAGACTGGGGCAGCTTACAACAAAATACACAGTGGCAAACATTCAATGCCAACAGTAATATATAAACAAATAAAATAAAATAAATAAAATAAAAAACAACTCAATAAATTATAAACCAACTTAAATAAACAAGAAATGACACAATCCACATAATTACAAACATATTAAGTCCTTAAAATCTCATTAAAATCTCTAAAATTAGACTAAAATTGCTCTTCTTCCATTGGCAAATTTAAATTTTCTTTTCTGTCAGGTTTTTAGGAATTAACTGCAACAGCCTCTCAATGTTGTACTCTTTTGTTCATTTTTATGCACCATCTTTTAGATGGTTTTAACTCAAATTATTTCACTGCATATACTGTATATACTCAAGCATAAGCCGGGTTTTTCAGCCCTTTCTTAAGGCTGAAAAAGCCCCCCTTGGCTTCTACTTGAGTCAAGGTTATTTATTTTTTACTCTGGTATTGTTATTATTATTATTATTATTATTATCATTACTACTTACATTTATTATTTTACTATATTATTATTGCATTTATTATTTTACTTTATTATTACGGTTATTATTACATATCCATTATTTTACCCTATTATTATTATTATTATTATTATTATTATTATTATTATTATTACATTTATTATTTTACTTTATTATTATTGGAAGGACACAAAAGCACATTTACATCAAAGAAGGTTAGAATAATGGTTTGATCAGAGTTGGACAATCTTATCTTAAATTATACTTTTATGTAAATATTCAAAAACATTTAACCTACTGATGCCTCAATTAATGTCATTTTATTGCTATCTATTTTTATTTTGACATTTACCAGTAGCTGCTGCATTTCCCACCCTCGGTTTATACTCAAGGCAATACATTTTTCCCAGGTTTTTTCTGTGGTAAAAATAGGTGCCTCGGCTTATATTTGGGTCTGCTTATGCTCAAGTATATATGGTGTATGTATACAGTTTCTCTGAATTTGCTTTTAATCTGTACTGGTTCTAACAATCTGTAAGCAATCTTGAGTCCCACTATTAGAACAAGGCCCAGAGATAAATGATAAATAAAATAATAAATCAAAAAATTGTAAGTTGCACTGGAAGCTGATTTTCTCAATAATTCTAATAATATTTTACCTGTACAGGTGATTCCGTCTCCACTGTAATAAGGCTTGCATTGGCAGGTATTAAATTCTTTGCACACTGCATTTATGGAACAGTTGGGTGAGCACACTGGAGATGAGGCTGTCAAGGTATAAAAGCACAATTTATATTCAAGCTTTCCTACCCTCTTGGAATGATATAAATAAAATGTTTTTTTTTTAAAAAACTGAGATTGTGGCCTTGAATATACTTGTCAACACTTCAAAACTGAAAACTGGGACATGTCTGGCTAAGGAATGCCAGAGTGTGGTCAAGACAGCAAAGGTTGTAAGTGAGGAAGAATACATAAATAAGAACAAATAGCAACCGCTTGTTTTGTTTAGTTTACAAGAAATGGCACTCCTAAGTGACAGTACTTTGATTTAAATCAGGAGGATTTTAAATAAACAGAGGTCAAGAGAGGAAAGTGGTAGGAGGAGAAAAAATGGGAGTTCCTGTCAAATTATGCAGTTATGCTTTAAGAACAAACATAATTGCATTGGCCAAAGATATAATGTTGCTTAAGTCAATGTACAAAGTTTATGTACAGAAGAAAGCCGGATGGACAACTCCACATCACTTTAGCACTCGTGACAGTACAGTGCCCTCTGCCATATCAAAGGAGAATAATTTAGCTTAAGGATGCAAGGCAGTGTTTGTGGAATACACAACAATACCCTTTTAAAAAAGGAAGATAAAAGAAAGATGCAATGTGAAAGAGGAAGAGAACACAAGTGTGTGAGAGATTTCACCATACTCTGTGCCATTTCTCCAGCTCTGAAGTTTCATAAAAAGGCAAAGGTATGACTGAAAATGGAATAAATGTGCCCAATAAAAGCTTTCTGTTAGTCTAGCTTTCTTTAGCTTTGTGCCATAAAATATATATACAACATCTTTGGTTATCTTTGGTTGAGATAACAAGTGTTCTATAGCACATGGTTGGAAAAAGTGGTGCTAACCTTTTCTCATCTCAGATTTTAAGATATAATTTTTAGGCAATCTACTGTGGTTTCAAGTTTTACAATGAATGGATGAATGAATTCATTCTAGAGCCACCTTCTTATAACCACCAATGCTATTTATATAACAACTTACATATTTATTTTGCTTAATTAAAAATTGGCTACATTATATTTACTAGGACAGTGGTTCTCAACCTTCCTAATGTCATGAACCCTGAATATAGTTCTTCATGTAATGGTGACCCCCAATCATAAAATTATTTTAGTTGCTAATTCATAACTAATTTTGTTATTGTTATGAATCGTAATGTAAATATCAGATATACAGGATGTATTTTCATTCACTGGACCAAATTTGGCACAAATACCTGATATGCCTAAATTTGAATACTGGTGAGGTTGCGGGGGGGATTGATTTTGTCATTTGGGAGCTATAGTTGCTGGGATTTATAGTTTATCTACCATCAAAGAGCATTCTGAACTTGAAACAAACTTGGCACACAGGATTCCCATGACCAACAGAAACTACTGGAAGTGTTTGGTGGGCATTGACCTTGAGTTTTGGAGTTGTAGTTCACCTACATCCAGAGAGTACTGTGGACTCTAACAATGATGAATCTAGACCAAACTTGGCACGAATATTCAATATGCCCAAATGTGAAAACTGGTGGAGTTGGAAGAAATAGACCTTGGCATTTGGGAGTTGTAGTTGCTGGGATTTATAGTTCACCTACAATAAAAGAGCATTCTGGCCAAACTTCCCACACAGATACCCCATGACCAATAGAAAATACTGTCTGGCACCTCTCTTGCGACCCCCCCCCCCCAGGGGTCCCAACCCCCAGGCTGAGAAATGCTTTACTAGGACACCGAGCCACTAACATCTCTCTTATTGGGCAGTCCATAGTATCTCAGTAAGAAAGAAATGATTTCTTTACAATGCTCATTTATAAGCAAGAAAACAAAAATTAGAAAAAAATAGTTCTTTTAGGTAGCAACTCTAAAGATAATGGCAATATTAAAATTTTGCAGGAGTAGAGCAGTGAGAGCACTAAGTTAGGAGTCTACTTATTACTAATGTTAAATAACCTGACCAAGTTTGGTCTCACAGAGCCGTCCAGTCCATCCAGTTTCACAGAAACATTGTCCTGAGCCAGAACTCCCTTCATCACATTGTCCGTGTAAGGTGCATTCACAGGCTGAAAACAAAACATGGCTGCATTATTGTTCAGATGATTGTAAAGAACATTCTGTATGTCTCAAAAGTTCACAATACTACGCTATGAACATTAATCTTCAGAAAGGCATTTCCCTATTGTCCTTGAAAATAAAAAAGTAAAAAAGGAAGCTATTGAGTATGTGATGTGTGTGAAAAAGATTCTGTACTATATTTTACAGGCTCGCGCAACTAAGCAGGCTGCGTACGGCACAGATTGTATGGAAGCCACGCACTTCATTGTGGTTTTCAAATTAATCTTCAAAATTCCACTCCAAATAAGCTACACTGCATACAACTAATAGGAGAAAAGATGTAGAAAGCCTGTAACTAGTTTAAGGCTGTTTATCAAATGAATAATGTATTATTCCTGTTGCTCTATTGACACCAGTAGAGTGAAAGTCCCACCAACATAACAAAAGGACCACTACTGCTTGCCACTGCATACAGAATGCTCATTGTTGGAACAATACAAACTTCCCTTGTACAAACATGTTTCTGGATGTTCTGTGAGATGCAAAATGTCAAACTGCTCCGTCTATGTGCCAAAGCATTAGCAGTTTGGCAAAATAGGATCATGGCCTTAATTTTTAAAAAGTTTACAAGTCACCTTGCATCTATGCATTCTAAGGGTCGCATATGAACATAGGGTTGCAAAATCATTTCCCATCTGAGCACTGACCAGATTTAGAGCTGCATATCTTTAGCAAATCAGCAATACTTCCTGGCATGTTACAAAATTATGAGTCCTGCTTAAGTTTGTAAGGTCTTCCTGGTCTAAGTAAGGAATTTGGGATCTAATATGCATTTCACATTCTCATGCAGATAAGTACAGTTACTTAACATGAACAGGAAACATACATTTGCAATCCAAACCATATCTTCCAGGTAGGCAGAGTTCACATGAAGTACCATTGAAACCACTGTTACACGAGCATTCCCCTGTACCAGCATATCCTTCATTACAGCTACCACGGTTATTACATGGACCTTCTGGTCCTCCTGGGCAGGCTGGAAAATAGTAAACAATGGGGATTAAAACTTTGCATAGATTGTTTCAAGAATGGCTATTTTGCCACATTCATTGGGCTAATATGCCACAGAAGAAGGCTCATTTTACAAGCCCAAAACTTTGGCAATGTTCTTCCAGAGCAGAAGAACTCTAGTACTGAAATGTCAAAGCCTATCATGCAAAGATTCAGAAGTCATCCACCAGAAACGCATCATTTGGCACAACAAATATGAATTCAACAAAAAGAATGGACCTTGCTTCTTTCTTTGGTAAACTGATGCATTTACCAAAGCATTAGGTTTATCCTCACTGGTATGAGGGTGGGGTGAGGATACAGAAAAGTAGAAAACAAAAGGCTTACCTTGGCACTCATTCCCAAAGTACCCCTTGCAACACTGTGGTACCCTGACCACCATTGAGCAAGATTTCCGACAGCCTGACAGGATTCGATGACCGATAGTGTAAGGGCATCGCTGTACTTCTCCCTGAAGATTTCAGATTTGGATTTGGGAAACCCCAGAAAAAAACATAAAAGCAAAATGTTAATAGACTTTATGTGAAACACTGCATGGGGCTTCTATCTCCATTAGTTAGTTCCAAGTAGAATAGACCCATACTGTTAATTGTTGAATGATAAATCAACATGTAGGAAAAGTCCATGTATATATTAAGTGGGCCTACCATTGGTTATTGGGCACTGTTCTGAGTTTTAAATTGTCATTTTTATATGTTACATATGTTTTACTTATTGTATTGTACTGTATGTTTGTTTTATGCTCTGTTTTAGACATATCACTCCCCTGTTGCGTCAGCTCCACTGGCTGCCAATCTGCTACCGAGCACAATTCAAATTGCTGGCTTTAGCCTATAAAGCCCTAAATGGTTCCGGCCCAGCCTACCTGTCCAAATGTATCTCCCCCTATGAACCATCATGGAAATTAAGATCGTCTGGGGAGGCCCTGCTCTTGGTCCCACCTTCTTTGCAAGCGCGATTGGTGGGGACGAGAGACAGGGCCTTCTCAGTGGTGGCCCCTCGGTTGTGGAATTCCCTCCCTAGTGATATCAGGGCAGCCCCCTCCCTCTTAGTATTTAGAAAGAGAGTCAAAAGTTGGCTCTGGGAGCAGGCGTTTGAAAAATAGAGCAGTGCAGGAATATTATCATGGAATCTGTGCAATTTTACTACGTACTGGCCTTTAGACTATGACTCTGGATGACGTGATTCATTGAAATGTATTTTTGTTATGATTATTATGCTTCAATGTTTAACTTATGTTTTAACTGATGTGGTGTGTTTTAAGGCACCATGATGGTGCGATTGTAAGCTGCCTTGAGTCCCCCTCACAGTAGAGAAAGGTGGGATATAAATAATAATATGTAAGTTGCCCCGAGTCCTTTTGGGGAGATGGAGGCAGGGTACAAGAATAAAGTTGTTGTTGTTTGTTGTTGTTGTTGTTGTTCTTCCTCCTCTTCTTCCTCCTCTTCTTCTTCTTCCTCCTCCTCTTCTTCCTCCTCCCCCCCCCTCCTCCTCCTCCTCCTCCTTCTTCTTCGAAACACAACAAGATGGGTCCACAGCAGACAAGATCACTCTGCTGGCTGTTGTATTGGATCACACGTTGGGCACTTCCCAAGTGTCTAGGACTGTGTGATGTATCGGTGAATAATGTGTGCAGTTCCCAGTAAGGTGGCCTGCAGCTGGCAGCTGGTAATTTTGTCAGCGCCGATTGTGTTTAAGTGCAAGGCAAGGTCTTTAGGCACTGCACCTAGTGTGCCGATCACCATTGGGACCACCTTTACTGGCTTGTGCCAGAGTCTTTGCAGTTCTATCTTTAAGTCCTCATATTATGTCAGCTTTTCCAGTTGTTTCTCTACAATCCTGTTATCACCTGGGATTGCAACACTGACAATCCATACTTTGTTTTTTAACATAAATTATTATTATTATTATTATTACTATTATTATTATTATTATTATTATTATTATTATTATTATTATTATTTTACTTATGGCTGACAGTAAGATTCAGGCCTGTATGTCTTTCAGCATGCCTCTGAAAGGTCTTGGTCTTGTATTCCATGTATTTCTATGGAATAGTTGTATACAGTGCAGCTATGGGTGTCTGCATGCTGATTGCTATTCACTGCTTTGGCACACTAACAGCAATCCCATTTTACCTAGAACATAATCGGAAAACATTTATTTTTACTGCTTGTTCCATCTTTTTAACTTAAAGTGAAAATTGCTGTTCAATTGAAAAAGATGGAACAATGTATTGTCGAAGGCTTTCATGGCTGGAATCACTAGGTTCTTGTGGGTTTTTTTCGGGCTATAGAGCCATGTTCTAGAGGCATTTCTCCTGACGTTTCGCCTGCATCTATGGCAAGCATCCTCTTAACCTCTGAGGATGCTTGCCATAGATGCAGGCGAAACGTCAGGAGAAATGCCTCTAGAACATGGCTCTATAGCCCGAAAAAACCCACAAGAACCTAAAGATGGAACAGCTGTCCTACGCCTTCTGATTGCTAGCATGAGGAGTGTTTTGTTTGGAAATATTAAAATAATTGTTTAGCAACTTAAAGATTATTATGACAGAGGCTTTCAAAAAATAGAGGAAAAGTATTTCCACTATTTTAAAGCTTTGCTTTATATACCAACCTATTTACAATTTGGCCGTATTGTCATTTCTTTTCAATTAGAGCATTGAAGTTAGAATCAAAAGTATGCAACTATAATTACCACCACTTTGCTCCCAGAAGGACACTGAAAGGTTCTGAAGCAACTAATGCAATCTCCCTGTAGAAAAACAAAATTATATGTTTTAAATCAGCTGTTTTAATGAAAAGTTTTCTAACATAACATTTAAAAAATAATCCTTTGTTAGCAAAGCGCAAAATGCATGACCTATACAGTTATATGAACTGAAACCCTAAGACAATTTCCTATAATATTTTCAGGCATTTTATTTCTGAAACATTCTAATGTAGTGATGGGACTCATATAGGCCATTTTTTGTAAATCTATAAGTTTATTGATCTCACTCAAACTATTGAATTCAATGGGATACACACACATACACACACACATACACACATACATATACATACATACACACAGTGTGTGTGTGTATGTGTGTGTGTGTCTATCTATCATCTATCTATCTATCTATCTATCTATCTATCTATCTATCTATCTATCATCTATGTATCTGAATTTATATATATATGGTTGCACTGTAAAGCTCTAACCCAGTGTTTCACATTAACTGCAGCATGCAACTATTCCAATTAACATGCAGGAATATCCACATATCTCTTTTCAAACCTCAGGAAAAGAGATTCCACCTGAATTTTAGGAAGAACCTCCAGACAGAAAGAATGATTTGATAGTGGAATATGCTGCCTTGGAGTGTGGTGGAGTCTCCTTCTTTGGAAGTTTACAAATAGAGGCTGGATGACAATCTGTCAGGAATACTTGGCCCGTATATTCCTACATGGCCGTGAGTTGGACTGGATGGCCCTTGTGACCTGTGATTCTAGGAGAGAATCACTATATCAGCATAAAACTGAGAAAGAAAATAGCTTTTCAGAGGAAGACTGACCGGTAACTGAGAAGTGAGGAAAGTGTCACAACGACCTCCAAGGACAGGATCTACTAACATACAGTCAATCCCGTAAGCAAGACCATCAGCAAACTCCAATTGCCTTTGTATTATTTTGCACCTTCCATTGAGGAACAATTCACCCTTAGCAAACAGAAAGCACAATGAAAGAATTGGTAATTCAGTTGTTGGTTCTGTTTTTAAAGAAAGATTAGATTAACATATGTATTGAAAAGCAGCCTAAAACCAATATTTCTCCGATAATAATTTTAGTCAATATGTAAAAAGGTAAAGGCTTCCCCTTGATATTAAGTCTAGTTGTGTCCGACTCTGGGAGGTGGTGCTCATCTCTATTCCTAAGCTGAAGACCCAGAGTTGTCCTGAGACACGTCCAAGGACATATGATCGGCATGACTGCATGGAGTGCTGTTACCTTCCTGCCAGAGTGGTACCTATTGATCTCCTCACGTTTGCATGTTTTTGAACTGCTAGGTTGGAAGAAGCTGGGGATAACAGTGGGAGCTCACTCTGTCCCACGGATTCAAACTTCTGATCTTCTGGTCAGCAAGTTCTGCAGCTTAGTGGTTTAACCCGCTGCACCACCGTGGCAAAGTCAATATGCATACAACTAGTGATATTGTATATTTACACTGGGTGGTTGCTGCTGCCATTTTAATTTTGTTATATCAACTGGTAATTATAATTCTTATTATACTATAAGAATTATGAGAAATCGGTTTGATTCTGCATCCATGTCTGTATGATTTTTCTTGGGGTTTCTGAGGCAAAATCCTTCTTGAGCACTTAACTAGTTATCTATGCTCATGATATTCTTTGGCTTACCTTCTGGGCTGTGAATTTCTATTAATTTTAGAGTTGCAGAATCCATAGCTTGATATTGCTTGTTTTCAATGCTTATTTTAACCTGTTTTGTTAGGCATGAACCTTTGTAAGCCGCCCCAAGTCCCTTCGGGGAGATGTAGGCGGGGTATAAAAATAAAATGTCTGGTGTATAGTGTTCCAAAACTTTGTCAGTCTGGATTCGAAAGTCCCACAGTATTTTGCATGTTCATTTTCCACTGCCTTTGCAGGTTTATGATCCCATGAATTCTTTACTGCCAGCAGGTGGTACTTGTGACATAAGTTCCAGTGAATCATTTGGGCCACAGAGTTGCACCTTTGTTATTATTATTATTATTATTATTATAAAAATGTTGGGGGAAATATTTTAAATTCAATGTCATTGTCAGAACCCAACTTTATGCCCAAGATACAATGACTGACAGGGAGAATTAAGAAAATATCCCATTTGAAAATCTCGATAGATTCTAATATACTCACAGTATTTGTATCATCATCACCGCATTTCACAGTGAGATCAGAGCCCTGAAGTGTCTTCAATGAATCAGCAGTAGGAAGGGCATGGGCAAAAATCTGGAAAGTACCAGAGAAAAGAAAAGAGAGATGGAGAAAGGAAAAGCTCAGAATTGCACAACAGAAAGACTCCACTGTTTTGGTTTGCACAAGTCATCCAAACATTCCTAATTCCCACCTTAGCACTTCCAATAATGTGGAATTTCAAGTACTGCAGCAGCTTTTCCTTGTCAGACATTTTGAACAGCAAATCCTGCTGATCCTTGGGGAGACCCCTGATTACGCTGTCAGTGGGCCAGAATAGGGTGATGGGTTGATGAAGAGGGTCATCAATGAGACTAATCAATCCTGAACTCTGAAATAAGATAGAAAAGACATCAGAATAGCCACAGTTACTCAGTGTGGGTAAGTCTCCTTTGATCCGACATGTACAGTTGATTTCAAACATAGCTGTAACACAGAATGCAGACTTATTCATATTATGGATCCAAACACTGTGTTAAAAGGTTTCAAAGCCAAGTAGTCTTACCTCTAAGATGTTGTAGAAGAGGATGTATCCATTTTTTGCTGCAACAATTTTGAGGTTTTCCTAAGAAGGCAAATTATTTGCTTATTTTTCTGCTAGGGAAACATAATACCAAAACCTGTATATGCAGATTTTATTTATTTATTTATTTATTTACCTTACTTATATACCGCTGTTCTCAGCCCGAAGGCGACTCACAACAGTTCACAACAAATACGAACAGCAAAAATTCAGTGCTACAGTATAAAAACAGTTAACAACCTAACACATTACACAATTAATAAACAATTACTACAATACCCATTCACTGTCGTCTCATCATCAAAAACATGTTCCAGATTCGTCATCCATTGTTCCATTCCAGTGTTCATTAACCAATCATTGCACTAATTATTCGAACGCCTGCTCAAACAGCCAGGTCTTCACATTTTTGCGGAATACCATTAGAGATGGTGCTAGTCTAATGTCCGTAGGAAGGGCGTTCCACAGCCGAGGAGCCACCACCGAGAAGGCCCTATCTCTCGTCCCTGCCATTTTAAACTGTATTGTCATCCCACAGGATTTTTTTTCTCTTATGAACTTGACTTTACAAATGTCTATCAAGTTTAGTCTCTGCACTGACACTTGGCCACTTGGGATATGAAGTGAGAAGCACTGTCTTGTGAGCACATCAAAAATATTGCTTCACAAGGCACATTGCTATGAATGGAAAGAAGTGAAATATCAGGGGTATTGCAATGGCTATATATTATTTCCTGGATTAGAGGAAGCACACTGAGAAACAGAGTTTTTCCATCCAGTTGTAGACTCCCATGAGCATGGGATTGGCTACTGTGGAGATCATGGTGCTGAATTAGATAGGTGCTTAGTCTTATTCAGTTCTTTAGCAGCAATGTACTTTCTGCTTCAATTGCAGATTGAAATACCTACCCAAGAGTAAATGATTACAAAAACATGGCATCTTATTCTCTCCAATAAGGCTATCCTCAAGTTCTAACAGATCTTATGTGACCATGGGAAAATGGCAAGAAAAAAGGCCAATTAGACATGATGTTAACTGACTCACTTAAATCACTCAGCTTTTTTTTTTAAAAAGCCCAACAACTTGTTAATAGCTGCTTAAAGGTAAAGGTAAAGGTTTTTCTTGATATTAAGTCTAGTTGTGTCTTACTCTGGGGGGTCGTGCTCATTTCCATTTCTAAGCTGAAGAGCCAGTGTTGTCTGTAGACACCTCCAAGGTCATGTGGCCATCATGACTGCATGGCGCACCGTTACCTTCTTGCCGGAGTGGTACCTATTGATCTATTCACATTTCCTTGTTTTCAAACTGCTAGGTTGGCAGAAGCTGGGGCTCACCCCGCTCTCTGGATTCAAACCACCAACCTTTTAGTCAGCAAGTTCAGCAGCTCAGCGGTTTAACCTGCTGCTCCACCATGGGGCCAATAGCTGCTTAAGTTTCCCCAATTTCCATTAGTATTTTAATGAAACAGGAAGGAGTTTACTCCCTACTTATACCCCCAAGGAACATTTCTCAAACTGTAGTCTTTGAATAAAACAAAAATTTCACCCAAATTGCAAAAGTGATTATTTTTGCATTTCAGCAAAGAGAAAAAAAAATCCTTAACATATACTATAATTAGCACATTTCAACCTTATTTTAACTATATCAAATAGCTAGTTAATCAACTAGCTATTTTATATAGTTAAAAAAAACCTGAGCAGTGTTTAAATAGATGTCAATATAAAGTTTATGCACCTTTACAGGCTTTGACTGCACTCGTGGGAAATCCTGAATCCTCTGTGGAATCAGGATCTTATCTATGATGTGTATCACTCCATTTGTGCAGATCAGATCACTGGTTAGAATCTTAGCTTTGCCGTTCAAAAAAACTGAATTCTGAAAGCATAAAACATAAGGAAGGGCATTATTTTCATGGTCCCAGGATGCTTTAATAGAACAAAACAGAACAAGAGGAAGAAATCTGCACCTGGCTGCATTAGATGGCAAAAACACATTCCTTTCATCAGTGTGTATATATTTGTGTGATGTTCTTTAAGAGAAAACTATCTAAAAACCAATTAGCAGTGATTTTTCAAAGAGTTTCAGAATGGTAAATGAACTAAAATAGCAAGGGCATTTCTGCTTTGGCCCTTCAAAGCCTGCTGGGTGAGACAGTTGTTTTACTGTACCCGAGAGCAGGGTGTTTCTAGACATTGCTAGTTTAGCAGAAATAACATGGAAATTACACAAATAGCTTCCTAAAATACAAAAAAGACTACTTTAACATGTTTTGGCAATTTTAAGTGAAACTATAAGTATGCTCATGCAAATAGAAATAGCCAGATCGGGTGAACCTTGAATAAGTAATCAAACAAATTTTGGGAACCTTCTAGAGACCATTTGAAAGATTCTTCCCAAATGTACCCAAACTCAAGAATGGAAAATGGAATATTGGTGAACAAGAAAAGAAATTTAAAGATGGGCTCAAAGCCAACCTCTGGCATAGACACTGAGAACTGGGAAGCCCTGGACCTTGAGCGCTCCAGCTGGAGGTCAGCTGTGACCAGCAGTGCTGTAGAATTTGAAGAGGCACGAATAGAGGGTGAAAGAGAGAAACATGCCAAGGGGAAGGCACGTCAAGCCAACCCCGACCGGAACTTCCTTCCACCTGGAAACCAATGCCCTCACTGTGGGAGAAGATGCAGATCAAGAATAGGGCTCCACAGTCACCTACGGCCCACCAACAGAACACTGACCTTGGAGGACCATCATCCTCGGACTACGAGGGATCGCCTAAGTAAGTAAGTAAGTAACCCAAGGATGATTTTTTTTCATTTACTATTATATCTTAAATGAAGATATAATTAAAGTCATAATCTCACATTTTCAGTTACCTGTGAAAATGTGATCTTCAGCTGATCTCCGTGAAGAGTGGTGACAGTTTTATCAGATGTCAGGTCATTATAGAGCAGCCCTGCACATGATACAACATGGTTTCGAAGAATCTGGGGCATGGCACCTTTGGAAACCCAGTCATTAACCTTGGAAGAGTATCAGAAAACAGAACAGGTCAAGAGGGGAATGTGTAAATAATATACACTACATATATTGGAGAGTTTTTGCTACCTGATTACTAGAATAGACTTATCATTGCATCATGTCACTTTAGAGAGGAATCTAGCGTTTGACACATAATTGTGCAGCACACTCTTCAGCATCTTTACTTGGAAAACAGACAACTATTTCCAATTGAATTTTCCCCTAGAAAATTTAGAGCTAAATCTTTATCAGAGTTCGGGAACTGAACTTTTTTGAAAATGTGTAACTTGCAGGCATGGGCAAACTTGGGCCCTCCAGGTGTTTTGGACTTCCACAATTCCTAACAGCCTACCAGCTCTTAGCAATTGTGAGAGTTGAAATCCAAAACACCTGGAGGGCCCAAGTTTGCCCATGCCTGGTAACTTGTCTAAGATCCACCAGTGGGTTTCCCATGACTGAGCAGCAATTTGAACCTTGCCCCCCCCCCCCATTGCCCCTGTTAAGAATATAGCTGGAGATATTCAGAGTTTAACTCACAGGGTAATCTGAAGCTACTCACTATTTCTCTACCTCTCAGGATTGTTGTGAAGAGTAATGGTGTGGGAAATAAATATGCCACATAAACTTCTTAGAAGCAAAGCTGCATACAAATACAGTTATGTTATTACTTTGCCATAATAGGCCTGATATGTTTGTATTATTCATATTTAGATTACTTATGCAACTTATTGAACTCTTGTTACTATTTGTTGAACTAAATTGTGATTATTGAATGGCTTGGATACTTCATGAATTTTCAGATTATAAATATAATACAAACTTAGAGAAGTGAGAGATAAAGTCTGTTTGTCTCTCACTCACTTTCTAATGCAGACCAGTAGATTTGCTATCTTGTAGAAGAGCATCTTTGCCATCATTTATGTCTTATTATGTATTTTTAACTGAGAGTTGTCTGATAAAATGGTACTCAGTTATGAAAACCCACTAAGTGACCTATGTCACACTCTCAGCCTCAGAGGAAAGCTAAGAGAAACTTCTTCTGAAGAAATGTTGCCAAGGCAATCTCATGGTAGGTTTGCCTTAGGGTCATCAGCAGCTGGAAACAATTTGGAGGCACACAACAATAATATTTCCAAATGATCAAATATTGTAGGACTGAGGGCTTCTGGAGTATCAAACGCTCCCTTAGAGGAAACTGAAGTAAGTAGTCCTGTCTCCGACATTTCTCGTTGCTTTGGAAAATGCAGACCACATATTACATTGTCCAGCATTAAAGACATTTTACTTACTATTAGTTCAGCTATAAATGCCTCTTTGCTTGGTACAAAGACAGTGAAAGGGCCCATTCTAGATAAGTCTCTAACACCAGCATCCTAGACCAAAGGAATGCAGAATGTTAATTTGTATTTCTGCTGTCAGTTTCAAGCAATGATATTTTCCAAACTACCATGTTAATCAATTTGAAGGACATTTTGGTTGGCAAAACTTTTAGAATATTCATGAGAGTCCCCACCAAGAAAATTGCAACTTCAGAAGCTAACATGCAATCTTCTTACCATCAAGTATCCATTAAATCGAGTAATATTGTAATTCGTCAAAAGCTCCTGTAATGAAAAACAATAGTAAAATTTGGAAATTACAGTATAATTGCAGTCCTTATAATAATCTCAGGTATAAAATACCAAATTCTTGAATATGCACAGGATTGAGTAGTTCATTAGGTAAACTGATGGTTTCATCGGCATTGAACCCTGCAGATCTATCTGAAGATACCAAGCTATAAAGCAGGTAGGACAATAGGTGGTTAGCTGTTAATATGACTTCAGTCATTTGGAAATGAATAGTTTATTTTAGCAATATCTATTTCTAGCCCCCTAATACTCATATCCCTGAAAATAATTGTGATTATATGTAGAGACCCAAACTTTTTCTCTGCTATGAGAAGGTTTTTCATGAACTAATTCTGCAAAGTTTCCACAACACGTCTTCTGGAGTATCATTTAATGGAGAAAAACACATGCTTTTGCTGCACAAATGCCACATTTTAGGGTACATTTTTGTTCAAAATATTGCTTCCTAAATAATAATAATAATAATAATAATAATAATAATAATAATATAACTTTATTCTTATACCGCGTCATCATCTCCTTGAAGGGACTCAGGGTGTCTTACGTATGGGACAAAATGCCCACGAGACATAAATGCAAATAAATCAGTTAAAGCAAAAACACAATTAAAATAAGAGCATGGTAAAAATATAACAATCTAGATAAAAACACAAATAAAACATAAGAATATAAAACAACAGTGTTGAAAATCAATCAAAATAATGCTCAACAAAACCAATATAGAAAATATTTTTTATGAATGACAAATTGTGAATCTTGTGCAGAAACAAGAGGTGTGTTTTGTGCAAATGAATTGCCCTGGAAGACTTCACAAAGCATAAACAATATTGTTGATGCTCTGTTCTTCCAAATGGTGCTTTCTGAGTGCTGAGAAGTCCTCTTTTTCAGGTTGGAAATGAAGAGAAGTAAATATTCCTTCCACTCCAGAACTAAATGTGGGAAAAGCAATATAGGGTGGGAGGCTATGGTGAGTTAACAAGGTATTAGGGGAAGAGTTAAGCATTACTTTGTCAACTATTATCATGCCCCTGCAAAAGGCCCTCCCTACCCATCACTTGGTGTTGTTGACCTGATTTTGAAAAACATTAAATTATGTAGCAAGAATTCAATAAAAATTGTAAAAGTTTCACCATGGCAATGCTGCCTCTGCAAGTGAATCCATCTCCAATATAATTAGGTTTACAGGTACAGGTCCTTTCTGACTCTGCTGTATCATTGCAGTATGCATTTTCCCCACAGCCACCATTATTCTGTTAAGAGAGAATCAGCATTAAACAAAATCTGCTTTATCAACATTTATCTCATTTAAAAGAATAAGTCATCGGGGAGAGAAGGTGGACAAACTTGTAGTATATTTTTGGTGCAAGATTGCTGTCTTTTGAGTAAATGCCTAGCAATCTTTTACAGAACCACTTATTTGTGGCTATCCTGAAACAATGCTTTTTGATGGAAAATACAAACTTTCATGCAGAAACTTGATGTGTATTTCTTTACAAAATAATTTGCATAAACCCTTTTCATTAAACAAATGCTGAGTGAAAATTGCAGGTTTCAGCGGTGATCAGGGGAGCTTTTGCAAAATTAAAACTTATGCGCCAGTTGTGCCCATACCTTGGGAAGTCAGACTTGGTCAAAGTGGTCCATGCTCTGGTTACATCCTGGTTAGATTACTGCAATGTGCTCTACGTGGCGTTCCCTTAGAAGACTGTTTGGAAGCTTCAAATGGTCCAATGGGCAGCAGCCAGATTGCACACCGGAGCGGCATACAGGGAGCTCCACTGGCTGCCAATCTGCTACTTAGCACAATTCAAAGTGCTGGCTTTAGCCTATAAAGCCCTAAACAGTTCTGCTCCAGCTTACCTGTCCGAACGTATCTCCACCTATGAACCATCTCAGAGATTGAGTTCATCTGGGGAGGTCCTGTTCTCGGTCCTGCCTCCTTCACAGGCAAGACCGAGAACAGGTTGTTGGGTACGAGAGACAAGGCCTTCTCAGTGGTGGCCCCTCGGCTGTGGAACCCCCTCTCCAGAGATATTACATCAGCCCCTTCCCTCCTGACATTCAGAAAAAAGGTTAAAACATGGCTTTGGGATCAAGTCTTTGGCAACTATTACAGTGCAATAGATGGATTTGGATTTATATGTAACGATCACTGGAATGGCCTGACCTTGCATGTGGATAATGTGGTTATATAGCTGTAAGTGGTAATATCTATATCTTAATTGCTTTTAATCTTGTTAGATTTTTAACTGAACATTTATTTATTGTTGAATTGTTTTAAGGCACTGAATTAGTGCCTCTGTTGTAAGACACCTTGAGTCCTCTTCAAGGTTGAGAAAGGTGGGACACAAATATAGTAAGTAAGTAAGTAAATGAATAAAAAAAATAGTACCAGTGTATTATTCTTCCCTTTGGGGTTTCCTAAACCCCAAAGGGAATTTTTTTTCATCTCTATTCTGAATGCATTGACATTCATTATAGCCTCATCTTTTCATGAGTTTATCTGGTTCCCTTTGAAGCCATGCAAGTTATTGGCCACCAGCACATTTTGTGATTTTAAGTATGGGTTGTCTAAAAAAACCCCCTCACTTCATATTATCTGGTTTTCAATCTTACAGACATTAATTAGAAGTTCTGAATTCTGGTGTTATGCGGATCTCTATCCAATTTTTCCACACTGTATAATATTATAAACCTGCTCTTCTATGCAAAGTAGAGCCAGACCTAGAAGAACTTAAAATGCAGATGAGAGGCTTAAGGGGGGCTTTCCTCTGTCTAACTATCCAGCCAGCAGACTGATTATGTTAATTTTCTTCCAAGCTGCAAAATGCAATTGAAACATTATTCTGGAAGATAATCTGGAAAAGGCCAAATTGAAGAAAGAAATTTGTGAGGAAGGAAAATAAAACACTTGAACCTAGTATTTCCCTCAAAGCTGATCCCCTTTAAACTGTCCTCATATGTGCTGCCACAGGAGAAACATATTATTTTAGACCAGGCATGGGCAAACCTCAGCCCTCCAGGTGTTTTGGACTCCAACTCCCACAATTCCTAACAGCCTCAGGTCCTTTCCTTTCCCCCCTCAGCTGCTTAAGCGGCTGACGGGGAGAAAAGGTAGGGGCCTGAGGCTGTTAAAAATTGTGAGAGATGGAGTCCAAAACACCTGGAGGGCCTAAATTTTCCCATGTCTGCTTTAGAGTCAGTGAACAGTATTGTATGTCTGTCTGTAAAATGCTTGTATGTCTGTAAAATAGATTGCGGCAAAATGTACATTGTGGATTCCTCCTTTCATAAAAGTGGTTTGAGAGTCTTTTCTTAATTTGTTCCATGGCTTGTAGTCATTCAGTAGTGTTACTACAGAAATGCAGAGGGCTGATCCTGTTGAACCTTCACTCAGTTCCTTCCAGAGCAAAAATCAGTAGATAAGCTGAATAATCACATGTAACTGATATATAAGTGAATGGCAACAGGTGCAGGGATCATAGGTCAGTTCCACATCAATCTGCAGGAGGCATTATACCAGTAGTTCCCAACCTTTGGTCTTCCAGGTGTCTTGGAATTTAACTTTCAGAATTCCTAACAATTGGCCAAGCTGGCTGTGGCTTCTGGGACTTGAAGTCCCAAAAACCTGGAACACCAAAATTTAAGAATTCATTATTATTTATTTTCTTCATTTATACCTCGCCTTTCTCACCCTGGAGGGGACTCAAGGCAACTTACAACTCTGGCAAAATTCAATGTCAATAAAAACAGACTGTAAAACAATTAAAACATGTGAGCAAATCAGCACATAGAGAAATAAAAACAGATTAACACAAATAAAGTGCTTGGTTCCATCCATCCATAATCCTTGTTCACAATCCTTACTCAGTCTGTGTAGAAATCTGTAAAGTCTTATTTTCCAAATGTCTACATACACAGCCAGGTCTTTAGCTTTTTTTCTGAAGACAATAAGGGATGGGGCCTGCCTGATGTCGCAGATGAGGAAGTTCCACAGCCAAGGGGCCACCACTGAGAAGGTCCTGAATCTCATTCCCATCAATTGTGCTTACGAAGGGGGTGGGACTGAGAGCAGTGCCTCCCCAGCAAATTGTAAGGCTCTAGTTGGCTCATAAGGGGAGATGTGTTCGAACATGTAAATTGGACCAGAACCGTTTAGGGCTTTATAGGCCAAAGCCAGCACTTTGAATTGGGCTTGGTAGCAAACTAGCAGCCATGTGTACTGCATGATATGATATACTTATGCCATAGCTTTCGATTTCAATTTGACAAGAAGAGGCACACATTAAAAATATTCTGACAAACAAAAACTGTACTGATGCGAATGTACTTACAAATGAACATGGACTGATGTAGGTGCAGGTTTTGCCATCCCCAGAATACCCTTTTAAGCAATTACAAGCTGCCTGACAAAATAAGGAAACAAAGCATGTCAAAGGAAATATTGGCAGTTTTACAGACTATTAATTTTATTGGCTCAATTTACTGGTATACAAAACAAAGGCAGTAAGACATAGAAATAACCAAAGCTTTTTCTGAGCTCACATTTCTTTTGAAAATTTCCTTTCATGTATGCAGAGCACAAAACCTGTATTTTTTCATTCTTTTCAATTGAAAAAGTCTACAAGCTATTCAAACCTTAGTTTAAAATAAAACATAAGGACAGCCTTTAGGTCTTCATTTGTCATTCCGTGTAACCTATGGGGAATACAGACACTTGGAGATCTGGTTACCTAGGCAAGTTATTTTAATTCAGGTCATGCTGTGAAGTTGCAGCATTCTTAGAATATTAGGGTTTTTTCTTCTTTTTTGGGTAAGATTTTGGATACTAAAGCATAATATTCTTTTTCTTTCCTTTCTTTAAACTTTGTAAGGAAAGGTACAGTAAAATCTCCAAAATACTATCAATAATTCACTGAAGAAACACTTTAATTGTTCAACAATTTCACATGCAACAATGATAGAGAGACATTAGGCTTGTGAAATTTTGTTTTTTTTAAAAAAAACAAACTAGATTTTTCTCCTAATTAGAATGTTTTGGTTGAGCAACAAATTTAGTGAAGAGGATAGGATAAGCCTGTTTCAAAATGTTATCTGTTTTAGAGGTATAATAATATTATCATTCCCTGCAAGCATTATTGGAATAATGTGCATTGGGCTGAGAAAAAAAGAGATTAGTTGATATTGGTAGATCTCTGTGTGGTTTCCACTAGATTATCATTCTATAGCCCTGTTGTTGTTGTTGTTGTTGTTGTTGTTGTTGCTGCTGCTGCTGCTGCATGCCTTCAAGCTGAGATGCTCCCATAGTGCTTTCTTGCCAAGATTTATTTAGAGGAGCTTTGTGAGTGTTTACATCTTAGGCTGAGAGCATATAGCTTGGACAACAAATGACTCATCACTAATTATTGACTACTATGTGTCAATACAAGACAAAAACCATTGCTTACCTGATCAGGTCCAGTGTGAGTGCACTCTGCATTTTTATCACAGCCACCATTATTCACTAAGCAGGGATTAATTTCTTTATGTGACCAAATAAGAACAAAAGAAAAAGGTGAGTACTTTTCTATATCTCATGAAGTTCAATTTGATTAATATAGCCTGCTAATTATTATTTATGATTAATAATATAATAATATACTGGTATGTTCTTATGGGCACCTTTTATTACCTTCCCGCTTAAAGCAGTAACTATTTATCTACTCACATTTCAGTTTTTGATCTGCTAGGTGGGCAGGGAGCTGGGGCTGATGGCGGGTGCTCATCCTGACCTGGCCTTGAACTGCCAACCTTTCGATTAATAGGATTTTCTGCCGCTTAGTGTTTTAACCCACTGTGCTAAGCTCAGCCGCTCGATTATATTATGATCCCCAAATAAATGTTCTTTGTCTGGCCAAGAGTGTAAAATAAATTGATATTTGAAGCAGATTGATTCTATACACTCTTCATCCACAACTGACTCAAAAGCCAAATCAGATATTCTTCTGTATATGTGAGCATGGAGTACTCTGAACAAAATCACTTTCCATGTGAGTTATGAAATAGTTCTGTGTTTCAGCTTTTTCTGTTTTTGGACAAGGTAAAGGTAAAGGCTTTCCCCTGACATTAACACCAACTTGGGGGTTGGTGCTCATCTCCATTTCTAAGCTGAAGAGCCGGTGTTGTCCATAGATATCTCAAAGGTCATGTGGCTGGCATGACTGCACGGAGTGCCGTTACCTTCCCGCTGGAGCGGTACCTATAGATCTTCTCACATTTGCATGTTTTCAAACTGCTATGTTGGCAGAAGTTGGGCCTAACAGCAGGAGCTCATGCCACTCCCTGGATTCGAGCCTTTAAGCAAGTCAGCAACTTGGTCAGCAAGTTCAGTAGCTCAGCGGTTTAACCCACTGCGCCACCGGGGGGATATGTGAGTCAATATTGCTAGTTATTTCTTTGCTTTCTAATGACAAGATAAACATAATTAACACTTACCAAAGCAGACTATTCCATCTCCAGTGTAACCTGCTTTGCAGGCACATACTCTGTTTCCTGGGGTGGTACGTTTACATATTGCTTTGGCAGAGCAGCCACCATTGCTTGTTTCACATGCATTGATAGCTATAAAGACACACAAAATAGAAGATATAGTTCCATTCTTAAACTGCAGTATAACCATGATTGCTGACCTTATACAGTAGCAAACTTTGTTTTGCCAAAAATACATTTGACAGAAAAACACAGCATAAGCTCCCTGGCAAAACATGTTCATGAGCATGTTTTGTTGTGTATATGTAAAAAAAAGCCTTGGCCAGAATTTTGTTGGTGCACTCTGTGGCATAACTGCAATGGCACAGTAGCCCTCTTTGCTGCAAACACAGTAGCCAAGAGGGAAGAAGGTAGTAGAGTAGTAGGCTGTTCAGAAGTGGCATCTTCTCATGGATGACTGTATGGTTGTGGACAAAGAGCAATCACTCATATAGTGCACTGACAGAATTATATTCCATAAGTTTACACCTACAAATAAGTGTAATAGTGGACTGACTAATCAACCCCTTTGTCTAATAAATCACCCAATAGTTGGGGAAACTAATTAATAGGAGATGATCTCCTAAGAATACAGTCATGAATGCAAGAAGAGTGATACAGGAACAGGTGTTGATGTCAGGTGTGTGCGCGTTTGTGTACAAAGAAACAGCAACTCTATTCTGAGGTCAGAGACAAAAGTGCCTCCTCTGAACTCAGTGAAATAATCAGTGAATCCCCAGAATTAAGAGAGGAGCAAAACAGCCCTGTTTAATTTTTGTATACAAAGAAATGTTGCATAGAGACCAGGGATGGATATTATTTGATCATTCAAATGTTATTGTGCTGTAAATCCCAGCATTTCCCGCTATTGTCTATGCTAGTGGACTTTCAGTCTAAAAACAATTGAAAAGCTACATGATTACCAGAACAGATACACACAAAAGAGGATGCTCTGGTGCATGCTATGGATTTGAGATTGTATCCATTGGTTGTGTGGTGATATATTTGTGTTTCTGTGAAGAAGGAAGGATAGTCAGGAGCATTTAGAAGGTTGGTCTGAGAAGGTCTTGGTGGATAAATGGCCTGCCTGCTCTGGGCTCTGTCCAGGGTCCTGAAAGACTTGCTTCTAACCATGCACCTCTTCATGTGGGAATATGCACATGTGCCTTTAAGTCACCTTTCAGCTTATGACAGCCATATGCATTTCATAAGTCTTATGTAGAAAAAAAAGGGAATTATTCTGAACTTTAAACTGATACATGAAAATGATTTGATACCAGCTTCTATCACACCACTCTTTTCAGGGGTGCTTTGATTGTGCCTTTTCCTGCATGGCAGGGAGGTAGACTTGATGAACCATATAGTGTCTTCCAACTAAATGATTATATGAGTCTATGATTCATGAATGCCATCCTAAACTTTCAAACAGAGTAAATAAGTTCACTTGCCTGTACAATATGTTCCATTTCCTTTAAACCCAGCTGCACACTGGCAATATGCTTTGCCTCCAGGATTGAGAAAGCAGCTAAAAGAGGGCAGAGGGAGAAGGAGGAAAAGAATATCAATAAAACTAAACCCATTTCTACATCTTTGCCACTGTTTTTTCAAGCTACAGTAGGCACCCAAGATTTGTGGTTTCTCTTCCCTGGATTTGATTATTCCTGAGTTTGTAGCTGCTGCTCAATGAACAAAACCTCCTCACCTCACATCTTCTGCTACCCTTCTACCTACCATTCCATGTCCTGCTGGAAGTGCCATCTGCTTACTCCATTTACCATCTTCCCATCACAAATACTTTCTTCTTCTGCTGCCTGATTTTAAACCTTATTTCCAGCTCAAATGGGAAACTGATCATTAGGAAATGATCATTAGGGTGCCTACTGGCTTTCAAATCTGTCCGATTCTTTGTGGTGGGAAGGTGGTGAAGAGGGCGAGGGGTGGTGCTGTTGGCAGCTAGAGAGGCAGCATAAGGCGGTGAGGAGGTGGATTGTTGGGAAAGGGCTTCAAAATATGACTGAGGCTTTGTGGTGGAAAGTTCAGAAAGGAAATGATGGGCCTGGTACTGTTGATGGAAAAGATAGTCTGTAGTATACACATCTGGGAAGAGGGTTTACCATATTTATATTTTCTTGCTTTCCTAGCAAGACCTTTGTGGATGGGAGTTGGGCTGTTTATTCTTCCAAACAATTTGCATGTTTCCTTTATCCCCTATATTTATATTCCGCCTTTTTGCCAAACTGGGACTCACAATGATTTACAAAACAGTTAAAATTACACATGGAAGCACATATGGTTAAAAGAAAACAGAGCAAATGAAGACAACCTCCATTCATCCACATCTTCCAAAATTAGCCTATATACCAGGACAATTGTAACAAAGGGACCTGCTAGAACATGTGGAATGGGATCCTGCTGCTCAGAATTACAGGTACTACATTATGTTCTAATCTCTCTCTCTTTTCATCTCTACCCTGTAACAGTGAGTATGTATAGCTACTAATTGGGCTCTGCAGTGCTATGCAAACTACAGTAGCAGCAGATATAAAAACCAAGTTCACAACATGTTTTGTTGGCTCCTGTACATTTAAGAGCAGACTGATAGCAAATTTGAGGGGACTTGTTTTGACTTATTATTTAGGTTAAATGATTTATAAGTTTGTTTTTTAAATGCTATTCTGTTCTAATTTGAACTCTATAGGTCCTTTTCCATACAAAAAAGTAAATGAATAAATAAAATTGATTTTATTATATTTTCTCTCCAGCTCCAACTTCAAATTTAGTATTATAATCACTGGGGGAAAATGCTATGTCTTGACCCATGTTCATGATCTAGTTTGAGGTAATACATACTTGGCACTGGTGTGGCAGGTACTGTTGCATTCATCATCTTTGATTTCTGAGGGGAGAATGAACAAATGAAAAAAAAATGAATGAATGAAAGAAAAAAGAAAGAAAATAAATGCCTTTTTTGGTAAGCAGTCTATAAGCATAGACTGATATCCATGGTTTCTTCTTTATCGCATCACCAGATAGTTGACTCTACAGATTTTTCTGGATTATATCATTTCATCTTCTGAAGCATTCAAGTACTTTTCCATTTCTGCACACATACTAGCCAATATTAGAATAGAATTCCTCAATAAAATAGTAGGAAAAAGCAATGAGAAAACATGGTAGGATAACAGGGTAAAGACATTTTCACAGAAGCAGGGTGACTGAATGCCGATTGGGAAACTACCTAAATGTTCACCCCATTAGCAATATTCTGTCTCATTTTAGTCTGGCCATTTATTACTAATTAATGGAAGTTACTTTCTTTCCATCAGGGTTGGATGGAATGGAATGACAAAAGTCATATCCATTTATCCTCGTACAAGATTCCATTCTCAGCTACTCTAGAGAAGTTCATTGGTAACAAAAAACAAGTTGTGTGCATGTGTGTATAGATTACATTGAAATACCATGATAACATTCAAGACAAAACGGAACAAGTGAGTGTGAAACTACTGCAAGGATAGGACAGAAGATATAAACACACGTTGAGCACCATGAAATGCAGAGGATGGGATATTAGTAACTTAAATGTGGCTCATAAGTAGCAAGAAGCTGAAAAATCTTTAGTATTTTTTGTAATCTATCTTTCCTTGTCTGTGTGTGTACATAAATGATTGATTGATTGATTGAATATTTGTCTATAGCCAAAGAAATGTATCAAATACCTTAATTTCTGAGAAACAAACTTGTGTCTTCAAATATAAAACAGATAAATTAAGATAAATTGCACTTACCAGTCTCACATGTCACACCTCTCCAGCCAACATCACATTCACAAGTGCCATCTCCTTTAGTGCCGCTGTTACATCTCCCATGGGCACAGACACATTCTAAATGCAAAAAGGGAACCTTTAAGCTTCAAAAAACTTGAACACAACAGTGATATTGGATGTTTTGTGTTGCCATCTATTGTAATGTGTTCTGACTGTACATATGTTTCTCTGTGCACAGAAGTAATCTAGTTCAACACAAGAAGATCCCTCAGCTCAACTGACTCTTGACCTTAATTAATTCCATACTTTTATTGCAACCATTTTGATATCATGGCCTGAATTATATTGATTTAAGTCAACCAGAGCAGATTTATTGAAACAGTAAAGAGCAAGGTTTTGGTACATTCCATTCATTCAATGATTTGCTTTAGTTTTGCCTTACAATAAGCTCCTGGCTATTGCATTTAATATATTTCATGCATTACTAGTTTTTTTTATGTTTGCCACACAATTCCCTTTATTACTTGCTAAGATCAAGAAAAAGGATGGAATAATTTGCCACACCTGTGACTAAAAATGCCAGCCATTCTAAAACCAAAAATACCTTGATCACAGCTGATACCATATTTTCCTTTGACACATCGATCACAGGCAACTCCTTCGAATCCAGCTTCACACTCACAGGAGCCTGTGCCATTGATGCCATCCAAGCAAATCCCATTGCCCAAGCAAGTATTTCCAGACAATCCTGGACAAGGTTCACATTGAGAACCAAAGAAACCTGCACAGCATTCCCTGATCTGAAAAGAAACAAATGCTGTAAGCCATAATCAGAATTACATTTAAAGAGAAGAAAACTAGAAAGAGGATGTGTCAGAAAAGCCCTCTTGAGCTCAAAGCCTAGTAAAGTTAATTCTTTAAACAATCCCTAAACCCATCCATGCTTGTAGGATATTGTGGGAGTTGTAGGTCATAAAGGTGATGTGTCCCAGCTTTGTTTGGGTTTCTGTATCCAAAGCGCACACTAATCTAATAATCTTTCTGTAACATATCTTTTGCTTTCAATTTTCAGGCTATGTATGTTGTTACTAATATGTATGTTGTTACTAATCTATCTAAAATAGTATTCTCCACATGAAAAAAGGAATTAATTGAATTTAGGGGCTCCCCTCTTTTTCAGTAATACAAAAACTTTTAGAAGTTCCAATGATCTACTTTTGCATGCAGAAAGACAGGCTTTATAATATGTGGTCCTCCTGAATCCTTAGACTAGAACGTCGATCAGAAAGAAAACCTAAATGGTATTGGACATCAAAAGAGGCCAATAAGAACAAGAGTGCCTATGAGATATGGACTCAGTGTTGGAGAAATGGAAAAACAGGTTTGTGTTTAGAGCAAAACAGAAGTCTGCTAGCGAGCACAATTCAAAGTGATGGTTTTAGCCTATAAAGCCCTAAACAGTTCCGGCCCAGCTTACTTGTCCGAATGTATCTCCCTCTATGATACACCTCGGAGGTTAAGATAATCAGGGAAGGCCCTGCTCTCAATCTTGCCACCTTTGCAGGTGTGTCTGGTGGGGACGAGGGACAGGGCCTTTTCAGTGGTGGTCCTCTGTCTGTGGAACATACTCTCTACCAAAATCAGGTCAGCCCCATCTCTCCTATTCTTCAGGAAGATATATAAATCATGGCTGTGTGACCAAGATTTCGATCAGCAGTTGCAGCAGTAACAATTATAAAGGAATCATATGATTGACAATGGATGGAGTTTGAATTATCACTCTGGATTTGGACTTGGAGTTGTCTCTTTTAAATGGTCTTCTAAACTTATGATGAAGTTTAAATTAATATTTAACTGTGTTATTATTATTGTTGTGGGCTTCTAATGGTTGCCGGTTGTAAGCCGCCCTGAGTCCCCCTCCGGGGCTGAGAAGGACGGGATAGAAATGTCTGAAATAAATAAATAAATAAATAAATAAATAGTTGGTGTAATCTTGAACAGAAACACTCCATGAAGTGACATTTTGTTGTAGGATCCACTTATAGACAATTTAGCTACCAGTTCTTTGTGCTCTTTCTTTTTGTTTTGCTCTAATAATGCCATAGTAGTAGGACAAAGTTACAAAAGCAATGATACTTGCTTGAGTTAAGAAATGATACTCACAGTTATGGTTTTAGCACATTTTCGCTGGCATCCAGGATGAAGAGACATCCTATAGTAATGGAGATAAAAGCAGACCTCCTTCTTGCCTGGCTATAGGGGAGAAAAAAAAAGAACGGAACTTTATCATCAGGCAAGTTATTTTTGTGCTAGAAATATTACATCAGGGTCAAGACAGTTTTCTGCGATATTTCCATTAACACATATCTTCTGAAACATTTCACACTGAATGCAAATCAAACATTAGTCATTTTCAGATGTAGCTGTTAATTAGCATAACATTCATCTTGGTAAAATATTCTGGCGCATAGCAGGAGGCCTTTGCATGCTATTTATAAGTAGATCCAAAACTCTTGTTTCTGTCCATGCTCATTTGTTAATCTATCTATGAAAATGGGGAATCTGTGGCAGATCCTCTAAGTTCCAGACTAGATTGTGGAAGCAGATAATAGGAGGTGGAACAACAGCTGGAATGCTAAAACCCTCCATCACATCTACAATTTTCAGAAACTGCTGTTATATCAGGGTTCAATACAGATATGCAGAAGGCTATGAATAAGGGGATTGTAATGCATATAAGAAAACTAAATGGACCAGTACAACCAGAGATATGTCGGTATGCCATTGGAAGATGGGACTCCCAGGTCGGAAGATGGCCAAAATGCTACTGGGGAGGAGCAGAGGATAAGCTCAACTAGCCCCAGATGTGATGACGCAGCTAGCTCAAAGCCGAAAGGAAGGCTAGCGGCCGACGGTACTGGAGGTGAACGACGAATCCGATGCTCTAAAGATCAACACACCATAGGAACCTGGAATGTAAGATCTATGAGCCAGGACAAATTGGATGTTGTTATTGGTGAGATGTCAAGACTAAAGATAGACATTCTGGGGGTCAGCGAACTGAAATGGACTGGAATGGGCCACTTCACATCAGATGACAACCAGATCTACTACTGCGGACAAGAGGAACATCGAAGAAATGGAGTAGCCTTCATAATTAATAAGAAATTCGCTAAAGCAGTGCTTGGATACAACCCAAAAAATGACAGAATGATCTCAATTCGAGTGCAAGGAAAGCCTTTCAACATCACAGTGATCCAAATATACGCCCAACCACAGCTGCTGAAGAAGCAGAAGTAGATCAGTTCTATGAGGATCTGCAGGACCTACTGGATAATACACCAAAAAGAGACATTATTTTCATTACAGGAGACTGGAATGACAAGGTGGGAAGTCAAATGACAACTGGGATCACAGGCAAGCATGGTCTGGGAGAACAAAATGAAGCGGGACGCAGGCTGATAGAATTTTGCCAGGAAAACTCGCTGTGTAAAACGACATGGAACAACAGACTTGTTCAAGATTGGGAAAGGAGTACAGCAGGGCTGTATACTCTCACCCTACCTATTCAACTTGTATGCAGAACACATCATGTGATGTGCGGAGCTTGATGAAGTGAAAATTGCTGGAAGAAACATTAACAACCTCAGATATGCAGATGACACCACTTTGATGGCCGAAAGTGAGGAGGAGCTGAGGAGCCTTCTAATCAAGGTGAAAGAAGAAAGCGCAAAAGCTGGGTTGCAGTTAAACATAAAAAAACCAAGATTATGGCAACAAGACTGATTGATAACTGGCAAATAGAGGGAGAAAACGTGGAGGCAGTGACAGACTTTGTATTTCTAGGTGCAAAGATTACTGCAGATGCAGACTGCAGCCAGGAAATCAGAAGACGTCTACTTCTTGGGAGGAGAGCAATGTCCAATCTCGATAAAATAGTAAAGAGTAGAGACATCAGACTGGCAACAAAGATCCGCCTAGTCAAAGCCATGGTATTCCCTGTAGTCACCTACGGATGTGAGAGCTGGACCTTAGGGAAGGCTGAGCGAAGGAAGATAGATGCTTTTGAACTATGGTGCTGGAGGAAAGTTCTGAGAGTGCCTTGGACTGCGAGAAGATCCAACCAGTCCATCCTCCAGGAAATAAAGCCCGACTGCTCACTGGAGGGAAGGATACTAGAGACAAAGTTGAAGTACGTTGGCCACATCATGAGGAGACAGGAAAGCCTAGAGAAGACAATTATGCTGGGGAAAGTGGAAGGCAAAAGGAAGAGGGGCCGACCAAGGGCAAGATGGATGGATGGCATCCTTGAAGTGACTGGACTGACCTTGAAGGAGCTGGGGGTGGTGATGGCCGACAGGGAGCTCTGGCGTGGGCTGGTCCATGAGGTCACGAAGAGTCGGAGATGACTGAACGAATGAACAACAACAATGCACATCATCTGAGAGTCACAGAAACACATACACAAGTGTGTACAATGAAATGCTAATGTCAAAGGAATTCAAATGGGGCAGATCCCCCATCTTTTTGTGAAGCAGCAAATGGCATCAATCCTCCAAATTCAGTCAAGTCAACATACCCAAGGTTTGTTAGGCAATATTAGCATGCTAGTAGAAAATTCCATAAATCTCTCTCTCCCACTCTATGAGAAAAATTCAGTCAGTGTGGTGTTGCAGCTATGTGTCGGTACTGTTTAAAGTAGGTGATTCCACTTTCCTATCTTGTTGCTGCCTCCTGCTGAATTCTGGGAAATGTAGTTTAGGGTGGGGACTTTGGAATTTTCAGCTAGAGAGCTCTTTGGCTTCCCTAAACTACATTGCCAAGAATTCTGCAGGAGGATAGACATATGATAGGAAAGTGGGAGCACCTGCTTTTAAAAAAAATCTAAAAAGCTAATGTGCTAGGAAAGCCACTGGGTGATCTTGGCACATCAGCTTTCTCAGTCTAAGAGCAAGGCGATTACAAACTCTCTACGAACTAATCTTGCCAAGAAAACTGTGGTATTGATTTGATGTAGGTTGGAATCAACAACAAATCAGTAAATATACAACAATAAAAATCATATATGAAAAAGACAAATCTATTTACACAAATCAAATTCAAAAATATTTACCACGGGTGTAGTTCCAGGAGGGCAGCCATGTGTGTATGAACAGGATTTACATTTCCCCTTAAAAACAAACATACATTTCCTTCTAAGTAAAACCACAAACAAGAGAGATCACCACCTGTTTTTCTGAGATTCTGAACGAACATTACAAATGCATTGCAAATGCAGAGACATTTTCACTTTTTATATGAACAAAACCTTCAATGCTTGTCTCTATTATTCCTGAATCATCTGGTTACACTGCTCCCTCCTTCTGTCCCCTAGAGGTACTTCATTTGGCTTTAACAATAATAGTTCTGCAAAATTTAATTGTATTATATTTTTATTTGTTTAAATGCCAGAACTAAAGAATACAAGCCATAATGAAAAATAAAATGTACCACTTCATGCCTTCCTTAATGCTTTTCAGCTGGAGCTACCTATAGAATAGTTCTGAGGATGAACAAAGAACAAAGAAAATCATAGATTTTCAGGCCTGCTGAAAAAAGAGAAAGGAATTTTTTACATAAAATATGTATGGAAATGAGAAGGGGAAGTTTGTGTACATATCTGCAAGGCAGTTTTGTCATTGGTTAATATATTTACAGAGCCATTGTGGTGTAGCTGTCTGAGATTGAACTATGACTCTGGAGACCAAGGTTTGAATCCCTGTTCGGCTATGGAAACCAACTGCATGACTTTGGACAAATCACACTCTTTCATCCTTAGAGAAAGGCAAAAGCAAATCTCTCTAAACAAATCTTGTCAAGAAAACCCTGTGATGTGGTGTTTTGGAAATGACTTGAAGGCACACAACAACAATATACCCAACTAAAATGAAAACTAGAAAGCCTACTTAGAAGAAAACACTCCAATTTCCTGTTTCAGATGGCAAGAATGAAGATCTTTTATTTATGTTAAAAGTCACTTTAAGAATCAATATGAGGCTGATTTAATTAATATATGACTCAAAAATATGTTAACTATATTCATTTGAAAAGTACATTAAGTACATATATTGAAGTGCACAACTTACATTTATAATCACAGTGTCATTAATATCACATCTGTTCTTCTCAATTTCCATTACTTTTCCTACGCCATGGATTATTCCTTTATCCGTTGCCACATTTGGGTAATTTATAGGTGCCTCGTTAACGTAGAGCTACACACAAAACATTATCAGCTTAGAACACATCAGAGAAGCAAGCTTAAATAAAAACTGGTTCAACAATTTTATCAATTGAATGCATCTTACTCTGCTTGAAAAATATAATAAAATCCCATATAACAGCACTGAACTGAAAGATTGCGTTGGAAAAAATAGCTCCTCTGTGAAATCACAGTATTTTATCAATAATTTCAGACTTTTAAAAAAAGTTATTTGAGTGATAAATACATTCAGTATCCAGCTACAATTGGTCTCTGTCAATGTGTGACTGTTTACAGAAATATACTCTTTATCTTGCTCCTTCCCCCCATATTAATTTCTCCATTTTAATTTAAAGACTGATTCTGATACGTGCAATCAATCTCTCAGTAAATGTCAGCTAACTGGCATAGGTTTATTAGTTATCTTCTCTTTACTTTGAGGAGATTTGGACTACCTAGAACAGTGGTCCCCAATCTGTTCTTGACAAGGGACCACTTTGACCAGGGACTACTCTCCAACATTAGTACCAAAAGGGTTACGAATCAGTTTTTGGTCAACTTTAAATTCGGTTTGGGGTGCTGATTCAGAAAATTGCATTGGATAGACCACATCAGCTCTAGTTTCTGATACAGAACCCATGATCAGCAACAAGGAAGGAGTGGAAAGTAGTGTGAAAGGAGCAGAAATAAAATAAATAAAGAGGAAAGAGGCTTGTGGACCAGATTTTCATCCTTGTGGCACACTGGTGGTCCACGGCCCACAGGTTAAGAACCACTGATCTAGAATAATCAGCAACCCATTCTAAAGCACAACCTTTGTAATAATCAGAGGTATATTGAAATGGGTGACCCCTCACTAAGGCCAAGCATCCATTCACTCTCAGTCCCATTTTCTGAATTCTAAATGAAATTCTTAGTTCAGCACTTAATGCACATGTTTAATGTTTACACATGATGAGTGGCCTCATTAGCTGGGAGTGTAAATATACTTATGCCAGTTAAGCCTCTGCTGAATTTGACCTAAATCTTGGTTTCAGTAGAACCTTTCCTAATTTAATCAATTAGCAAGTTTTTTCACGAAGCGGGTATTTAAATAAATGTGTTACAGCAAAAGCCGTTGGCTTATTTTAGATGTAGCACCTGGGCATCATGAATGAAGAATCCCACTCTAAATGACATTCCAAGCATGGTTTCCCTGAACATCCCATTATGCATGTCGTTCTTCAAGAGCTTCTCCTTGAGAATAATATGGTACCGGATCTGGCTTTCATCCTGTTGAATAAATTAATAATGCATATTAAGCACCAGACTTCCTTGCATATGAGGGCTCACAGCACAACTCATTTAATTCCTCCTTCCTCTTTCTAACTAAGGGAAAAGAGCAGAGGAATGAAGTGCAGGCACAGTTTTGAGGCCAGGTCTCAGCTGTCACCTGCAAAAGCTGGCTGGTTTCTCTGTCCCTCCACTCCGTCACTTGTGTGTGTCTTTGTGTTTAGAAAGAGGAAGAAATACAGCATAACCCTCTTATTTATGGATTTAATATCCAAAATATAGGATACACTATTATCCATGGTTTCAGGTATCGATGGATTTTGAAACACATTACCCTTGGAAACATGAGTTGTACTGTACTATCATCAAGTATTTACTTAAATCAACTGCAACCTGACCAGAGTCCTTGCTAATCTTCAGTCATTAATAGTTTACTGTCATGGTTGGAGATTCTCTTTCCCAGTTGTAAATAATGGACCATGATTAGAGCTTGGAAGCAAAGCTCTAATCTTTGTTATGCTGGGGGTAAAGAGTAACGCTGTAAACAAATGTCAAAGTAATAAGTAATATTTACAGGGTACTTTCCCCCATTACTTTGAGGACTAAAAAATGATTTCTTGGGACAGAAACTTCCTTAAAACTTCCTCCCCTCTCAATTTTCAGGCTATTTTGCTACCATTGTAGAAGTTTTTAAAAACGGGATTAAAATGTAATGATCACTTCAATATAAGAAAAGTTCCAAACAGGTTTCCCACAGGTGCAACAGTAGCAAGTTACTTTTGGGCTTTCATAATGAGTTACATAACATATTGCCTTTAATAAATAACTTTCCAAAGTTTAGCCACTGACACACAGGAGCTTTCCCAATAGTTTGTAATCCTGTAGATATTTAGGAGTAGTGTTTTGTAGCATAAAGGATCAGGGTAGTGCATACTTTTTGGTTGTGATATACAACAAACCACTAATTCCACTGTTAGTCCTGTGAAGGGTAGCTCATTTGAATCTTTCTTCTAACTACTTCTAACTACTTCCTACTATTTTAGTATCAAAGTGTTGCAGTAATTAGTCTGAATGCACAAGTGTGGGGAAGAGTTCAGTGCACATCACAGCTTTCAGTGAGCAATTTCTAGTTTTGCTCTAAAGCACCAGACAAGCAGCTAAGAAAATTCCATTGCTGAGATGACTTAATTAAAAAAAACATTAAAACCAATACCTACCAGAGAAACTGAGTGTCTCGCCTTCAGATAATCCTCAATGGCATCATTGCTTGGGGCAAAAATGGTGTAGGTGCTAGCTGCTTCAATTTCACTTGCCAAGTTATATTGCTGTTTGGAGAAACACAAATGTCTGATTGTAAAATGCACAGGAACACATTGAATGATGCACTACTGTTTTCAGAGCTCAAACAAGTTCCTTTTTGGTATGCTAACTCCCAGATACCTGAGTTAATACGACCATTGGCCTAGAGCAGTGGTATTCAAAATTATGGCCCTGTTTATTTGTCTGGGATCACCTCTGATCTTTAAACCAATGCTGCTGGACCCTGTCATATTTCCAAGAAAGAAAGAAAAATTACAGCCAATGTGCACAAATATGGCCCCACCTTGGGGGAAAAAATCCTACATCAGAGACCCTTATTAGAAATTCCATAACCTATTGGAAATAACTGCCCCATAACCTTATTGAAAAGGTAAAAATGATGTCACATCCATTTGGCAAATGTGAATCTCCATGAACATGTGGAGACCATCTTTTGAAAACCACTAGTCAAGAAAAGCATGACCTTGTTAGAAGTCAACTCTGAACAAATTATATTCATTAGCATTCATGTAATGGTGCACAGGTAACTCACCTGTTAAACTGAGGAACCATGTCTTTAAGCTGTCAAGGATAAAGACATGCCGCTACAAAAATATATTTAGTTAGCAGAGTATGGCTGTTTCTTTGAAGTTGAAATTGCAGTTGCCCGAAAGATATACACTCCCTTGAAATCTCTTAGTTTAAAATATGCACTCAGAGATAAAAAATAAAGTATTCTTTGAAAAATAACAGTGGATTGTTTGGGCTGTATGGCCATGTTCTAGAAGCATTCTCTCCTGATGTTTCACCTGCATCTGTGGCAAGCATCCTCAGAGGTTGTGGCTTGCTTCTAGAATGCTTCTAGAACATGGCCATACAGCCTGATAAACCTACAACAACCCAGTGATTCTAGCCATGAAAGCCTTCAACAATACATTGAAAAATAACGTATTTTGTTTACTCTCAAACATCTTGTATTAATTCGCTATAGTCACATTTCTTATTAAAGTTCAGTTAGTAGATGAGATGTAGGTTTCTCTGTGTTGAGTACACAGGGCATCATTCTATCAATAGTCCATAGTCTTTAGGTATAGTTGTACTCACTGAAGTCGAAAAGTCATACTGCATCCATTAAAGTCCAAACAGCAACCTGTTTTCATTGAAGACCAAGCACATACATGCATCCACCTCCACTGAGGACTGATGCAAGGACATCCACCTCCAATGAGATGTTTAGCAGACTGAATACAAAATGGAGTCCTGAGTCTGAACCCCTCCCACACCAAAGCGGTAAGTCAAACTGGCAAATCAACACACACATAGAATACTGGTTAGCAAATATCAACAAATAAATAGTGAAAGGCTTGGGAGGTTGCTATTTCCAAAACCTCCGAGAAGTATTTGTTTTGGCAATTCTTGGAGTTGTAATAAAACTTGAATTTTCTATCCTCTGATTATTAAAGCAAATATACTTACAATTATGTAGCCCCTGAAAATGGAGTAATCTGGCATCTGTTCTAAGCGGGGGACCAATTTTGGCAAAGTGCCACTCACTCCACTGAGGGGTGTCAAAACCTGGAAAAAAAGCCCATAACCACAATGGAATAAAAAAGCAAATAAAACTATTTTGGCAAAAAATAGTTTTATTTGCTATTTTATGTGACAGTTATCCAAAAGTCATAGAAAATAGAATATATCATTTCAGTAAAACTTTGAGATTCAAACTCTGCAAGGATTTTCATAGCAGCAGAGAGTTGTTAAGATTTATTTGATCATAAATGGAAAGGACTGCTCACATCATTTGTGGTTGCTTGCCCTTAAGAGGTATTAAGGTAGGACAAACATTTGTTTCAGTGGAGGATACTGTATTATTTAAATATCTCAATTCACAAAAAGAAAAGGAAATCCATTTGAAAAATTCCAAAAATTATAATCATTAGTGCCTTTCAAAATATTACAGCACAGTTAGCATGCTTTTGAATTATCCATAAATCATTAGGGAATTACGCAAAGCAGATAAGTGGAAGACTTCAAAAAGCTTGCTTCATGTTTTAAAAAGACAAAGTTCTTTTAAAATCCTACATTCCTAGCTATTTATAATGAAGATGCAAATACCTTATCCACTACATGGATAATCCCATTTGTTGCTGCAATATCACCAGCTAAAATGTTTGCTCCAGCAATTGACACATCCTAGAAAAAAAAGGTATAAAATGTATTTTATTTTAATATTAAAATTTTACTAGCTTCCTGGCTATGCAGCATACATATAGCCCTCCATATTTCTGGATTGATCCCAGATCTGATTGAAATGTTCTCTCTAGGAATCTTTGGGTGTTCCAATGTGACTCTATAGTGAACTACTGCTGGAAGTTGATTACAGATTCCAGCGGAAGTTGATTATTGAGCCATAGTGAAGGACCTAGACATTCCTAGAGAGAACATCTGTCTAGGAATTTCATGGTCCTCCAATATGATGCAATGACCAACTTCTGGTGGATTTGTGCTGGAAGAACCAGAGTGTCCTGGACAGGTGTTCCCTCGGGGAAATAATTAGCAATGTTACTATTTGGTGTTCCATGGCTCATTCATTAAATTTTCAGGACGAGAGGTAGACCATGTTATATTGCAAGTTAACTCAGTATCTTTTACTTTGACCCTTGTGGTCCTCAAAGGCTCCAGGCAACCTTGGCAAAGTGTATGTGAGAAAGGATATCAAACAGTACTGGTAAACTTACTCCACTTCTCTTGGACAATGACAAGAAGTTGCCATGCAAAGACGTTGCTGTCCTCTTCAATGATGACAAGTGTTGCAGATCATCAACTGTGTATGCTCCTTCTAATATATGGTGCCTAACGGAAAAGAAAGACATTTCAGTTAAAATGAGATGCAACTCATGGCCATTTAGTTAAACATGGGGTGTTTGTTTGTAGTTCAATGATTTATGCAAATCTAGCAAGTTAAGACTTATTTATGCACAGCACTTGTTCTCTCTTCCTGCCCAGATTTTTTAATTTGTATGGATGGGCAATGTATGTGGATATTGCCCATCCTCCATCCTATCTGGGTGATGATCAGAGGACATCCTCCGCATAGAATGCACATTAAGTGGCAAGAAAAATAGATGTTATGGTTGTGTTCACATAGCAACATCTGCCACAAGAACTTCTCTGATTTTGAAACAGGACTTACTCCATGGCTGAAGGATGTATGACAATTGCATTGTCATTAAGGATATAAAAGGATTTTGGTCCTGGGTTCAAAACAAAATACTGTTCAAACAAAGTGGAGGATGCCCATAACCTTCAGAAAAAAAGATGGAAAATAGTCCAGATTTGTGCATAAATTGCAATCTTCTGGATGGCTTGGTTGGCAAACTTGTTTTAAGAATTAAGGAAACACATTATGAACACAACAGTAATGATGATGACAAAGAGAAACATGCAGCATACTTTGTAAGGGTCAATATATTGTCTTTTGACATCCAAAAATCTTTCTCTTCTTGGTCCATGTTCTGAATTGCTTGGCGAGAGGGCACAAGAATGGTTAGATTGGCTGCATCTGTCAGAAGTGTCTTCAGCGCAGCTGTCTGAATGAAACATGAGGATAAAATGCATTAATATTCTAGGGGTCCTGCTGCATGTTTACTTTTCAAATTAATGAGTCAGAGCAAGGTTTTGTCCTTTACGGAAAAATCCCACACAACAGAGCCCTATGGGCCAAGGGAAACATGCTTGGCCAGCTCACTGGTAGCACATTCTTATTTAATGGCTATTCAGAAATAAATTCCATTGTGCTCAATAATATTGCAGAGAGAGAAACAACATATGTGTTATAGGGAATATTTAGAGGCTGAGCCCATCCTTCTACATTAAGGCATACCTATATGTTCCTTCAAGTTGACTCTGATTTATGACAACCTAATCATCGATTTTCTTGGCAATATTTATTCACAGTGGACTGAGACTAACTTCTTGTAAAGTTTAGAGAGTGTGATTTGCCCAAAGTCACCCAATGAGTTTCCATGGCTGAGTGGGAATTTGTATTTAGTATTTTGATTTTAAAAGCATATATAGTAACTTAGATTCAACCATGGGTGCCAGGAGTTCTATCCATTGACTCAATAAGATTTGTATGTGTTGATTTATCATTCAGCAATTGATTCAATAGGTCTACTCTAGTTAATAACTGGATTTAGCAACTGGATTTACAATGTGATTTGATATTAGGTGTCATTTTGGGTACATTTTAGCAATTCAAACATTTGTTCTCTTTCTGAAAATGTTTAGTAAGAGATACTCACATCAATCCACTCATTAAATCCAGCAGCTTCTGATAGAGAAGAAAGTTCCTAAGCAGAGAGAAAAAGGCAAATGAATTATAGCATTTATAGTGTGACTCTATGCTTTCTACATTGAAAGTCCTAACTATACAGCTCCTGATATCTGCAGCTAAAATAAAGAAAAGTCAGCCATCAACATTTTGTGCTTTGTTTAATAAAATATTAGCTATTACAGGTGATATGATGATATTACAAGTAACATAAGATTATTTTATATAATTGTTAATCCCTGCTGTGAATGGAGTACCCTACATATTCTGCGAGCAGTTATAGCACCAGGACTGTGGTGCTGCTGGCTGGGAGTCAGCTGCATTAAGATCACTACTGACCGAAGGTCATGAGTTCAAAGCCAGCCTGGGTCAGAGTGAGCTCCCGATGAAAATTGTGTAGCTTGTTGTCGACCTTTGCAACCCGAAAGACAGTTTCATCTATCAAGTAGGAAAATTAGGTACCACTTTGTGGGGAAGCTAAATTAACTGATTTACGAGGCCATAAAAAATCTCCAGGAAGTATGCAAGTATGCAAGGAATTAAGAAGCGACAGCTCCCCTGGTGGCCAGAAACTAGAAAGTTAATAGCCTCTGAGTGTCTGTCTATATATGTTGTGTGTCTATGGCATTGAATGTTTGCCATGTATATGTACATTGTAATCCACCCTGAGTCCCCTGGGGTGTGTGTGTGAGAGAGAAGGGCAGAATATAAATAATGTAAATAAATAAAAATAAATACTACATATAAGTGATGAAAATGGCCAGTGCTGTTTAATGATGGAAGATTCAGCACAATGATGCCTGGAAGGTTGCCAGTTCCCCATTCCTGGTTTAGGATTTCTGTGCTTACCTCCACTGCATTACCATAGCATATGCTGCCATCTCCTTTGTAGCCTTCTGAACAAACACATTCCCAGACTCCAGAAGATGTGAGCTGACATACTGCCTGTGAAAAGATAATGATATTCAGATGCATGGCAACTGCGCAATATCTGTGATATACAGCAATATAGTACATAAAAGTTGCAGTGTTCACAAACAGGGAAGCTGTCATGGTATGTTCCGTTCAATATTTTGTATTAATAAAGTCTGGATTAATGAAGGACTCAGACTATAGCTTCAATTTGCCTTCATTGTTTCTTTGAGAACAATTGTTATTTCAGAATTAAGGATATCTCAGTTTCATATAGTAGCAAACAGTATTGAATTGGTAACTCACCAGAGGGTGGCACTTCTCACTTTGTTCCAGACAAGAATTTATTGGTTCACATTCATATCCATTGCCCCGAAATCCTGTTTTACATTCACAGTCATTCTAGGCAACATGGGAAATAATTAATAATATTAGATTGGAAAACGGTGGAGCATTTGTCAAAGGCTTTCATGGTTGGAATTGCTGGGTTGCTGAGAGTTTTCCGGGTTGTATGGCCATGTTCCAGAAGCATTCACTCACATCTATGGCAGAGACCCTTAGACCTCACAACCTCTGAGGATGCCTGCCATAGACGTGGACGGAGTCAGGAGAGAATCCAAGGGATAGAGAAAGGTGGGATATAAATAAGGTAAATAAATAAATAAATAAATAAATGCTTCTGGAACATGGCCACATAGCCCAGAAAACTCACAGCAACCCAGTGGAGCATTTGTATGAGTTACTGAGTGCCAACAAAAACTCGGAAAGAAGTGCAATATAGATTGCTATGTTTGATTAACAGTTTGTAATGTATATTGTTGGAATGTCAGGCTAATACATTAGAAGATTACATATATGTAAATTACAACCTGGAAACATTATTTTTGGCTATACCTCTTAGAATCCCCTTGCCAGCTTGGTCACTGGAGGATCTGGGAAGTGTAATACATGAAAATAACTCTTCCAGGCATTAGTGCAAATACAATTAAGTTGCTGTCTGCTTTTTACAACATGTTTTGCTTAGGCCCCTTCTACACTGCCACATAAAATCCAGATTATTTGCTTTGAACTGGATGGCAGAAGCTTTTAAACAGAAGCTGGATGGCCATCTGTCAGGGGTGGTTTGAATGCAATATTCCTGCTTCTTGGCAGGGGGTTGGGCTGGATGGCCCATGAGGTCTCTTCCAACTTTTTGATTCTATGATTCTATGATTCTATATTATCCAGTTCAAAGCAAATAATGTGGATTATCTGATTTGATAATCTGGATTATATGGCAGTGTAGAACGTCTTAGCTATACCCTGTTTATTTCTTCTCTTTTTTCCTCTCTTCTATCACACACTGCAGCTTTTTTTGCTTATTTATTTTATACCATGTCTTTCTTCCACAAAACAAACTCAAGATGCACAACAATACTGACATGTAAAATTAAAAACACAATCTTGAGTAAAACATATATTTATGTTTATTTTACCAACACATTTTGTCTCATTTCAGTAGCTAAGAGGTTTAGGCCAGGTTAGTGCTTGGATGGTGAGAAACTGGCCCCTTCCACACAGCTGTATAAAATCCACATTAAACTGGATTTTATTGCAGTGGAGACTCAGATATCCCAGTTCAAAGCAGATACTATGGATTATCTGGCTTGATATTCTGGCTTGATATTGCTTTGTAGAGGGGCCCACAAAGAAATACCATGAATCAAGTAGGGCTAGGAACAAATCCTGATTGAAATCCCAAAGAACTGCTTCCAGTCCGAAATCATAATATTGGGTTGGAAGACCAATGGACTGAATTGGTATGTTCCAAAACATAGGAGTAAATGAAATTAAAATACATCAAGAAAGAGAGATTTAGCATCCAAGCAAATAAACTCCAGCAAAAGTATGTACATTGGGCCGCACCAATGCTAAATGTGAGGGGAAATCCCATTTTATTTTATTGTAAAACTGCTACCCTGAATGCCCGCAGGGCTGAAAAATGGTCTTTTCTGCTACACATTTTAGTAGGAGGGCACTGGGAGTCTTGCGATGAACCAGGGAGTCTAAAAATGACCTTGGTTACACAGGACTCACCATAACAGATCAAAATGACTCTGGGGCCCCATCTATACTGCCATATAAAATCCTGATTATCTGCTTTGAAATTGATTATATTGCAAAGTAGATCCAGCCTGAGAGGCTGACATCTTCTCAGTTATTACCATATCAGGTAAGATCCACATAGTGCAGAACTCAAGGGCATAAATGATTGTACTTACCTGTCCTGGACCTATATACAGGCAAGTAGCATTATTATGACACCCTCCAAAATTTGGCAGGAGGCAATTGTTGATTTCTGAACAGTCTCTTCCATTTCCTGTCCATCCTGGTTGGCACACACATTCATGGGTTCCAGGACCAGTCTTGATACATTCTGCCTGCAAGTATGTTATTGTACATAGAATGTTATAGAGACTTCTAGCATAAGTGTAAACACTTTGCTACCATTTCACTTCATGATTTGGCACAACATGGCTTGGATATAGTCTAATATAGTTGTACATAACTGCCAACCTAGCAGTTCGAAAACATGCAAATGTGAGTAGATCAATAGGTACCGCTCTGGCGGGAAGGTAACGGTGCTCCATGCGGTCATGCTGGCCACATGACCTTGGAGGTGTCTATGGACAACACTGGCTCTTCGGCTTAGAAATGGAGATGAGCACCACACTCCAGAGTCAGACATGACTGGACTTAATGTCAGGGGACAACCTTTACCCTAGTTGTACATAAACTCCACTGAAATCAACAAGGCTTACTTTAGACAAGCTTAAACTTTGAAGGAACTCTCAGCAGCCCTTCATAGTGAATAATTTACCATCGATAGTTCCTCATGTAAAAGGTACTTATATGGCATGCACTGAAGTAAAATGAATCACCGTAAAAAATTGAATGATCATTTCAATTGTTTGAGTCATTAAGTTCCCAGAATTTTTTTCATTCTAAAACCAATTTTATTTGCATTACATTTAAATAACTGTTCTATGGTGGTTAATTTTAACTTATGGCAACACTAAGAATGATTTGTCATAAGGTTTTTTGGGGAAGATTTGTGCAAAAGGATTTATACTATTGTCTGCTTCTAAAGGTGAGATAGTGTGACTTGCCCAAGGTCACTCAATGGGTTTTCATGGCTGAGAAGAGAATTATAGATTAGTAGTTCAGAATGCAATATGCAAACAGCTGCGCTGCATTTGCTCTCCTTTAATTAATACTAATTGGTATTTTAAAATGTACACAAGATTCTGACCTCATACACAAAGTATATATACACAAAGTATATATAGCAATTAGAAATAGTAAAGAACTGCATACATACATTATCACTGCAGCCATGTGGAATTACATTAGCACAAGGATCTACTTCACTGCAAATTATTCCATCGCCTTCATAGCCGGGTTTGCAAACACAGCTAAAAATGGACATCAACATATGTGAAATTAAGAGTCATGACAAATGAAACAAACATGTTTTTCAATAGGGTGCAATTTTAAGGGGTTTCTGACAGATCTTTCCTAAAATTGCTACATAAAAGTTCTTTCAATTAAGGAGAAGGCCTTTATGGAAGAGTAAAAATCACACCATCTTCATAGTAGCATTAACTCAATGAATGACTGCAAGGTGTACTACAGGGGTCCTCAAACTTTTTAAACAGAGGGACAGGTCATAGTCCCTCAAACTGTTGGAGGGCCGGATTATAATTTGAAAAAAACATGAATGAATTCCTATGCACACTGCATATATCTTAGTTGTAGTGCAAAGAACATTTAAAAACAATACAATAATTAAAATGAAGAATAATTTTAACAAATATAATCTTATTAGTATCTCAATGGGAAATGTGGGCCTGCTTTTGGCTGATGAGATAGCATTGTTGTTGTTGTTATTGTTGTGTGTTTTCAAGTTGTTTCACGCTTAGGTTGACCCTGAGCAAGGGCCGGGTAAATGACCTTGGAGGGCCGTATTCGGCCCCTGGGCCTTAGTTTGAGGACCCCTGGTGTACTAGCTAGGAAGATGGTCATGTTAACACAGTAGTAACTCACTTATAATTCACAAGTGAATGACTTGGGCAGTGTACACATATACATACACAATCAAACTTACATTATGATCTTACCTCATGGCACCATTACTAAACATACAATCAGCATGTGCATGGCAGAACTGAAGATAGTTTCCACATGGAAACATCTGTGTGTCACAGAATTTTCCAGCATAGCCACTTTGGCATGAACCAGCCAGGCAGGTTCCATCACTCTCTATGTGATTGTCACATTTTCCATAAACACACTTACATGCTGTGGAAGGATGGGGGAAATACGTAACAGTAAAACATCTGAAACAGCCACATAACTTTAAATAAGACTCCTTTAAAAAAAGTTACTGTATGCTTAGGAACTGCATGCTTTCATTTCAAACAAAGTAAATCCTAGAGATGTCAGGATATAAAACAGGTATTTTTTTTCCTTTACAATTTTTGGTATTCCAAATAGATTGGGAACAAATTGTCACACCACATAAGGTTTTTGAGAAACAGCCAATTTTGTTTTACAGATATTGAGAAATTATGAAACATTTTCTTTCTCGACAGTAATTTCCACGAATTTTTCGATTGCTCATATCTTTCACAACCATAACCAACATTATATAACATGTAACAGAGTCTAAGTCTGTTAAAATACCACATTTCCGATCATGCTCAGAAATGCTAGAGGAATGGACTCCATAGGATGAGGAGGAAGGCGATGATGGTAATCAGATGCAGATGGAAAGCAGATAATCTGGATTCAGAAACTGTGTGTAGATGGGGTCTGAGGTTGAGAGGGTATAACTTCCTAAGGTCACCCAACTAATTTCCATGGCTGAGTGCAGAGTTTAAATACTGTCCAACAAAATCCTAGTCCAACACTCAAACTACTATAACACACTAGTTTATATTCGTTCAATAAATTTGCAATACATTTCTTAGCACTAAAAAGTATAAATTGGGCATTAAAAGTATCTCATAAAATGCAACATGCACAAAATACATTTTTCTTTTAGAAAATAATTTAAATGTTAATTTTATGTTTTTTAAAGGAATGTCAGATTCATATAGAAACTAGATGAAACAGAGTGAATGATCATACACAAACTGCCATGGGCCAGAAATAGATATTCCAATGTCATGATTACTTTGTCAGTTGAAGGGAAATAAAGAGAAGGTGTCATCCCAAATCCAGGATCTCAGTCAATATTGCAAATGGCCATGCTGGCTGGGGGATTCTGGGAGTTGCAGTCCAAAAGGGACTTTCTCCAAGCTAAGTAAACTACCTTCATATGGTAGTATAGCAGTTAGGAAAGAAGCTTCAAGATTATCAGATAGCTTTCAAGTAATGTATTTTAATGATATGGAAATTTAATTTGTATTTTAATTTAAATATCAAGAAGGCATTTACCAACAGATATATAGCAAAAGGGAATGGCAAGAAAGGACAGCAGGGAGGAGGCCACTCTGGCTTTCCTGGGCAGGGAGTTCCAGAGTTGAGGGGCAGCCACTGAGAAGGCCTGCTCTCTCGTTCCCACCAACTGGACTTGAGATGGAGGTGGGACCGAGAGAAGGGCCTCTCCTGAATATCTCAGGGTCCAAGCAGGTTCATACAAGGGGATGCGGTCAGCCATGTATGTTGGCATTGAATTTTTGCCATTGGTATGTTGTAAACCACCTTGAGCCCCCTCCCCCTCCCAGGGGTGAGAAAGGCAGTATGTAAATATAGTAAATAAATAAATAAATAAATCACCTGGACCTGAACCACTACAGCTTTAAAGGTCATAACCAGCACTTGGAATCATGCCTGGAAACAGACTGGCAGCCAGTGGAGCTGCTGCATCAGGGAGTTGTCTGCTCCCTGTAGCCAGCCCCAGTTGGTCGGCTTGGGTATGGGTTCAAAGTGAGAAGGCTATGAGAGTAAAGTCCACTAGTCAAACACAACTCAGATCATACTTGCAATCCAGTGTTACACTTTCACACCAAGTTCATAGGTGGTCAGTGGCCACTAGGATGAAGTTGCTTTTGCGTACCACAAAAATGAGATTTCATTCAATTCCGTCTCTTAAAGTGTGACTAGGCTTAAAATATTCAGTGAGGGATGAAACATCTGTGCTTACCTTGGTCACACCGTGGCCCATATTTATTGGGGTCTGAACAGAACTGGCAAAGCGAACCTTCAAATCCAACATTGCAAATGCAAGTTCCATTTCCTTTCAGTTTATCCATACACTGCAAAGTGAAGCAGACAGTTGTGAGACATGTGCAGATATATTCACATGCAACATACAGTATTGGAAACATTTTCTTAATTTGAGAAACATTGTGAGATATAAGAAACCCAGAAACAACCGGTAATGAATCATATTCACTTTCCCCTGGATTCTTTGGTATTAAAAAAAACCAAAAACACTTCTATTCTGCACTTTATCTCAAGCAGTGTAAAACAAAAGCAATTTAAAGCATTTTGAGATTAAATATTCTGAACAATATAGACATATATTAAACATAGAATCATAGTTGGATGAGACCTCATGGGCCATCCAGTCCAACCCCCTGCCAAGAAGCTGGAAAATTGCATTCAAAGCATCTCTGACAGATGGCTATCCAGCCTCTGTTTAAAAGCTTCCAAAGAAGGAGCCTCCACCACACTCTAGGGCAGAGAGTTCCACTGCTGAACGGCTCTCACAGTCAGGAAGTTCTTCCTCGTATTCAGATGGAATCTCCTTTCTTGTAATTTGAAGCCATTGTTCTGCGTCCTAGTCTCCAGGGCAGCAGAAAACAAGCTTACTCCTCCCTCCCTATGACTTCTTCTCACGTATGTATACATGGCTATCATGTCTCCTCTCAGCCTTCTCCAAGCTAAACATGCCCAGCACTTAAACCGCTCTTCATAGGGCTTGTTCTCCAGAATGTTGGTCATTTTAGTCACCCTCCTCTGGACACATTCCAGCTTGTCAATATCTCTCTTGAATTGTGGTGCCCAGAATTGGACACAATATTCCAGTTGTGGTCTAACCAAGGCAGAATAGAGGGGTAGCATGACTTCCCTGGATCTAGACACTATAGTCTTATTGATGCAGGCCAAAATCCCATTGGTTTTTTTTTTTGCTGCCGCATCACATTGATGGCTCATGTTTAACTTGTTGTCCACAAGGACCCCAATATCTTTTTCACACATACTGCTCTCAAGCCATGTGTCCCCCATACCAACAAAAACAGTTTTAAACTACAACAGTCTAAAACTATGTGCAAGTTGTCTTGAAATAAGTTATCTCCCAAATGTTTTAATAAAAAAACAGGTTTTGGGTGCCAATAAGAAATCAACATTGATGCCAGTCAATCTTCCAAGGAGATGGCATCCCACAATTGTGGTGCCAAAGTTGAGAAGGCCATTTCCTATATTATTCCACTTCATATCGCCTTCACTCTTGGAGACATCTAGTATTAACCAGGCTGATCCTACTTAGCCACCAAGGTCAAATGGAAACCTTTAGGATATTTAGCCCACTACTCCAGTTTTCAATACAAAATTACAGTACTTTGCAATTTGAACAATGGTTAGAATTTGGAAATAAAGGCTAGAATTTGGAAAAAAATACTTAATGGACTTTAGCTCCCAGAATCCTCCAGCCAAGTGGAAGTAGTGGTCCACAAAAGCAACTTTTCAGAAGTTCTGGTCTGGGCCCTTTTGTCTTCTAGGATTCCTATAGGTCTCCCTGGTTATAATGGAAAGTTGACTTTCGTGCAAGACACAGATGACAAATGATCTCACAGTTTTAAGGAGCTGTGGAAATGTTTATTAAGTCATTCTACATTCATTCAATGTATTGTGTCTCAAAACAATGAATCAAACAGGTATGCTGAACACATCAAAATCATGTGCCATCTTATCAAAAGAGTCCTACAAAAGAAGTGGAATCCAGCTTATTCTAAATATACCAACTACATTTACCTGACCATTTCCTGAACATGGATTCGAAAAGCCACCAGGACATTGCTTACAATCTGGGCCAAAGAAACCTTTGCAACAGTTAGGCTCCTGTGAAATAAGCAAACATTTCTTCATAACTCTGCAAAATGAACCATAAACAAATTTACAGCAGTGTGTTTATGCACAATTTGTGTAATTTTCAACTGCATATTTTCTGTGGCAGAAGATGTTTGTTTTAAGTAGCTAGTACTCTTAACAGTGAAGAATAAAGAATGATAGAATTACAATGGTGAAGACAGTATCCATTTTATAGGAAACCTCAACAGAAAGCTTTGTTGCATTTCTTACATTTTTTGTTATATTGCAGTACTTAGCACATCCATATTGTAGATGGGTTTGGTCAAGATAAGTGCACCTGGTCCCCGTGGAAGCCTGAAGCGTGTAAGAACAACAACATCACCATCATTTAAATCAACCGTCAGAGTTAATAAGTGCTATAAATGAGAAAACCCATTTCCCAACATAAACAAATGTCATTCATACAGTTGTTAGGTAAATGGGATGCATGCAGAATGAAATATCTTGCTCCTCAATAACTATGATGATTTATTTACTTACAATAGGTTTCGAGTCTTTTGGACAGCTGTTCTTGTGGGCTACTTGGCATTTTAAACAGGCACCCTGAAATGAACAATGCAATGATAGCTTAAGAAGGTACAATTTTGCCTTGTGAACATAACGTTATAGGTGTTAAGGAAAACTACTCTAAAATTAGCAGAGCATCTAAAAATCAAGCAGGATACAAAAGTTGAGCATCGGCTCACAGCAAGCAAAGCGGGAAGTGCCATGCGATGTGGCTGTGAAGAATTCAGAGCTTAGGAGGCAAACATGCAGAGTCCAGTCTTAAAAATCACAAAAGGCTTATTTACAATAAGAAATAACTGCATTTCTTAATAATCAAGAACTGGGTCTGAGCTACTCTAACACCCATCTCTTCTAAGGTTTCAAGAGAGGGAAAAAAACTCAACCACTACATCTCTCCTGACACACAAGTAGAGAGAGAACACAAAGCACACAGCACATACTCTCCATACTCTAATGTAAGAAGGCAGAAACCAGATTGAAAAAGCTTGCAGTAGAAAAGTATCAATTCTAAATAACCAATCAGAATGAGAGTAGAAACAGAGAAGAGAGAAGAAACATTTCCAAACTGTAATACAAAAACATGGGGGAAGGGAATTCCCTCATGCTATACTAAATTAACTAACTGCTCCTCATTGAGGACTTGAAACTTGGGCAGTGTGGAATTGAATTCCATCAATAGACACATTTACAACTGTGATTTTGATTTGCAGTATTCCTTATAGGTTCTATGGCAGGAACAAGAGACAGGGCCTTCTTGGGGGTGGCCCCTTGGCTGTGGAATGCCCTCCCTAGGGATATCAGATCAGCTGCCTCTCTTTTAACATTCCGGAAAAAGTCAAGATGTGGCTTTTTGAGCAAGCATTTGCAAATGCAGAGTAACTGACATAGGAAAATGGAACGGCTAGACAATGAGACCGGATAACGTTTTTAACAAGGAGACATTATAGATTGATGTTTTATTGATTTTGTTATAGTTTTTATTATATGTTATGTTTTTAATTGTATGTATACTATTGTAGACATTGAATTTTGCCCTGTAAACCACCTTGAGTTGCCTGCGGGCTGAAAAAGGTGGTACATAAATACAGCAAATGAATGAATGAATGAATGAATGAATAAATAAATAAATAAATAAATAAATACGTGCCTTCAATAATCATGGAGGATTTCTATCTTTGTAGAAATATTGGATCTGCATGCATAAAGGAACAGTTCAATAGAACAAGACTCTATATGTCATGGACTAAGGGACATGCAGGAACAGTCTGTACATACCCTGGGGATATTCAGAGGGTATTTACCGGATATTGCATTTATCATTATGGTTCTAAAGGTCCTTACCATCACAATCTCGGTTTTCTCTTCATCACACCTCTGTGGCAGAATTGGGATTATAGATGGAGGTATAAGAACACTGCGAAGTGTGTATATTTTCCCATTTTTTGCTGTGATATCTGTTTCTTCTATTGGTACACCATTCACCAGGATTTGTCCCTGAAAGACAACAGAGAGAAAAAGAGGATGAGGATTTTTAAAAAGTTACCTATTCTTTCAATTGTACCATTTTAGGCAGGAACTCGTTCCTACTTTTGTATTTATTTCCAGTGTCATTCTTCATTTCCATTTTTTTATAACATCTCACTTTTAAAACAACAATAACAACAACACAGAATGTATCGGATATACAAACAGTTCCATAAATAAGAGAGACCAGATGGAAGATGGCAATATAAGCATAATAACATAGTATCTCCAGTCCAGTACATTAGTGTCCCGGAAATATGAATTTGTTTTCTTGGACATACACTATCGGTGATGTTAAAATAGATGAATTGTTGAGCCATAGTTTCAATGTGCCTTATGGAGATAAGACTGGCAACCTCCAGCTGTAAGAAAAAATGAATTATTATTAAAATATGCATTCTTAAATATTATTTAATCTAAGAATAAAATACTACAAGAATTGCACGTGTTTCTTACTCCTCTATTATGAAGGCAAAACAAACCCAAACCAACAGCAATAACAAAATGCTCCATTGAAACATCTAGGAATTTATTTATTGAAGCCACTTTTAAGGATAAACCCACACAAAGTAGAGTGCAACTAAATTTAAATAATGAACATCAGTAAGAATAGTGATGATAGCTTGTAGGTCCCTTGTTAGTGGACAATTATGCCTTTATAGGTTTTAGATAGCTTTAAGGCATTATCCAAGTTGCTCAACCTCTTCTGCAGCTATGGCTGAGCAACTTGGATAACTTCTAAAATGTTTGGATTAAAATCTAGCGTGGATTGACTGGCAAAATGTATTTTAAAAAATCCTTTCCTGTAATGATCACAAGTTAATTACTGGCTTTGAAACTGTGAAGAGGGAACTTGCAACTTATTTACAAAGTGAATTGGCAGAGGTTTCCAGAAGAGGCAATTCACTTTTTTTCTTTTGCCTAGAAAACTATCAGTGAATCTGTAGAGATGCAAAAACAGTTTTGGAGGTTACATGCATTCGTGGCCAAGTACAAGTCCCAGTTGTACTAGTTATGTTTCTGATAACCTTAGAAACATAGTGCATTATAACTGGGAGAGATACTAATGGTCCTTGAGATGTTATTGGACTAAAAGGCCAATGAGAGACAGTTTAGGCAATAATGCAGAAAAATTGGGAAAGCTGCTGAAAATGTCCACAATACCTATCTTAGCATAATAATATCAATCTAGCCTTGATGTAACTAGAACATGCATACGTTCCAGTTTAGTTTTCTTTCCCACCTGCTTAGCTTTCCTATTTAGTACCAGAGTCCAAGAGAACTTTTCAGAAATTAATCCTTTTCAGGATTAGCTAAAAGCTCTATCCAAACTACCATTAGCATGAATATATCCAATGCCTGGAATCTATGGATATGGAGCCCCTGGTGCTGCAGTGGGTTAAACCCTTGTGCCAGCAGTACTGTTGACTGACAGGTCAGTGGTTCGAATCTGGGGAGAGTGAGTTGAGCTCCCTCTGTCAGCTCCAGCTCCCCATGCAGGGACATAAAAGAAGCCTCCCACAAGGATGGTGAAACATCAAACATCCAGATGTCCCCTGGCCAACATCCTTGCACATGGCCAATTCTCTCACACCAGAAGCAACTTGCAGTTTCTCAAGTTGCTCCTGACACATACACACACACAATCTAATATCTGGAATCTATGTAATTTTAATATAATTTACATATGTCCAAGAACATATGCATGCTCAGTGCAATTTTTAAATCTCCACATATTCCCTTTCCTTCCAGTGTTAGGTACATATGCCACATATTGAACTGTTGACACCATTATTTACCTATAATACTTGCTTGCAATACAAAACACTATGATAGCATTCATCTGAAGAAAGCCAAACATTTCAGGATTAAGGGAAACTAATCTTGAATGTGTCAATGTCTTCTTGTTTTAGGAAACAGGTTCTATCAATATATTCTGTGATTATAACAGCATACTAAATATTGCACAGATGTCAATTGCACTAACCTGGGTGTGAGAAACAATGTGATATTGAACTAGCTCACGAAGCTTTCGGGAACCCTGTATAAATAAAGAAGGCACATCTTTTATCTGCACAGGAATAATATTAAATGTCTTATTACGAGTTACACACACAGAAATGCCATTTCAATGAAGTTAGGAAAACGTGTGTTACAACACCGTTACAGATCTACTTGTAATGGTGTCAGTTGCTATAATGATGGTTGTTATTATCATCATCCCCATTTAGCTATCTTGGAGAAGTTACTTCTGGGATTACAACTTTGGCTATAATATTGTGATGCTCTGGGTATAGCCCTCTACTCAATAAGCCTGCTACTTCTTTCTACATAGAAGAGTATACAGACATTCTCATACTAAAAGGGCCAGCTGTGTTATTTTAACACAGCTTAGCGAGGGAGTATTAGGTGGAACATCTTTTGTTAAAACAACACACTGCAGGTGGTGGGATCAACTGGGAGATCACTAAACAAGGTCAGGGAGGAAAATTTCTTGCCTGCACAGTAATATTTTGGAATAAACCGATTCTGACAAATTAGCAATGAAAATTTCAGATGTGGACAGCAGTGGTGTAATGGGTTACTCTGAATGGCTGCTCATGCATTTTCTCCATCCTAAGTTGATAGTGTTGCATATTATTTCACATTATTGAAAGATTTATACCTTACTTGACAAGAGGTAATCCAGAGCGTTATCCCTCAAATTCTCCAAAGCATCATTGGCAGGTATGAAAATTGTATTAGGCCCAGGATATTTATCTAACATTGGTCCCACCAGAGAGTTCTAAAATAAACAAAAAGGGAAAACACAGTTGCGTAAGTGTATCTTTTAAAAACTTTACTTGTATATTTGATTTTATGTTTAACCCTTACCTCCACTATGGATCTAAATCTGCTGTATCTTGGTGAATCTTGAAGCACTGCCATTATTGATCTCTTAAGAGAAAACAAACAGTTTTGTTACTGTGAGCATTAAAAGCAGTGGTAATAACTGAGGATTTGCATGTATTTGCATTGACAACTTTGTACCCATGGAGGCTCAATGTGGGTAAACATTTCTGGCACAGGGATACAGCACATGCTTTGCATATAAGAAATCTTATGTTTAATCCTGTGTTCTCCAAGTAGGTGAGTTATTATTGACAACAAAGAACTAAAATGGAATAAATGCCTTGATGCAATGCAGCATCCTAATTCTTCAGCCTGCCTCTTGATTGATATTCACACTACACGGTGCTCTATAAATACTAATATTATCCCCTTAATGCAGTATGCATCTGTTGCAATGAACATTTGAACTAATTCAAAACTGGAAGTTTAAGCTCTGCAAGTCCTCACCTCTGGGTCACTTGCAATACTGGGTTCCACATTGTCCAAAGCTTTGTCGATAATGTGGACAATTCCATTAGAGGCAACAATATCTCCTTGTAAGATCTTCCCTTTCTTCTTGCCTCCATGTATTCTAATTTTTAACATATTGTCCTAAAAGGACCCAGAAAAGGAATATGCAAAAGTTACACAATTATGCGTGTAAGTTTGTTTTTTAAACAAAAATGTTATGTAAAGTGAAGATACTCAACACCCAGACCTCATTTGCCATAAAAAAGCCATCTGAAATGCAATCACACACTGAAATGCAGTCTCTAGTCCATTCATTGCTAATACTCTTCCCGGGCAAAAACTGTTTGAAGAAATGTTGCCAAGAAAACCCCATGATAGGATCACATTGGAATGACTGTAAGTCAGAAATGACTGAAAGTATACAGCATAAAATGATATCTACAAAGCAGCTGATGACATATCCACTAGGGTTGTGCATGGATCCGTTTTTCAAAATAGGTTCTGTCTGTTTCGGCCAGCCTTAATGGCATAGACTTGGCTGCCATTTTTTCTGGCAGCAACAGAAGGTTTGGCTGCCAAAAATGACTGCTTTCTGTTTCTTTCGGCTACATATGGAGCACGGAGAGGCAACCATGCACCCGCATGGGGCTACCCTATGAGTCCTGCCTGCTGGGTTTCCACCAAAACCTGGATATTGAAAGCAGAATGGGGTTTAACTGAATTGCACACCCCTAAGAGCCACACTACAACAAATAGCTTAAGTACACATTTAACGACAATAGCAATACACAAATAAAATAATCCCTAGAACTTAATAGAAAGCAAATATTAACATCTTCCCATGATAATAATGTTGTACCAAAAATATACCATACCTTTTCATTGTTTAATATGTCTGCTGGCTTGCCAGTTAGTGTATAAAGCATACTTGCATTATTCATATTCTTCAACTCTATCTGTCCAGCAAAAATATGGAGTTTCAAAAAATACTGGGCACCTTCCTTGTTTGAAAGAAGATCCTTAATCTGAAATGTCAGAAGCATAAGTATGCAGACTAACAAGTTTAATTAGGCTTCAAATATTGACATTTTTCAAGTTAATATGAAATCCACTATTGAAAAGTAAAGTATGTATGTGGCAGATTGCTATGGACAGGTTGTAATTTTCAAGGGATAGGAAGAGGGTACTAGTATCTGAGCAGTTGTACCTTCAGAAGTTGGAAGACATCATGGTGTGTGCCTTCTCACTACCACTGAAGCTACCTGTTCTGTTTTCACTTCTTTTTCATTACTATCACATTTTAATAGTTTTAAAAGTGTCATGCTCCAAGTATTGTTTAGTTTAATGGGAATTATAAGGCTTTATAAGAGCCATTATGTTGCAGTGGCTTGGGTCTCGGGTCTAATCCCTGCTCAGCTATGGAGATTCAATATGTGACCTTAAGCCTCAGAGGAAAGCAATGGCAAGCCTTCTCTGAGAAAAAAATATTGCCATGAAAACTCAGTGATAAGATCACCTTTGGGTACTCATAAGTCAGAAATGATAGCAACAATATGATTTTATGTAGTTTTCTAACAAATATATTCTTAGAGTTGTAAACTGTTGCAAACTGATTTTATTTTGTGCATTTCTGAGATCCTCCAACAGACAGTGGAATATACATTCTAAAATAAAATAAAATAAATGCCACACTCCTGAGAACTGGTGAGCTAGTAGAACATGGTATCTATTTCTCTTTTACACTATCAACACCATCACTTTTACACTATCTGGATCAAAGCAAGAGATTGGTGACATTCAGGTTGCTCTCATTGCTACCTGAATGTCACCAATGTCACTTGTCAAAATGAAGTATTTATCATTACAGTACAGTTTCCTAATCAATGAATATGATATCTCACTTGCCCATACTCTAAAAATATCCTTCCCCCACACTACTGCAAGTGTTTGTGGGCCTTTTTAGATCCTGAATGTGCATTTATGGTATGTTTCTGGCCCAAGTACAGTCAAAATTAAGGGCTCACTATTAACCATGGTTTCAGGTATTCACAAGGAGCTACAGTATATACTTTCCCACGACTACACTTCCAAGGATAGTCCAATAATGTAGGCAAATTTATTTACTTCAGTCAACAAATATGTTTGAAAAATTCCTTATCTGCATGGGAAATGCATATTTTGTAAGCGAATGTGTTTTAAATTACACTGGAGACCGAACCACCCAATATCCCCATAATCAACCTAGTCAAGTTTGAATGTATGTTAGTTCACTATTATGGGAGTCTTAGGATAGTGATTATTGTCTATTTGTGCACGTTTCTGTTTTTTGTTTTTAATGTTGATATGGTCAATGGACTAATCAATAAACTTTGCTTGCTTGCCCATAATAAGAGGGGTAGCTCAGAATAACATCTACCCAATATAATAATAAAAGGGGTGGAGGGTGGCTAATTGTGCTATTGTCCCAGCTAACAAGAAAGCCCCAGATCTCTGATGTTGTGAGCTCTGGCCTCATTACACTGCAGGTAACTATGGAGAAGACAGGCACAGATCCAAGGGATCATGCCATTAAGCTCCCTGTTCATGTGTGGTGTCATCGCAGGTGCCCAGCTGGCTCACACTGAGTCAATTAAAGTCCTACAAAACTGATGGCAAACAGAGAATTGTCTTTTATTTTTGGATAGATGCATAAAGCTCTAAATACTACGTTGTGTCAATTTTGTATTGGGCTTGAGCATTGGACAATAATCTGGAGACCAGGGCTCAAAACCCTGCTTGATAATGAAAAGTCACATCATGCTCTCTCAGCTTCAGGGAAGGCAAAGGCAAACCCTTCTCAAAATATCTCTCCCCCCCCCCCCCATGTTAGATTCACTTTAGGTATGCCATATGCCAGAAATGACTTCAAGGCACACGGTTTTCTAACAAAACCATCAAAAAGGGAAGAAATACAATAGTCAAAAGAAAGGATGAAGGCTAACTTTTCCCCAGGAGAAATGTCTATTTAGAATTGCATTGCTTTTGTATTTTGTAAAAGAGTGTTGGTTCAAGTGGAGTGAATTTTATTGGCTTTTATACTGAATGAAACACAACATTCCAAAGTAAGAAATGCACTTTGGAGAACTATTTTCTCTTCTGTTTGAGGAATAACATCTCTTAAGTTTTTGGGGTTGTTCTTTTTAACAAAAAGGGTATGTGCTTTATAATGTCACATCATTTCTGAACATTGCACTTACATTAATTCCTTGGAATCCCTTATTTGTTGGAACAAGAACCGTGAAGGGTCCCAAACTAGTCAGTGGCCATTCATATGCACTTTCTTGGAAGAAAACAAAGAAAAAAAAGAAAGAAAGGTGCAAAAGATAAATAGGAATATTGCGGAAGGGTGTATAAAATAGTGTATAAAATAAAATGTATTAACAAGTGCATTAAAAATGATATATGGTAACCTGAATGGTTGCTGAAATAATAATAATAATCCCAGGCGACAGCAGGATTGAAGAGAAACAACTGGAAAAGCTGACACGATATGAGGATTTAAAGATCGAACTGCAAAGACTCTGGTGCAAGCCAGTAAAGGTAGTCCCAATGGTGATCGACACACTGGGTGCAGTTCCTAAAGACCTTAGCCTGCACTTAAACACAATTGATGCTGACAAAATCACCATCTGTCAGGTGCAAAAGGCCACCCTACTGGGATCTGCATGCATTATTTGTCGATATCTGGAAGGCCACATTTTGCCAGCCTTTCTTTTAAATAGGAAAAATCAGCATCACTTTTATTCTTTGAAAACTGCTCATTCATTAGCAAAATAGGTTTTTAAAATAACCAAATCTATGGGTAATGAGAATTTTTATCAGGGGTTTATGGCATCCTTAGGCTTTCTTTGAAAGGTCAATACTGCCAGTTTATTGGCACTTTGTAATACTTTTGCTTATGAACAAAGATATAAGAACTAAAGGCACTTCACAGTCCAACACTCCAATGGTGTAAATTCACTGCACCAATCTTTGATGTATCTTTGTAGCATGCCTTTACTTAGGTCTTTTCTCAAGTCTAGACTATTCAGTGGCAACTGATGTCTAGTATATCAGTGGGATAGTGATTGCTCTAGCTCAGCACATCTCAGCCTGGGGGTTGGGACCCCTGGGGGGGGGGTCACGAGGAGGTGTTAGAGAGGTCACCAAAAGACCATCAGAAAACACAGTATTTTCTGTTGGTCATGGGGGTTCTGTGTGGGAAGTTTGGCCCAATTCTACTGTTAGTGGGGTTCAGGACGCTCTTTGTTTGTAGGTGAACTATACATCCCAGCAACTACAATTCCCAAATGTCAAGGTCTATTTTCCCCAACTCCACCAGTGTTCTCATTTGGACATATTGAGTATTCGTGCCAAGTTTGGTCCAGATTCATCATTGTTTGACTCCATGGTGCTCTCTAGATGTAGGTGAACTACAACATCAAAACTCAAGGATTCAGCCCACCAAACCCTTCCAGTATTTTCTGTTGGTCATGGGAGTTCTGTGTGTCTGGTGGAGTTCAGAATGCTTTTTGCTTGTAAGTGAACTATAAATTGTAGCAACTACAACTCCCAAATGACAAAATCAATCCCCTCTCCAACCCCACCAGTATTCAAATTTGGCCATATCAGGTATTTGTGTCAAATTGTGTCCAGTGAATGAAAATACATCCTGCATATCAGATATTTACATTACAATTCATAACAGTAGCAAAATTAAAGTTATGAAATAGCAATGAAAATAATGTTATGGTTGTGGATCAGCACAGCATGAGGAACTGTATTAAGGGGTCGCGATATTAGAAAAGTCAAGAACCATTGTTGTAGACCAGTGTTTGGGAAACACTGATATAAGTGGCTGTTTTAGTTTGAAACATAAAAGAACTAACCAAAGTGCTGAATCAAGTTTGGGGACAGGATTTAGTACACTGGACAATTCTTTTAAGGTTTATAATAAAATGCAGTGGTCAAATTTAAGGTCCCACCAACAGCCACCACTGCTGTAATGTACTGTATTCCACATTATACTGCCATTGAAGGCTGTGTGAAAGCCTCAGCTGATGAAAAATACTTATTTTGGCTATGAAGAAAGTCTGGATGTAGAACTAATATTATAACAATTAAGATTCATCTAGAATGAGATTGTAGGAGCCAAGTATTTCTAAACTGCTACGTTTCAGTCAGTTGCAATATATTTCACAAGCAGGTACTCATTTAGCCATTTTGTGTGAGCATATTATCTACATACCAAAGAGTTCTATAGCAGAGATTAGTTTTCCTTGCCACTGTCCTCCAGGTTTGGCATTCATTTCTCTAATTTGATCCATGATATTTCCATAGCATATAAAACCGTCACCCACATAGCCCTTTTGGCAGGTACATCTATGGAGAAATACACATGTATTTTTGTGTTTAGTGTTTAGCTGAATAAGATACAAATGTATATAATAATAATAATAATAATAATAATAATAATAATAATTTTAATGTCAGTCAAATATGTCAAACAATCAGGGCCAGTTAACACATCCCAACAAAGGATCCCCAAGCAGCAACCAGCCAGGCTTTGAAGCTGCAAAGCCATTAAATGCTAATCAAGGTGGTCAATTGCAACATTCACACTTGCCTCAAGCAGACAAATGTTCTTTCTCCCACCCTGGACATTCCACACACACACACGCAGATCTGGTTGTCATGGCTAAACAACAGAGTTCACTTTCTTCAACATTTTCCAGGCTACAGTCCAAGCACCAGGAATGACACAATAACATATATTAAGAAAACATTTGGCAGGTACAACTCTTCTTGTCACTTAAGCACTCTTATTTGGTCCAGTTTATTTCAGTCATAGACCAGTAGATTAAAAAAAAACATACAGAATGAAGAAACACTGCAGAAATTCATTGAAAGTGGAACCCGGCAATGTCAAATAGCAGAAATTACTGCAACAAAATGTAAAGCAGTATCAACAAGCAGTGGGTCAGTTTAGATGCAATGTTCCCAGTTTCATTAATTTCACTTTTCTATTCAATGTATAAAGAATATACTCACTGCTTTGGGCTCCATGCTTGGAGAAAGAAACCAAGTAAACAGTACTTATATTTTCATGAAAGCTCAACTTTTGGGACATTTCTACATAGGCATTGAATAATTGCCTATATGTAAGCTGCCTTTGGGGTAGAGAAAGGCAGGATATCAATAGGTAAATAAATAAATAACACTATAAACAATGTAATGAATGAAGAGCACATACAGTACCTCCCACACATATTCAAAGAGATAAATGACTTACAGAGTTTGTCCTGGTGCAGCCATTGTGCATTCAGCATATTTATGGCAAGGGTTGTTAGTTGCACAGATGTCCGTCATACTACATCCTAGTCCAGGTGAAAAATTTCCAAAATGTTCTTTGCATTCACAGTGAGACTTACATAGGGAAGAAAAGGAAGGAGAAAAATTTATTTATTTATTTATTTATTTATTTATTTATTATTATTAATATGGATCATCGATGTTGCAATCCCAGGTGACAGCAGGATTGCAGAGAAACAACAGGAAAAGCTGACATGATATGAGGATTTAAAGATTGAACTACAAAGACTGTGGCACAAGCCAGTAAAGGTGGTCCCAGTAGTACCTAAAGTACCTAAAGACCTTGGCCTGCACTTAAACACAATCAGCGCTGACAAGATTACCATCTGCCAGCTGCAGAAGGCCACCTTACTGGGATCTGCACGCATTATTCGCCAATACATCACACAGTCCTAGACACTTCGAAAGTGTCCGACGTGTTATCCAATTCAACAGCCAGCAGAGTGTCTGCTGTGGACTCATCTTGTGTTTCAAATAATAATAATAACAACAACAACAACAACAACAACAACAACTTTATTCTTATATCCCTCCACCATCTCCACAAAGGGACTCGGGGAGGCTCACATATAGAACAAAATGCCCACAAGACATAAATACTAGGGTTGGATAGGTTAGCGTAATTCTGAAGAAAATCGGAAGTTTTAGCCTTCCGAAGGGACTTCTGCCACGTTTCTGTGAGTCCGAAGTCTCCTATATTTTTGACTTGCCTTGTGCCATTGTGTCTGGCAGCCATTGCTGTGTATAAACTCAAGCACATGGAAGTGACTTTAGAATTGAACCAAAAGTGCCCCCTATATCCGAAACAAGTTTTGAACCATTCTTTTGTATCAACCAAGCCTAATAAACACAAAACAATCAATTAAAACAAAAACACAATTAAAATAAAAGCACAGTAAAATATAGCAATCCAGATAAAAACACAATCAAATAAAAAATAAGAATAAGATTAAAAAGAGAAAAGGTGCTAGCGTTGGAAGGTTTTTACCTGAGGACCGGCTGGCACTCATACCTATGGTATGGTAAAGCCAAAATAGAAAAGAACTTCAGAAATCACTCCTAAGAATATGGGAAAAGTATGACAAGTTCTACCCAGACCCCACTTTGGATTTTGCTGCTCAAAGCAGGTCAAAGGAGATTACTCGGTTGGATAAATTGGCCCATATATAGAGAAATTATTACGAAAAAAGAAGGGAGTTTTATCCTAAAATCTCAAGAAGAAATCACTTGATAATATAAAACAGTCTCCTGGTTTCAACATGCACAATTAAAAGAATATTTCAAGAAAAACAAAGATTCAGGATTTTGTGAAAAAGATAATTTTTGGGAGCAAGTAATACAGAAAGACAGGAAAAATATTACAAATATATACACCAAACAATTAGATTGGGCCATGGAAACAGAAACAATTAAGGAGTGCATGATTAAATGGACCTCCAATATAGGTAGACCCATAAAATATGAGGAATGGGAGCTGATATGGAATAAGAAAATGAAATACACGTATGCAATGGAACTTAAGGAAAATTGTTATAAGGTGTTCTATCAGTGGTATATGATGCCGCAGAAACTGGGACTAATGTATAAGAAAATGTCAAACAAATGTTGGAAGTGCGAGACCCAAATAGGAACATTTTATTATTCATGGTGGACTTGCCCCAAAGTCAACAGCTATTGGAAAAGGATTCAAGAAATAATTCAAAAAATCCTCAACACCAAAATACAGATGAAGCCGGAATATTTTTTATTAGGAATTACGGATGAAGATATAAAACTAGACACAAACCAAGACATTCTTTGCATACCTGACGACAGCGGCCAGAATAGTTTATGCCAGAAAATGGAAATCAAACAAAATGAGTATTATAGAAGAGTGGCTAAATAAAGTTTGGGAAATAAAGGATATGGATAAATTTTCTTTCTACTTGAAAGATTACATCGGAAAACCAATAAGGAGAACGGATTGGAAACAGTTTGAAGAGTTCATGAAGAATATGGGAAAATCTGGCTAACTACTATAATAAGAAACAAAATAAAGACTTTGATAAATCATATTCAAAAATGGAAACCGTCATTGTCAACAGATGCAGACGATGACGCAAAGAAGAAGATTGGGAAGCCCACAATCCCCCCCTCCACTTTCCATTTCCTTTCCTCCCCTTCCAACCTCTCCCTCATAGCTCTTCCATTTTTCTTTCTTTCTTTCTTTGCCTTGGTTATGCTTATTTTCTCACTCTCTTCTCTGTCCCCTCCTAAATTTCTCCCCCCCCCCACACTGTTCTCTCTCTATCCCACCTCCCCAATTTTACCCTCATACCCTTCCTTCTTGGGAGAAAAGCAATGACCAATCTTGATAAAATAGTGAAGAGTAGAGACATCACACTGGCAACAAAGATCCGCATAGTTAACGCAATGGTATTCCCCGTAGTCACCTAAGGATGTGAGAGCTGGACCATATGGAAGGCTGAGCGAAGGAAGAGAGATGCTTTTGAACTGTGGTGTTGGAGGAAAGTGCTGAGAGTGCCTTGGACTGCAAGAAGGTCCAACCAGTCCATATTTCAAGAAATAAAGTCTGACTGTTCATTGGAGGGAAGAATAGTAGAGGCCAAGATGAAGTACTTTGGCCACATCATGAGATGAAAGGAAAGCTTAGAGAAGACAATGATGCTGGGGAAAATGGAAGGAAAAAGGAAGAGGGGCCAACCAAGGGCAAGATGGATGGATGGTATCCTTGAAGTGACTGTATTGACCTTTAAGGAGCTGGTGACGGCCGACAGGGAGCTCTGGCGTGGACTGGTCCATGAAGTCACAGAGAGTTGGAAATGACTGAACGAATGAACAACAACAACCCTTCCACAATATTTTATGGATTTTTTATTTTGAAAAATGTCAATAAAAATTCAATTTTTAAAAAATCAGAATGTAAATCAGTACAATGCTCAACAAAACAAATAACCAGTAATACAATGGACTTGGCCAGGCTATAAAAAGGGCTGGGCATGGGATAGTGCAAGCAGCATACCATAAGGCCGAGATATTGGATGAAGTGTAGAGAACAAAATATTATCAGGCAACCTAGGGACTGCTCTGACTCAAAAATGCCTTGAAACAGAAACCTAGTATATTATGGTGAGCTAGCATGATGTAGTGGTTTGATCACTGACCTACAATTCTGCAAATCAGGGTTAAAAAGCCTGCTCAGCCATTGAAACCTCCTGGGTGACTGTGAGCAGATCATACTCTTTCAGCTTCAAAAGAAGGCAAAGACAAACCCCCTCTGAACACATCTTGCTGTGACAAAACCATGAGATGTCCAACTTGGGGTCATCAAAAGTCAGAACAACTTGAAGGCCCATAGCAGCTGCAATAACTACAACAATAGTATATCAGGAAGCAATAAATATGTAAGATTCTTTCAATTATAAAGTACCAATGAAACATAACAATAGAAGCCCCCATTTACATTGCCATAATCTAGTTTTTGAATTCAGATTGTTTGATTTGAACTGGATTATATGGCAGTGTAGACTCATATAATCCAGTTCAAAGCAGAAACTCTGGATTCAGAAACTGGATTATATGGCAGTGTAGATCCAGCCAGAGCCTGCTATGTCATTGGAGGAGCAGTACTTTGATGTGTCTGTGTGCATGTCCTTCCAGTGTAGTCAACATTTGCTTCACATACCTTTCCAGGTCCATTGTATTTACAGACTGTAGATTCTGGAGGGCAATTTCCAAAGTTTGTTTGGCAAGGATCTATTGGCATACAAACTTGGCCATCTCCTTTGTAACCATATTGGCACACACATTTGTGACTATTGGGTCCCAGGTAGAAGCAATCAGCATGAGGATCACAAACGGGCTTTGAGCATGGATTGATGGCTGGGTGGGGATAAGAAGAGTAAATTACATAAGCATCAAAATGAATGAAACAAATAAACAATTCTTGTTTTTCTTTTTTTCACATGAAACAAAGGCATGCTACTTATTGGAAAAGTGATATCTTATCACATCAGAAATTAAATGGAACTATTAAGTGATAAAACTGTCTTTGTCTCTTCATTGAATTATACTGATAATTTATTTATTTACTGTACTTGTATACCGCTATTTCTCAGCCTAAATGGCGACTCAATGTGGTTTACAACAAAATACAACAATCAACAGTATACAATTTAAAACCATAAAACACAATACACATTATTAGCACATCGATAACCACATCGCTGCTATAAGTAGTTCCAAGAGATGTGATCAAAAATCAGTTCACAGCAGCCACTGCAAGAGGATTGTTCATGGAATCATAGAGTGGGAAGAGATCCCAAAAGCCATTCAGTCCAATCCCATTCTGTCATGCAATACACAATCAAAACACTCCCAAGAGATAGGCATCTTTTCAAAAGCTTCTGAAAAAAGAGACTCCACCACCCTTTGATGTAGCATATTCAACTGTCAGGAAGTTCCTCATGATATTCGAGTGGAATATCTTTTGCTGTAATTTTAATCCATTGCTCTGTGCTATAGTTTCTGGAGCAGCAAGAAACAGGCTTCAATTGTGACATGCATTCAAATGTCATGTGAATATTTAAACATAGTCATCATGTCACCTCTTAATCTTCTCTTCTTTATGCTAAATGTATGCAGTTCCCCAAGCCACTCCTCATAGGGCATTATTTTCAAGTATTTTATCATTTTGATCATTCTCCACACAACTTCTAGCTTGTCAATATCCTTCCTGAACTGTGGATTTTGATAAACTCTTCATAAACAATTTGAACACTAAATTATTGCCTATATGCATCAATAAATTCAGTAGGTACACCTATTTCCAGCATAAAGAGAACGGAGTTGTTCTGTCCTATAATACATGTGTTAAAGAGGTAGAAACCCAACAATACAAAGTCAGCATGGTCTAGTGCAGTGGTTCTCAACTGTGGGTCCCCAGGTGTTTTGGCCTACAACTTCCAGAAATCCCAACCAGTTTACCAGCTGTTAGGATTTCTGGGAGTTGAAAGCAAAAACATCTGGGCACCCACAGGTTGAGAACCTCTGGTCTAGTGGTTTCAGTACTGGACTAGGACTCTGGGAGGCCAGTGTTTGAATCTCCATTTGTCCATGGAAATCAACCAGTAAGCTATATTTTTTCAGCTTCAGAGGAAGGCAATAGCAAACTAAATTTTGGATTCCACATGCTGCTGCATTTCCAATTCCTATGTATAGCTGTGAAAGCTATACATAAGAATTTATGTGAAAGCTGGACATTGAAGAAAGCTGATAAAAAATCAACTCATTTGAAATCTCATGCTGGAGAAGAGTTTAATGGATATCAAGGACTGCAAAAAACAAAAACAAAAAACAAATAAATGGGCCATAAAACCAACCAAGCCTGAATTCTCAATCAAAGACACCCTGAATCTTCAGGATCTGAGCAGGGTTACTAATAATAGGGATCACAAGTCAAATATGACTTGAAAGCAGTTAACAGCAACAAACACCATTCCTATCACAAATATATCAATATTTGTGGATTTTGAAAATATTATAAAAATACTTTAAATACCCTGACTTGCCCATCCTTGTGTGCATGTAAACAATAACTCAAATGTACTGAAATTAAAATGACCTCCCCTTTATATATTTTATAAAGTGACTGGGTAGCCCTTGTAGTCTTTTCTAACTATGATTCTATGAGTTACATCCCACCCCATATCACAGGATCTTAAAATAAAATCCGTTTAATAGACAAAATAAACCAGTAAAACAATCAGATGGAAAATATAACCCACAATTTAACAACTTAAAGCAAGGCAATTAAAAGAAGAAAACAATGCAAACACATAATACATGTGCAGGTTTGTTTTTTGTCAGCCCCCCTTCCCTCAAAATGAAATTAAAACTGTCCAGTTACTTACGTTGACATTGTTTACCATTCCAGTCATAACTGGGAACACATCTGCACTCCAGTTGGCTTCCATTACCACTGGATATGGAGCACTGGGAGTTTTCTGGACACTGCAATTCTTGACATTCAGGAATGGCTAGGGTAAAGGTTATATGCAAACATGGATTACCACACTAACAACTGAAAGAAACAAATGAACAAACATTTCCCCAATTGTCAACCATAACAATGACAAATAAGGGAGTGTATCTGACCACATGCACAAATTCTAGACAACTGGGAGAGGGAAGAGGAGATCTTTGATACTGGCAAAGGGCATGACAATAGGAAGGAAGTCACACATCCTAAGACTTCTGTCAGAGGAATGTGTTAATCTCTGAAATGTCAGGTTAAAAAAAACCACAAGGAAGTGGAACAGAAGTCCGTGATATTTCTTTGCTTCTTGGCATTTTGACGAAGATCAACTGTAGATATTTCATGTAATGAGAATCCCTGAGTGATATTTCTTCTTTCCCAATAACATGCCTACATTTTGCTTATTACAGTTCCTCTCTCCCATAACATGCCTTCGTTGCACATGCTACCATTGCTGTTACATATATTCCCTCAGCCCACCTTAACAGCCAATAGCCAGATCAAGGCACAAATGAATGGCAGTCCCAATTCCTTCCCACCAGAGAGTGAGGCTGTGACAATCAGAAGCAGTACTCTGGTTCGGTTTGAGAAAGTTGAGTGTGGCAACCCTATCTTGACACAACCACTGTAAACGTAGCCTTTTGGATGCTTTGCAGTTCACTAACAATATATATGGAACTTCTTCCAAAGGTACCAAATCCATCTGAACAAATTTTATGTGCTGAGAATATGTATTCTTTTGCTATAAAATGCAATTTTCCAAGCCTTGTGCTGAAATGATTTATTTTGATAGTATTGATTTGTACATAATGCTCCTACCCAATAATGTGCTGCCACCTGCCACCTATAATTCATTTTTTATTTTTTTTTAAATGTGGTATCTTTTGGAAACAAACCCCATATATGAAGATTAGCTGTTAACCTGGGGAACTCCAGCCATTGTATATATCCAGAAACATAAATATTTTACTTACATTGATCACATCTAGGACCTTTGTATCCAGAAAAGCACGAACATTTCCCATCTCCAGTCATTCCACTGTTGCATATTCCATGAACACAGCTGCATACTAGGGTAAGAATTAAGTCTTAAAGTAATCAATTATACATGCCAGTTAATACCATTGCAGTATATGGCTGGGTTGCTGTGAGTGTTCCGGGCTATATGGCCATGTTCCAGAAGCATTCTCTCCTGATGTTTCACCTGCATTTGTGGCAGGCATCATCAGAGGTTGTGAGGTCTGTTGGAAACTAAACAAGTGGGTTATATATATCTGTGGAATGTCCAGGGTGGGAGAAAGAACTCTTGCCTGTTTTGTGGCAATTGTTGCAATGGTTGCAATTGGCCACCTTGATTAGCATTTAATGGCCTTGAAGCTACAAACCTGCCGCAAACAGACCAGAGTTCTTTCTCCCACATTCCACAGATATATAAACCCAATTTCCTAGTTTCCAACAGACCTCTGAGGATGCCTGTCATAGTTGCATGCAAAACATCGGGAGAGAATGCTTCTGGAACATAGCAATACAGCCTGGAAAACTCAGAAATCCAGTGATTCCAGCCATGAAAGCTTTTGACAGTATATGGCTGCTTCACCCCTACCCTGGCTATAGTTGCTTTCAGTATACAAGTTTGTTGAGAAAGCCCATCATAGAACAGAGAGAGTAGTTAAAGTTACAGCTGTTACTCTATTGTTAAAATTGTTGTGACAATGTACCCAAGTATTTCCTAGAACAATGAAAACAAAATGCAGTTAGGATTGCCAGGAAAAAAAAAACCATATCCTGAACATTTTATGCTTAGCTGTTTATTGCTTAACACCTCACACCTATTACCCATGGTGATGTGTTACACAATGCTGATATACTTTCTGCTAAAAATGATTAGTCAGATTTTAGAGACAGGTTGTATTTAAAGCTGAATAGATGCAACCAAATTGATTGTCTTTGCCCATTTGGCTGAAGTTTGCTTTGACCCTAATTAAAAAATGGAACATATTGTCCCCTGGCACAAAAGAGTTTCCATATGCTTATTTTCTGCTTAGAAATAGTTGACATAAAAATCAACTGTATTGCATAGGAAATATCTGTAGGAAATGTTTTCATTACTTTCTCAGCATGTCAAGCAGCACCTACTAACCTATATCCTGACTCCTGCAGTTTTACTCTATACTTAGATCATAAATTATCTACAGGAAACATACTTGTATCCAAGAATCAGAAAGAAGTCTGATACATAGTGGAGAGTGGTTGATTAAATGTTGCAGAATCTTCTGTATGGTTATACAGAGAAATAGCTCAACAGAACATTACACATATTGCTTATAAAACTTTAGGCACCAGCATTTTATGGTTAAATTGTTAGTTACTAAGCCAGTGGTTCCCAACCTGTGGTCCGTGGACCACCAGTGGTCCGCAAGAACTAAAATATGGTCCACTGCCTTACCCTTACTACACCGTTGCAATGAGAGTGACTGGTCTTGCAAAACCCTCTTATAGTGCCAAGGATTATTAAATATGGTTTTCTGTGGGTGAGCAGATGGCGACTACTGGATGGCATATGTTTTGTATCAGAAACTACAGCTGATGTGGTCTATCTAATGCAATTTTCTGACTCAGCACCCCAAGTAACCAAACCAAAATCTAAAGCTGAGCAAAAACTGATTCGTAACCCTTTTGAGTTGGAGAGTGTTCCCTGGTCAAAAAAAAAAAAAGATTGGGAACCACTGATCTAGATGAACAGTTGTATTTCTCATGCATATCTTGTTGCAAGTAATACCACATAGGTACCTTTATGTCACAGTTCTTTATATCAGGTTTGTCAAATTATGGGCCCTGCTGATAGGAGTCATAATTTTGATAAGAACAACATAATTTCTTGGAAATTTTCCAGGATTACAATTTTACAATGATGCAGATAATATCTTACCCAGGCAAGATTATTAAACCGTAAATGAACAGTATGATTTTAATTTGAAATCTAGTTCATATCATTTTTGAAATTCAAAACAGACACACCTGAAATACAGTCTGGTCCAAAATGATTGTCTTCTGCACATTTTTCACAGGCAGTCCCAGCAAATCCTTTCTGTAAAGTAAAAACAAGTTTGCTTATGAAGAAGTAAAAGCTAGGAAGAAAATCACTATTGAGCTGCTAACCTTAACAAGCTGGCTATGGGCTAAAATTCATTGAATCTCAGCAAGAATTCAAATCTCTGATGGGATGATTCTATATTCACAGTAGGTATTATTTTTTTCTTTCTGTGCTTTCTACATATCGAATAACATTAATATTTCTGGTATTATCCAGTCAATCAATTATGATGATTATGATCACACTAAATACACAAAAGCATACCTGGCAGGTACAGGTTCCATTCCCAAAAAACCCATGAAAGCAATGTCCTTTGTTATTACATGGAGAAACTGCTCCACCTGGACATTCTGAAAATGAATAATCAACAAAATTACACTGAGTTGTGTAGTAGACTAGTGAGCTGCTGCTGAAACTACTTAAATTGGTGCTCTGAATGTGTGAATCTATAATGTGTATACACCTTTATAATATAACACTAGCCAGGAAGGATCCACCCAGACCTTTTCAAACCAATAGTTCAAAAAAGCAAAAAAAAAGCAAAAAAAAAAAAAAACCACAAAAAAACAAACAAACAAAGAAGAATGAAAAAGGTCTTTGCCCTCCAAGTCTATACTGGATTGGGCAAATTACTGTTTACATGAAACCACAAAGGATCTTTGTTGAAAAAAAAATGGTTAATTTCAACAATAAATGCTAGTCCTTAGCTGCTGGGTGCAGATCCTAGTGATATCTACCAGAAGCATGCCTTACCATGGCCGAAGCTGTTGCAATGGGATGGAAAATCTGTTCCAGAGTTTGGTCTCTACTTTAAAGGGGCTATCCAAGGTGCTGAACCACCTTGGGAGTACATTCTAGCAATTTAGATCTTTTCCCAGAGAAACAAATGTCTCCACTGAGCCATGAGACATGTTTCACAGCTTCCCTGGAATTAGTAGTTGGAAAAATATGTAGGGCTGAACCTCATCCAGATGTGATATGTAATATTGCAGCCTGTGCATGTACAAGGTTTCATGTAGGTATAAAATAATAAGTTTTGTGGCATGTCAGTAGGCTGGACTAAATAGCCCTTGTGGTCTCTTGTATGCTACTAATTTTTAAAGAGCTTGCCTCCTGAGGATTTGGGGATTTGTAATCCAAATATAAATTGCCCAAATTCTATTCATACCATACAGGCCAAATGCAATGGAACAAAGCAGGAGTGTTCCAGGACCACTTTTGGAGGCTGATGATGAAAGTTACCATTACATATTCCTATTAATTCCAAACTAGCCAGATAATTGAGAAGGTGACAATACCAAAAAGATACTGACAAATCTAGGAGAATTTAAAGGGGGTGCATCCCCCTCCATCCACCCTCATCCACTCATAGGGCCAAGCCCTCAAATCAAGCTTCAATCTGGACTGAAATAGATGCAGATTATCAGTATCATCCATCCAACTAAATATTTAAAATAAGCAGTTCTTTTAAAACTGCTGACAGTTTCATTCCATTTCCCTGTTCTTGTTTTGACACTGCAATAACCAGTGCTCTATCAGTCCACATTATTGCATTATTACCACATTGTTCTCCAATTGTACCTTGGCAAACAAAGCACTTCCTCTTGTTCTTTACATTTCAGAACATTCTAGGGCTTATTATCTTTTCTGTGACAATTATCCAGTACATATCTACTCATATATAAACCCCTTTTAGTTCAGTGGGATTTAACACATGACGTTCTAGTACAGCACAATGAGGATGAAGTTTTTAGTATGATTGCAAGGGCATAAATTACATTCAATTACATGGTTTGTTATTGTTTATAACATATATATTGTTTATAACATGTTATTGTTTATAACATGTATATAACATCTCTTCAAGTACTTGATTGAATGCCATCATAAGTAAAAAAGACAAAACTTCAATAACATTATGTAACGATGTGAAGCAATTACAAAGTAATTGTGTGAAATGAGCCTTTCAAAGTTCTCTTTGAAAGCTTTTAACAATGTAACCATTTCAGAAAAACAAAGCCTTGCTTTATTGGATACTATCATGTATTTACTACTGTAATCACATGACTCTGAAATTGCCCTTTAATCCTGGAGACCTTTGGCAAGTCATACCCTTTCAAACTCAAAGGAAGGCAAAGGAAAATTTCCTTTGAAGAAATTTGGCCAAGAGACCTGTCGGACCATCACACATTAGAAATGATTGAAAACAAAACAAAACAACAACAACAGACACATATACCAGTGTTTCCCAAACATTGGTCTACAACAATGGTTGTGAACCTTCCTAATGCCACAACCCCTTTATACAGTTCCTCGTGTTGTGGTGACCCTCAACCATAAAATTATTTTTGTCACTACTTCATAATTGTAATTTTGCTACTGTTATGAAATTGTAATGTAAACATATGTTCATTCGCTGGACCAAATTTGGCACAAATACCCAATATGCCCAAATTTGAATACTGGTGGAGTTGAGGGGGATTGATTTTGTCATTTGGGAGTTGTAGTTGCTGGGATTTATAGTTCACCTACAATCAAAGAGCATTCTGAACTCTACCAATGATGGAATTGAACCAAATGTGGCACACAGAACTCCCATGACCAACAGGAAATACTGGAAGGGTTTCATGGTGGAGTTGTTGTTCACCTACATCCAGAGAGTACTGTGGATTCAAACAATGATAGATCTGGATCAAATTTGGTACAAATACTCCATATGCCCAAGTGTGAACACTAGTGGAGTTTGAGGGAAAATAGACATTGACATTTGAGAGTTGTAGTTGCTGGGAGTTGTAGTTCACCTACAAAGAGCCTTCTGAATCCCACCGAGAGAATTGGGCCAAACCTCCCACACAGAACCCCCATGATCAACAGAAAAATACTGTGTTTTCTGATGGTCTTTGGCAACCCTTTTGACACTCCCCTGTGACCCCCTCCCCAGGGGTCCCAACCCCCAGGCTGAGAAATGCTGGTCTACAAGGTGTTTTGGACTTTAGCTCCCAGACTCCCTAATCATTGACCAAGGCAGCTGAGTCTTCTGGGAGGTGGTCCATAGCACCCGAAGAACTAGAGTTTGGGAGTCACTGACCTAAGTGATGTTTAAATATATAGAATTAAAGAAACATGCATTTAGATTTCTGAAAGAAGGAAAGAAAGAAAAGTTGTCAGTATTTTTGTCACATGAATACATGTTATCAAGGTGCTTTTACCTAGGCAGTCTGGCCCCCAATATCCCTGGCAACACTGACGCTGCAACAATTCCCTCACACAGGTATGTCGACATCCTGGAAGAGTGAGAGCGAAATCCCTGATTTCAAGATGATGCCTGCAAGAAAAGGATTGAAGGCTTGTTAAACTTGCCAATGCCTTTACATGAGCACTGATAGGGATATCTCACTCATGTACATTTATTCCCAGAATTCATGAAAGGATCACTAAACAGACTAGATTTTCATCCCACATCTTGTCAGCTGCATTTTGAGCAGGCTGTCCAAAGTAATCATTTCTACGCATTCAGAAGAACATTATTGGGTTTTTCCAATTATTGGGAAGATCCAAAGCTAGAAAGGTTGGGTCATTTCAGTGAGTGTGAGTAGCCTGAATCTTGCCCCATGCCGCCTCCTCAATGAACATTTGAACAGGATGATGGAAACAATGGAAACTTTTAACATGTTCTCTTCTTATTTGAGGGATTCAAGGCCCAAATTCAGAATTCATAATAAGCAAGTGAGGAGGGCAAGCATACAATCCTGCTCTCTTCCTGTGAAATAATTCTCATACAGAGCCTTCTATAAATGAAACAATAGCCTTTTCACAACACACAATTACAGTCAGTTCTCCACATGAGTTTATGGGTGCAGAACCCTGCAATAGTGGAAAAACTGAATTAAAATGTTTTTTAACTTTAGAGAGCAATTATCCAGTAATTTCTATGTCCTCCAGTGTGACTCTATGGCAGACATGGGCAAACTTTGGCCCTCCAGGTGTTTCGGTCTTCAACTCCCACAATTCCTAACAGTCTCAGACCCCTTAGGCTTGAGCAGATGAGAGGGTAAAGGAAAGGGCCTGAGACTGTTAGGAATTGTGGGAGTTGAAGTCCAAAATACCCGGAGGGGCCAAGTTTGCCCATGGCTGCTCTATGGTCAACTTCCCCTGGACACTGGCTGCAGAGATGTTCTGGAAGATCTAGAGAGGTGTTTTCTCTAAAATCTCCTAGACATCTCTGAATAATCAGATCTGCAATAGCACTATGATCCCACTTTAAGTCACATGGCTGCATTCTATGGAACTCTGGAATTTGCAGTTTGGTGAGAAACTAGAACTCTCTAGGTGAGAATTCTAAATATTCCTTCCTAAACTATCAGTCCTAGGATTCTTTAAGATGGAGGGCCCTTCCATACAGGCATATAACCCAGAATATCAAGGTAGAAATCAAGGCAGAAAATCCCACAATATCTGGGTTATCTATATAATATCCCAGTTCAAAGCAGAAAATGTGGAATTTATTCAGCTGTGTGGAAAGAATTGGATTTGTGGTAATTGATTTGGGATAACACTGCTATAAGGGTGTGATATGGAATGGAGACATTGGAAGGTCTCAATTTTTCAGGCTTCCAGATCATTTGGTGAATTTCCACATGTAATAGAAGCTCTCTTCTGCATATTTAGGAGGGCAATGACAAAAGCGGAGTGGGCTTCCCCTCCTAGCAACTTTTCTATGAATGCTTGAAGAGGGCTGTCAATCAAAGGCCATCCCACTAGTTTGTTGCAGCAGGTGCAATTTTTCTCAGCATTGCAGTGCTCTTATGGGAACCACTGCACCTGGAACATACAACCTCTCCCTCAGAGCAATAACATGCCATAAGAAGCCAAACCCACTTTTTAGGAACAGAGCTGCTCCCCAGCTATACATTCTTCTAACACAGGCATGGGCAAACTTCAGCCCTCCACGTGTTTTGGACTTCAACTCCCACAATTCCTAACAGCTAGTAGGCTGTTAGGAATTGTGAGAATTGAAGTCCAAAACATCTGGAGGGCTGAAGTTTTCCCAAGCCTGTTCTAACAAATCCTGTAAATGAACATGAATAATGAATCAGGGTGGGAAGAAGGCAGCCTTCCAGAATTGCATTTACTAGCCTCCTCACCATTAGCAAAACTAGTTGTGCTGTTGCGTGTTGCAGTCCAGCAATGTCTAGAAGGGTTCCAGCCCCTGCTAGATATGATAAGCAGTCTGAAAAATGACAGCAAATGTTTCAATCTGAAGACTTCATTAGAAATTTATTTTAGTGCTGTCTGTGCAAGTATCATGAGATGTCTGTATGGAGGAATGAAAGTGAGAGGAACTGTGCATACTTTTTTTTTTCATGTCAGGAGCGACTTGAGAGACTGCAAGTCACTTCTGGTGTGAGAGAATTGGCCATCCACAAGGACATTGCCCAGGGGATGCCCGGATGTTTTGACATTTTATCATTCTTGTGGGAGGCTTCTCTCATGTCCCCACATGGGGAGCTGGAGCTGACAGAGGGAGCTCATGCACTCTCTCCCTGGATTCAAACCTCCAACCTGCCGGTCTTCAGTAATGCTGTCACAGGGGTTTAACCCATTGTGTCACTGTTTATTGACTGCTGATTCTAATTATGCACATTTTTTTCAAAAACTCTAAATGCACACAGGTCTATGCATGAAGGGATAGCACAAGACATTTTGCTGCCTGAAGCAAGGTTGCTTCCTCCATGCTATGTTCTCAACCCAACTGGATAGCTGGCTGAAACTTATTTCAACACTGGCAATGGAATAGGATGCTTTACCACCCTTGATGGGAACAGTCAACCTTAGGGAATAAAGACCACTCACTTCTGATCTTTACAACAAGCTGTGGGATGCAGGATAAACAGATATGACACAATCTCTACTATTTCTTATTATCTGCCCAAGGGAATTATTTTGGCACCTGCAATCAAAATTTTCACAACATCTATTCTCATGACAAAGACAGAAATGGGGCAGCTTCCAGTTAAGAAAAAAAAGCCACTTCCATAGGAACTTGAAATCTACAGATATATTTTGCCGATACCACTCAATCAAACAGAAAACATCTACTTCAGAGCAGAAAACAAAAATCTAATTAAGAAAAGAATTACCTGCAGTCGGGCACCCCAGAACTATTGGTAATTTTGGTATAACCTTCAGGACACCGTATTTCATAATTGAGAGAGCAAGATCTGCATTTGGTTTTTGTGGTCACAAGTGTCTCCTCGTCACATCTGTTCTTCCCCTAAAGGAGGGAGGCAGACAATTTGAGCCTGTAGTTGTTAGCTTTGGGCTAAAAACTATAACTGTGCCTTTAAAAGTCATTTTCAGGTACAGACATTAACAGTGGGTTCTAATATATATGGAGCATGATTGATTTTATTACTGATTTTACTTAACAGATATGTAACAGTCTGGTCAATCAGCTAACAGCATAACCCATGATGTGTGTGTGTAACATTTCACTGCAGTAAAATGGTAAAATAACAATACCAATAGCAGAATAGCAACAGATCAATACACAGCATCATACAATTGTGTTTGTATAAAATTCTTAAAGAATGGGTTACATGTATCTGTCTCCTTCAGTTTGACTTATGGCTGGGATGTTCCTTAAGATTTATGAATCAATATTTAACTGGAGATACTCTTTTTCTTTTCACTGAGTTAACGCTCCAAAGTTCTAGTGTGTTAGTAATACTTATCCATAACCAAAGACCATGTTACCTCAAAGGAAGTTGTGATCCCTCTTCTCTACGTGTAAGTATGCAAGAACTCCAAAGGACCAAGAAGAGCTGCTGTCTCTTTAACAAGAATGAGGGTTAGGGTTAGGGAAGGCAAATTAGGGAATTAGGGAAGGCAGATCTTCATCTATAGGTGCATCTCCTTTCTTTGCAGGAAGGCAATATGGAAGTCCCAATGTAAGATTCTGTTATTAACAAACTTTATTTGTACCCCACCACCATCTCCCCAAAGGGACTTGGGGCAGCTCACGGAAGCATTCCAACTGAGTGCCACATGCAGACAACAATAGGTAAAGGTAAAGATTTTCCTCTGATATTAAGTCCAGTCGTGTCCAACTCTGGGGGTCGGTGCTCATCTCCATTTCTAAGCCGAAGAGCCGGCGTTGTCCGTAGACACCTCCAAGATCATGTGGCCAGCATGACTGCATGGAGCACTGTTACCTTCTTGCTGGAGTGGTACCTATAGATCTACTCACATTTTCATGTTTTCAAACTTCTAGATTGGCAGAACCTGGGGCTAACAGCGAGTGTTCAACCCACTCCCTGGATTTGAAACGATGACCTTTCGGTCACCAAGTTCAACAGCAACCTCTCATAATTGTTGTCACCAAGTTTAACCCACTGTGCCACTGGGGGCTCCTAACAGACAACAATACATAAGTATAAATACAATGACATAAGTATAATCAACAGCGCATAAAAACCTCATTAATAAAATTATACAAAAAATGAAAATTGTAAAATCCCTAAAACACGGTGGAACCTGCCATCTGGCTATCTGTCATAACAATCAAGGATTACTTATGTCATCATATAAAATAACATCTTACCTGCACAGCCATTTTCATTGAACTGAAGGTATTTGCAGTCAAAGATGACAAAAAGAATAAAACTGTCCAAGGTTTCCTCATAATGAAAACAGGGAGTTGATTATCTCAAATATTAATGTTACAGCAGCAAAGCTTCTTCCAAATTTTGCTATGCCAAGTTCACCCACATTATTAGACAAACACCCATGTATAGTAGTTGTTCCAATAATACAACTTTCTTTTCTCCCTCTTCAGTAACAAGCTGAGAATAAAGAGCACGTGAAATCTGACCAGAGACAGGAAAGGCTATCCAAAGGCAAAGAGCTGGTGTTGGGAATGCTTACAGCAAATGCAGTTAACACTTCCTAACAGGCATCCTGTCAGACATTACCGTGTTCAGTCTCTTCCCGGCAAACACCCTCACCTCCAATTTCTGGCACTGTTGACAGCAGAGTCCCAAGGACACTCACTGATAACAAAAGATTCTGGACATTAATGACATACATTCAGAATGACCTAATTTTTCTGACATGAATCGTAAGCTGATCAACTGGGCCTGCCATTTTTATGTGTCCATAAGAGAGAGACAGCATGGTGCAGAGGTTTGACCATTGGACTATGACTCTGGAGACCAGTGTTTGAATCTCCACTTGGCCATGTAAACCCACTGAGTGACATTGGGCAAGTCATAATCTCTCAGCCCCAGAGGAAGGCAAAGACCCCCTCTGAACAATTCCTGATAGGAAAACACTGTGATAGCTTCACCTTAGTTGGACATTATTTGAAGGCACACAACATCACATAAAGACTGTAGCTCTTAAATTCAATGCCAAATCATCAGAGGTGGATGAGGCAATATATTTGACTATTTAGTTAGTTACTGAAAGTTGTTTTATTCTGGACCTCTCATAGTACTGGCCCTACCATTAGGCAAAGTGCAACAGTTGTCTAAGGCAACAGATTCTGGGTATTGCAAAATACCAGCAGATCGGGAGTTATTTGAATTATTATTGTTATGTTCCTGTGAGAGAGGGGATCATGAGGAGTTTTCTGTTTTCAGCAGAATAACATGGTTCATTTGGGTGCTCTGCAACTTGATTGAGAGAAATATGTTACAACTGTAAATAAGATAATAATAATAAACTTTATTTATACCCCGCCACCATCTCCCCAGTGGGGACTTGGAGCGGCTTACATGGGGCCCAGCCCGGACAACATTACAATGAAATAAAACAAAAAACATAAACGACAATCAACATCATCAAAATTACATAGGAGAAAAGAAAGAAAAAAATCCAATAAACACAATCACGATAACAGTGGGCGGGCCATATGTATAGGATAAAACAGTTTAAAAGCTCTAATGAGAAAAAAATAGGAGCAAGTTATTTGAAGGGAGCTCATAAAAACAGAGTTATAGAACTAAACTTCCCATGTGGAGGGCATATACTCCAGTGGCAGAAGCATTGAGGGGAGCAGTAGTACCATGTTATGCACCTACTCACCAAAGGCACAGTGGAAGAGCCAGGCTTTAAGGTTCTTTTTGAATGTTTCTAGTGAAGGGGCTTTAGTGATTTCTCCAGGTAATGAGCTCCAGAGTCAGGGAGCCACAGGGGAGAAGGCTCTCTCCCTTGTGCCCACAAGACGAGCTTGTGAGATTGATAGGGGCGAAAGGAGGGCCTCCCCTGAAGATCGAAGGACCTGGGTTGGTACGTGGAGAGAGATACAGTCAGGAAGATAGACGGGTCCCAAACCATTTAGGGCTTTATAGGTGATAACCTGTACCTTGAATTGGGACCAGAAGATAAACGGCAGCCAGTGGAGCTCTTTAGACATGGGAGTCGACCGTTCCCTATAACTAGCTCCAGTTATTAATCTGGCTGCCGAACGCTGGACAAGTTGTAGTTTCCGGGCCGTCTTCAAGGGTAGCCCCGCGTAGAGAGCATTGCAATAGTCCAGTCTAGAGAGAGAGAGAGAGAGAGAGATGTAAGAACTGTAAACACTTCATACATCAACAAGACTCTCTCTCTCTCTCTCGCTCTCAGCCTACATATATATATATATGCTAGGAAATTGCTTATTCAGCACAGTATATATGCACAATAAAGGCACAGACATCGCTACTGGAACAATATCTGCTTTACATTGTGCCATTTTCAGTAAACCTATCTCATATCAAAGGGGACACCCACACTGTAGAATTAATGAAATCTGACAACATAGCTTCATGCTATGGAATCTTGGGAGTTGTAGTTTGCTGAGGCAGCAGTACTCTTTGGCAGAGAAGGCTAAATATCCTGAAAAACAACAACTCTCCATATTCCATTTTAAATTGTATCAAACTGTCGTAATTCTACAGTGTGGAAGCACTCAAAGTCACTAACAAACTGAATTAAATTGCAATGCATTGCATTGCAACTGAAGACAACCATTGTGTAGCATAGGATCCCATTATGATTCTATGCTACACTGTAATCTGTTATACCACTGTGGTGCTCTTTTTCAGATTTCCGCAGCAGTGGCAAGAAAAAAGTGAGAAAAATTTAGGTCATTCCCATGCAGAGAGGAAGTGGCTGCCAAGTGCTTGGTTTCCAGATGGGTCCACCAAATTAAATTCATTCTTGAAAGACTGCTTCAAAAAAATTACCTGTCCCAACACATTTTCAAGACAATCTTTCCAGAAGAACTTAGCTTGGATGACCCATTTAGAAAACAAAAATGTTGTAGAAAGGCTCCTTGGAATCCTGAGGATTTGTTTCTGGATGAAATGTGCTCTCTCTGGCTCTCCTTTGCCATTGCTGTGTCCACATTTGTTTACAGTTTCCATTGTCACAATGGCTACTTATGTGAGTGAATCTCATCTTGCAGCTTCTTAACACAGCCATATAACCCAGAATAACAAGGCAGATAATCCACAATATCTGCTTTGAATGGGATTATCTGAGTCCACACTGTCATATAATCCAGCTCGATGTGGATTTTATATAACTGTTTGGAAGGGGCCTAAGTAGTAATAATTATAAGGAGCACTACATTAAAATAAGTTAATGCAACATAATGTAGCATTTTGACACTGTTGTATTGTATTGACTTTTCTGGCCACTTTGAAGATCCTCTTGCAATCACACACAGGATTTGCTGCATCTGTTCTCAGACCTGTCTTTTTATGAATGCAAAGAGACAGTTATGAAGAATTAGTTCTAGAAACAATCAGAGCCTGTACTCCGGAAGAAGCTGTTTGTAGGAGAGAAGGCAGTTGAGATTTCCAGCTGCTGCTTTTGACTTGTGTCAGCCCTATTCATCTGAAAACAGCAAGGCCACTGAAAGAGTGAAGTGCTGCTTAAGTGGGTGCTAAATTATCAGTGTCATTATTAATTCACAAGAATTTCCTTATATTGTTGTCAGCTTTTGCTGCAATAAATTACACATATTTTAATTTGGCAAATATTTTCATTATAGTCTGATCTCTGTTATAAATGAAAAGACTGAAAACTTGCCATAGGCATTCTTGGAAAGTTCTTGAGTTGATTTCCCATCTCAGCTTCAAGCCTTTTGATCTCTTGCCTGGTCAAATGTATATTGTTAAATCAATACACCCCAATAATTTAATAAATACCATTCTTTGACAAGGTCCCCCATGACCTTCTGGCAAACAAACTAATCAAATGTGAGTTAGACAAAACTACGGTTAGGTGGATCTGGAATTGGTTAAGCGAACAAACCCAGAGGATGCTCACCAACGCTTCCCCTTCATCCTGGAAAGAAGTGACGAGTGGAGTGCTGCAGGGGTCTGTCCTGGCCCTGGTTCTGTTCAACATCTTTATTAATGACTTAGATGGCGGGTTAGAAAGCATGGGATTTTGGCCTGCATAAATCGGAGTATAGTCTCTAGATCCAGAGTAGTCATGCTACCCCTGTATTCTGCTTTGGTCAGACCACACCTGGAATACTGTGTCCAATTCTGGCACCGCAATTGAGGGGAGATGTTGACTCTAAGCTGGAATGTGTCTAGAGGAGGGCAACTAAAATGATCAAGGGTCTGGAGAACAAGCTCTAGAACAAGCCCTATGAAGAGTGGCTTAAAGAACTGGGCATATTTCGCTTGCAGAAGAGAAGGAGAGGAGACATAAAAGCCATGTATAAATATGTGAGGGGAAGTCATAGGGAGGAGGGAGCTCTGGAGACTAGGACGCAAAACAATGGCTTCAAACTACAGGAAAGGAGATTCCACCTGAAAATGAGAAAGAGCTTCCTAATGGTGGGAGCTGTTCAGCAGTGGAACTCTCTGCCTTGGAGCGTAGTGAAGGCTCCTTCTTTTGGGAGCTTTTAAACAGACCGGATGGCCATCTGTTGGGGGTGCTTTGAATGTGATTTTCCTCCTTCTTGGCATGGGGTTGGATTGGATGACCCACGAGCTCTCTTCCAACCCCATGATTCTATGATCCTATGATTCCCTGACATCAATGTCTTAACATTTGGCAACTTGTTTTCAGTTTATCTTGATATTTTCCCCTATCCCACCCTTTACACTATATAGTGAAATATCCACTTTCCTCCACTGACCATTGGCATGAATTGCACATCCACAAATGCCTGCACTTACAGCAGAGCCTCTTTTCCTCAGTAATATTAACCATTTATGAATATTTGTAACCAGCAACAGTTAAGAACTTAGCTTACATTTGTATAGCAGAATAAGTAGAAGCTTTACCACAGTATTTAAATCAAGGTATATCCTGCTGTATCATAAAATGTCACTCAGGTTTGTGAAACAAAATAACAGTATTTTTCATTTAGTTCAAAGGTTCAAACATAGTAACAATATATACATCGGTCTCTTTGAATTCTGGCAGGGAACAGAGGAATAAAATAGCCCTTTTAAATAGTCTTTAAAATAAGCCTCATGACTTAAAATGATCAGTCTTTAAGGTAGTTGGCAGCCAGCACTATCTCTTCACTGTCCAAAGAGAGAAACATTGGTAGAATGACAGTTAGAACCATTGATCTCCAAAGCCAGCCAGAGGCAGCAGCCAATCAAAACCCTGGCCCCTGGCACACTCAGCCAATTGGTTGCTGACACGTCTCTCTCCAGTTAACCCACCATGTCATGGCATTCTTTTTCATATCTTCACATATTTTATATGTATAAATGCAAATTTAGAAAAAAATATTGCAATTTTAAATGGAAATGTAGTGTAGATTATGTTGCCGCTCAATCTACTATCCAGGTGTTCACTATGGGTAGGCAATTTAAAGTCTCTGCTTTTGTTTCTGATGGTTCTTTGTTTACACCAGCCCTAGACTGAAGAGCGCTTCAGCT